AGACTGGTTAGCCAGCTGCTTGTGGATGCTCTGTAAGAGCACGGGTGATGACACCACCTTTGCAGACTAAAAACTTACCCCAGAATGTTTGCGTTTATGGAGAACCAGACGGTAAAGATGTTGAAGAAGCGGGTTGAACTGCGCTCTTCAACGGGCACCGGGAGGATGCCTCGCTCCTCGACACGGCCAGCTCTCAACACCTTGTGGAGCAGCGACTCCTCGTCGCTTTGATGGCCATCCTTTTCTCTGACGGGCACCGCCGACGCCTCTACCGTATCCACCAACATATGTGCGTTGTATGGGTTATGTAGGTCTGTATGGGGATAAATGCCGAGTCGGAGTTTGAAGCTGGAGACGGACGGGTGATAAGTAAGCCCGAGTCTTGTTGCACGAATAAAGGCAACACGAGAACACAAAACAAACAGTGCGATGAAACGGCGTCCAAAACAACAAGAGAACTTGCAGTGAGTCAAGAATTTTGCCTTTTCCCGACACTGAGCGGTTCCGGTTTCCCTCTTCCGCCCCTCCTCCGACCTAGGCCGCGAGACAACAAAATCTTTTCGCATCCGCACGGCCAGATACGGACTAGAAGGCGCCCTTGGCCAATCACAGCCTGATGGCGAGAAACCCGGTTCCATGAGCGACCGGGCCGTCGAAGAAAAAAAGGAAAACCCTTGCAGCCCCCCTCCCGCCACTTGACAGGAACAGTGTTAGCTTGAGGTTAGTTATCTAGAATTGTTCCTCTTTCGATGTGATAAGAACCGTAATTTGTCGGTGACTTAGTAATCTTGGCGGGGGTTTCATCACACCACGAAGGGCGCATGCATGGAACATAGACAGATGGAAGGGCGGAGTAGAAGTCAGCATACATGGAAGTACATGAATTAACTATTGGGCAATTTACTGGGTATTTACAATAGCAACTTATGAATAAAAGTAAAAGTTTTACTTCCCTCGGTAGCATTGCTTTGGGAACATCGTGGAGCTGGCGGATATCGCCAACTGAGTCAGTCTCCAGGTCCCATTCGAAATAACATACTCCATAAGCTGCATACCTAGGAACACAAGAGTGCGGGGAAGCATTTGACGCAACTTACTTTTGCTAAGACATACTCGTACATCAAATCTCTTCATGGCTCAACCATACCTGTACCGTAGCAAAATCTTTGAAGCAATATGTACGGGGTACTTATATTCGCTATCCTTACCGTAGTACATATCCTTACCCTGCAGCCACCAAAATCGCAACAACTTTCTATAATCAAGGCCGCACCATTGGTGGTTACTCTTCGATCTTTCGAGTTTAATATCTTCATTACTCCTAAACACAATATGGAATTCTCAGCTAGTGGGGTGATGAGGGGGAAGTGTGTAAATAAGTTCAAGTTGGTACCAATACATGAACGGAGGCCCCGAATAGAAACTGCCCAAGACACATACCACTCATCGAACCACCTGCGCAGTAGCAAATGTTATATGACCATCGACTAGGGCAAAAAAAACCTCATGTATGCAGGGAAGAGGTAAAAATGATTTAATATCAAGGCTATTGATGATGTTACACGTGTTATGACCAAAGATCCCCGACTGAGCAGCCAAGTGCCTTATTAGTTATTACGCATGAATAAACACAGTAGGGTATCAGTGGTAGATATTTTATGAGAATCCTCTCGGTCAAAATGTTTAATGCCGGCCTAAAACATGCCGCTCATGAGCCACCACCGCTGCTTGCTTGCGACTTCTTGCGAAAGAAGCCCCCCAGCGTCCCCATCAGCACGCCAAGTCCCTTCTCATGGCTGTCTTGCTGAAGGCCATCCTGAATCCATCCAGGCAATTTATTTCGTATTCGAGGCGTGCCGTATCTTCGGTCAACAAGGATGATCGCCGCGTAGTCTCCACGGTGTCGGATTGCCCGACCAATACTCTGGTTGACGGCTCGCATACAAGCGTTTTCGTAAAAGTCTCGCGCGGCCTGCTTCGCTTGTGCCGTCGCATCGCTGCTATTCTTCCCTTCCTTGATGAGCCGGGCCTCGGTTGTTGACTCGATGTACTCGAGCTTTGCCTTCCAGTCTGGTGATGCAATGTTTGGGTAGGGCAGTCCAACGACCATGACGCAGCGTCCCAGCCGGTCTGAAAAGTTGATGCCTTCGGACATTTTGCCGCCAACAACACTCAGAAGTAGAGCCCCAGTGTGCTTGTCTCCGGCCGGCCTAGTCCCCATGATCGCTTCGGAATAATCTCGCAGTACCTCTTCGCTGGCTACACTCTTGGTGTCTCTGAAAACAGACTTTCGGGCCTGCAATCGATCCCATGTGCTTTGAGAGTTTCCGCCCTGACGTTGCTGCCATACAGCTACTATCTCGTCGAGGTAGCCATAGCTGGGGAAGAAAACAACCACTCCGTCGGGGACAATATTGCAAACGTTCAAGATTGCCAAGCCCAATTGAATCATCATTTCCTTATTTCCTCGCTGCTTGAAACTAAACTCGAATGGTGGTGATTCGGTATTGCTCGAAGCCAGAGTCCAGACGCAAAGGTTTTTAGGCGGAATAACATGCCCGCAGCTTAATGATGTTACCTTGTCGGCATCCAGAGTGGGAAATAGCTGATCCTTGTAGTCTGAAAACGGCGACATGGTTCCACCGGCCAGGATTACAGCACGAGCGCTTGAAACGATTGACGAGAAAGCATGAGTGGGAGAGAGAAGCAGATAAGTAAGCTTGACATCTGCGGTTGTTCCCTGAGTTTTCTGATAGAAGATGCGGCCCTCAGAGCCAAGGTTCGTGAGAGCGATAAGGAAGGAAACAAGAATATGCAGGACGGGTGTTCCAGATTTTGAGAGTCCGGGCTTCTTGCTTTCGTCTCCCTTCTCGACGTGAGCAACATAACTCTCAATCTTGTAGGCCAGCTTGGATTCTTGTATATACTGGATTAGTTCGTAAATGTTGATCTGGTCTATGCCTTTGTGCCTCGTCAGATCGTTTGGATCGACGATTCCATGTTCACTCTACATGAATGTTAGCTGGATAGGGGAAATTGATCTCGCTCTGTAACCATACCTTGAGCTTCAAAGCCCCTTCAAGCCACTCGGATAGCCCATCAATGACCCTACCTACTCTTCCGACATTTACTCGGTTTATGCCCTTTAACTTTTTGCCAAATCGTTTAACATAAATACCAAGCATCTGGCGACCTCTGCGGAGATCGCTCAGCTGCAGCTCTGCGGCATGCACATTCGATATCGCATCGAGTATGTTATGCGCCTCGTCAATTATGACCACGTTACCCTCAAGCTTAATTCCTAAAGCCTCGCGAGCACTCCGCTGCAGCAGAAGCGGATATGGTAATGTGATGATTTCGGCTCCAGGCAGGGCCACTCGGGAGGCGTAGTAAGGACATACCGCCAAAGATTTTCCCAGCAGATGAAGGTCTTCGATATCCGGGAGAGTCGCCAAAGCGGAATCTCGAAACTGGTGTGTTTGACTAAGAAGTTCTTCCTTGGGCACGAACGAGCATTTGCTGCTAGATTTCGCCTGTTGAAGTTCTGTGCAACGGTCATTGATGGCTTGAACTGACCCAAGACGAGCAACGGACGGGTTGATGCAGAGTTTTTGTCGTGACGATAATGGCAGAAGCTTCACAGGTTCCGTTGAGGAGATATCTGATCCCTTGGCAACAGACGGCGGCAGCGAGGGTGGAAACACAGGGCGGCGCAATTCCGTGATGAATTGCGACAGTTGAGAGTGAGTTCTAGATGTATAGTAGATCTATTGTTCATGGTTACTATTGCTGCCAGAGGTAGAATCAGCGTCGACACTCGCACCTTGATTTTCTCTTCCAGGATATCCTCATCTTCTGTTTGCTTCATACGTCCGCCTAGGCCAATCTTTTCAAGAGTCTCTCGCGATTCTTTACTTAGACTAGATAAGGCATCGTCTTGGTGTGTGTCGTCATCATCAGCGTCCAAAAGCCATTCGGCGTCTTCATCTGCTGTGGTTTCAACAGTAGTCCTCACGTCTTCCACACGGCGTCGCTTTCGGCTTCGTTCCTCTTGAACTCTTTCTTTAAGTCTAAAGGAAGCAAGACGCTTTTCTCTATCTTCCCATTGTCTCAACAGTTCTTCTCTTTTACGAGACAGGAGTTTCTCGACAAGCCAATCCGGTTCCTCTTTGTATGACTCCCCCGCCACCTGCAGTTCTGCCTCCTGCCTAGTAGCTTTGTGGTTTCGAAGCCATGTTAAAGATGCGCATATGAGCGAGAGAGATTTACCCTGAGACGGCAATTAGTGCGTGTCCCCTGGGCTCATGAAGGATCAACCTCGAGACAATATCACTCCTTTGTCCAAAGCCAGCCGACCGAATGAACTGGCTCAAGGGATGAATACACATACAGTTCCAGTTGGACTCTCCAGAATTCCCACTTGTCCTTGTCCGGTCTCTAGCACTTGATACACTGTTTGCATGAACTGATTTTGAACATCATACGGCGTGAATGGATGGTGAAAGTCAAGGCTCGACAGCTCGTGCGCAATACTATCGACTTCTGCTGTCAAGGCCATTTTGTCACCTTTATCATTTTGCCCTTTTCCTTTGTCACATGTCTTGTCCGTCCAATAGCACGAATGACATCTCAGAAACTATTCGTAACTCTTCCCGGCAGAATGAAACGCGTATATGGCGTCGCGCGGGCGGTGTGGATTGTTAGTACACTGCAAGTGAGTTGAACTGCCAATCGCGCCGAATCGCATTTGCTTGAAAAAAGCCCCGCATTAACGATTCCGCTTTTATCACGGTGGTCTCGCGAACCCACGTGGACCCGCAACACGTGATCGCAAATAATTCAGTGCGAGCGAACAATCACAATTGGGCTTAGGGCTGTGCTGCCCTCTCGCCTAACAAATTTCCGGGGGTGCCAAAGCCGCTGGCCGCAAAAACATCACCACCCACTTCCAGTCCTTCGACGCAACACATTGGAGAAGCGACAACACCACAACCGTCGCCATGCCTACCCGAACTTCGAAGACCCGCAAGCAGTACGTTTATGAGCCCGTTGGATAATGTTTCTTCGACTGCCGAAAACGAGGGCACCGCCGTCCGGTTGACCTTTGGAAAGGCGCATGTTGAAGAAGATTTCACCAGTTGCGATGGAAAGGCTAACAAATTACTTCGTTCCACAGCCGCGGTAACGTCTCCCATGGAAAGGGTCGTGTAGGAAAGCACCGCAAGCATCCCGGTGGTCGTGGTCTGGCCGGTGGTCAGCACCACCACCGTACCAACATGGACAAGGTTCGAAACGACTTCACAATCAACGAGAGAGCGCCGGACAAAATTGACTGACCGTTACGATAGTACCACCCCGGTTACTTCGGTAAGGTTGGTATGCGATACTTCCACAAGCAGCAGAACCACTTCTGGAAGCCCGTCATCAACCTGGACAAGGTACATTTCAACTCTTTTCCTCCTGCAACGAATAATTTTTGGGGGGATGTCTTGGGGCAGTGTGGTGGGAAGACAAAGAGATCAGAAAGATGTTCCCCCCAAAACTATTCGAAGCGAAATTATTCGGTCGAGGAGCAATTGACTAATGAGAGAAAAATTATAGCTGTGGTCACTCGTCCCCGTCGAGACCCGTGAGGCTTACGTCTCCGGCGAGAAGAAGGACACCGTCCCCGTTCTCGACCTCCTCCCCCTCGGTTACTCCAAGCTGCTCGGCAAGGGCCGCCTCCCCGAAATCCCTCTGGTTGTCCGCGCACGATGGGTCAGCAAGCTCGCTGAGCAGAAGATCAAGGAGGCTGGCGGTGTTGTTGAGCTGGTGGCGTAAATGCATTAACACTGTGCTGGAGTAAGGCTTGTGGATTTGGAACCGGTTTTTCACGGTGGAAAATAGATCCTCGCCCCCTGTATACCGAGACAAGGTCTTTTGGGGAAGGGATTGGGTTGTTCGGCTACGAGCATTGCATCAGGGACTCCTATAACGGAGTTTTTTAACGAATGAAAAATCAAAATTCGCCCAATGTTCTCGACACTCGGCTTCTGTGCAAAAACGAGATAGAACTGGTGTTTGGCATCGTGATGTCGTTTGAGGGATGATATCACAGTGCATGCATATGTTGGAGGGGAAAGGGGGGGTATACAACTATGAATCTGGATTCCAGATTCAGCCATTGTCTAGCTCGCAGAGTTGATGTAGTAATGCTCCAAAAAACGCCGTTAACAGTACCCATAATAGCATACATGATCGAGTACTTGTTTGACCCATCAATCTATCTAGTTTCCCTTGTTCGTTTCATCATGGCATGTCCAATTAGATATGCTTTACTCTCGTCAGTATATTATGCTAATCCTAGCAGCCCGTTTCACGCGGGCAACATGTCGACCTCGTCTTCGTCAGCCGTTTCTTGGGATGACATGCCCATATTCAAAAATTCATGGTCCAGAGCCTCTTGCGCCGTGATGCGTCGGCTCGGGTCCAACTCCATACACCGTTCCAAGAATCGAATGGCCAGCTTCTCATCGGGAGTCAGTGGTTTGTCCTCTGCCCTGCACGTGCTCCACAGGATAATCTTCTCCATAGTGAAGCCCTGTTGGCCAATTGTGGGTATCGTCGTTTCAAAGACGCAGCCGTGCAGTAGTCCGGCCGCCTTCATTCGCTTGGACCCGAATATCGTTGCAATCTCAATCATTGCCTCGACGTCATCGGCCGAGTTGAAGAAGGGAAATCTCTTTGACAGTATGGTGAGAAGAATAACACCGGCCGACCAGATGTCAATGGCCGTGGTTTGTTCCGTGCACTTGAAGAGTACTTCTGGGGCGCGGAACCCTCGAGTTCCCGCACGATTGGCACGACGGGAGGGGCGTGTGTCTGATTTAGGGTAGCCAGGCTGGGTATTCATTGAAGTTTGCGCCCAGACGGAGCCGGCCTGACGATGCTTCCGCGTTTCTCGTGCTTCATGGCAAAGACATGGCTTGCTATCGGTACCTTCTCGTTCAGCCAAGCCAAAATCCACGAGCACGCCGTGTTGGGTTGTGGGATCGTAAAGGAAGTTGGTAGGCTTGATATCTCGGTGTAGTATTTTGTGCTCGTGTACGCTCTTGAGAGCAGTGAAGAGTGATCGAAGATAGATGGCGATGTCGGGGATCGTCATCTCTCTAAAGTATGCTCGAAAGTCGCCGTGCCGGAAATAAGGGAGAATGGCAACGACCTGGTCTGTATGGCGAAACGCGGTGATGAGAGGGCAGACAGATGGACACTGTCGTAAGTCGTGTAGCAGCTCAAGCTCGTTGAGGATTCGGGCAGGACTGGATGTGACGTAGATCTTCTTGATAGCAACAAAACGCGCTCGTTTCCGTGGGGATCGTGATCGACTCGAGCGTCCCTTGAGAGGAGGAGGAGTCCATTTAGACAAGTCGTCTTCATGATCCCAGCTGTTGTCATATCGGTCGTAGTGAATGTCTTCAGCTTTGAAGACGGTGGAAAATGTGCCTAACAACCGTAAGCATTGAGCCAGCCAAGGGACTCTCATGACGTAGCTAATTGACAAACCTTCTCCAATACGCTTAATCAATCGATACCGATCTCGAAATCCGGGAAAATCCTCCTGCAACCTCTCCATGTCTGCTTGGACACTGCTTTCGACCTGCTCCTCGTCGGAGCTCTCTTCTTCCTCTTCTTCTGCCTCCTCTTCCACCTCTGGCTCGCCAACCGTTGTAGCATCCTGGCCGTCTACGTCGTCTTCGTCAATCATGACTTCTGTTTCTTCTGTTCGCGCATCTTCGTGAATGTCAAAAGTCTCCTCCACTGGCCGGAGCATTGCCGTCGCCATGGCCGCCAGCTTCCCTCCAGAGAATTGGAGGTTGGGACAAGGCAATCTGTATCTCAGCCAAAAAGCAATGCGTCCAGCTCAGCAAGATGGAATACGAAGATACAATTGAGTTTGGCTGGGCCGCTGCTCAGCAGAAAAAAGAGATCACGAGCTGGTATTTAACATCAATTGGACCAGAGGCATGCAGCGAATCAATGCAGCTCCCGAAGAAGTTCTCTAGGGCAGTGTGGAGGGGCTTTTTGGTGGCTTCGGGCAGCTACAGCGAGTGCTCAGTGGCTGGAAACGCGCCCGTTAGCGCATGGCGGGGCGCTTGGGCAAGCTGTCGCGTCCGAAGAAAATAAACACAATGGTTGCCAGGTCCCGAAGATTCAATCCCCGCCATTTGCCGCACAAACATCCATCAGTCGCAGCTAAGCGGTCGCGACGGGACGCAAATCGACGACGCAGGCGCATCGCTTCGACGCTGGGCCAGGCCTCAGCTAAGCAACAACTAACTTGACTAGCAGCGGAATCTCCAGAGCCTCATCTTCTATCCGTCTCGATTTGACCAGTCTCGATACTCCCCGCCAGCTCGGCGCGCAAACCGCCCATCATGGGGACTATCAACTTCGATATCAACGATGCGCTCAAGCACTACATGTCAGATCCTGCAACGATTCCCACGCCGGAAGCAGATGCCGCTCTATTCGATTGCGAGAATGACCCGGAGGCGCTCACCAACCAGGTGATCAATCCTGTGCTGAATCCTATCATCGACGCGGTCGCCGATAACCCAGACGCCATCCTGCGGGCTGTCAACATCGATTCATTACAATTTCTGCTCAAGTACGATTGCCAGGACAATCCCCCATCAAATATGCTGAAGAAATTGGAGGGGGGGATGACGATGAAGTTAAAGGAGAAAGCAGTGGCTAACTAGCGGTTGAACGAGATAGATATACCCCCTATATACCAGCTCACATCCTAAGCAAGGTGTTCGACTTGGTAATGAGTGGGCTGAGTGCAGAGGCGGATGCGGTACACAACGACATCGAATCACCGGAAGAGCAAGAATCCGTGGCGCATCACAAGCAACTACTCGAGCTATACGGATTCCTTATTCAGTGGACCATTGCCGCCGTTGAAACGAAAGCAGCCGAAAAGTCGTCTGCAGCGCCAGCTTCGAGAGGGCGAGGGAAGCCGAAGAAGGCATCACAAAGAGAGGACGCCTGGGATTCAGCATCACAACTTCAGGTCGCGCTTGAAATTATGTGCAAAACTCTCAAATTGAAATTGTCCAAAATCTTCATGACAACGAGCGAGCGGGATACCTTCATTGGTCTGCTCACCCGACCGGTCTATATGATTCTAGAAAATGAGCAACGTGTCAAGACAACAACCATCAGGATGCACTGTTTCAAAGTACTGTGCATTGCGGTCAAGCATCACGGCCATGGCTACGGTGTGTTTCCTAACCTCACCAAACGGCTTTACGCAACACTACTAACACTGTGACAGCCGCGCAAGTCAACATCATTCAGAACTTGACGTACTTTGAGCATTTGTCCGAACCAATGGCAGAATTCCTTCATATCCTGGCCGAAACTTACGACTATCCACAGCTAACCGACGAAGTCTTGCGCGAGATAAGTAACAAGGAATTCAACGCCAACGACACTAGAGGACCAAAGTCAGTCTCTGCATTCATCGCCAAATTATCGGAGCTTGCTCCAAGGCTGGTAATTAAGCAGATGACAATGCTAGCTAAGCAGCTAGATAGCGAAGTAATTACACCCTTTAGCTCGTCAGCAAGAAGGATGAACGGCAGCTAACCGTCTTCTAGTCATATACTCTGCGATGCTCTTTGATCGAGGTGTGCGGTAACATGATTGCCTACCTGAGTAGGCAAGATGAGCGAAGCGATAATCACAAGTCCCAGCTTAATGCCTTCTTTGACGTCCTTGAGGAGCGCTTCCTCGACATTAATCCATACGCAAGATGCCGTACCCTCCAGGTATATGTGAGACTTTGCGAACTTGAGCAGAAATTTCCCAAGCGGCGACAAAAGGCTGCCGAGCTTGCCTGCAGAAGTCTTGAAGACAAGAGCAGCAATGTGAGGCGCAACGCGATCAAGCTCTTGGGAACCCTTATCAAGACTCACCCATTCACTGTCATGCACGGCGCTCAACTCTCGCGAAAGGAGTGGCAAGCTCGTTACGACAAGGTTGAGGAAGAACTCAATGCGTTGAAGCCTCCCCCTGACATTGCTGGCTTGGCGGATGCTACAGTCGACAACAGCCTTCTCGATGAGGCCACTCAAGTAGCGTCGCCAGAAAAGCCCCGGGAAATGACGGATCAGGAGAAGTTTGAGGCGGTCCAAAAGGCACGAGAGGAAGCGGCTACGAGTGAGGCGATTGAAAAGCTCACTCTCACCAAACGATATTACAACGAGGCCATCAAATTCATCGACGTCTTGCACAATGCAACTGAGATCATCTGCCAGCTTCTTGGATCTCGGAACAAGAGCGAGGTCATCGAAGCCATTGATTATTTCGAAATTGGCGACGCCTACAACATTGAACAGAACAAGGTCGGTATTCGCCGTATGCTACGATTGATCTGGACCAAGGGCAACAGCGACGAGGGCAAAGGCGTGCAAACCCATCTCATCGAGTGCTACAAGAGATTGTTCTTCGAAGCGCCGGACTCGTTCAGCCCGAACGATGCGGCCAACTACATTGCGCGCAACATGATCAGCTTGACGTTTGGGGCTACCCCTGCTGAACTTACTTCACTGGAGCAGCTGCTTGCCACCATGATGAAGAGTGGTGCTATTCATGAAATCGTTGTCGCTAAGTTGTGGCAGGTGTATGGCGTCCAGAAACGAGAAATCTCCAAGACTCAGAGACGAGGTGCCATCATCGTACTGGGGATGCTTGCAACTGCCATCCCTGAGATAGCCGTTGGTGAGATCGAAACTATGCTGCGGACCGGTCTGGGAGCCCATGGGCGGAACGATTTGCAGCTTGCAAAGTATACCTGCATTGCTCTAAGACGGATCAATCCCACAGGCAGGCAGGCCAAGGAATCAAACTCCAAGTTTGCGCGACTTCCGAACGACCACGCGGTCTGCTCAAGGCTAGCAGCCATAACCGACATACCTTCAGACACCAAAGAATGGTACGGTGTTGCAGAACAGGCCATCAACGCAATATACGCCCTCTCTAAGCATCCAGACATTCTTTGCTCAGCTATAATCCGGCGAAAGGCCAAGGGAGTTTTTAGCCGTCCTAGTTCAAGACCAACGTCGCGGGATGAGAACATGACACCACCTGACATGGTGGACCTGACCTCTGAGAACCCCGTGCCGGCATCATCACCACCGAAGACTGCGAAGCGCGATAATGCCATTGCCCTTTCTCAGCTCCTCTTCATTGTCGGCCACGTGGCTATCAAACAAATCGTACACCTCGAACTCTGCGAATTGGATTTCAAGCGCAGAAAGCAGGAGAAGGAGAAGGAGAAGCCGGCGAAGGCGGACAAAGACAAGGAGGACGCAGACGAGCTGGATCTCATCGGCGGCACCACTGAGGATGATTTCACGGAGGCCATGGCGCACATCCGGGAGCGCGAGCTTCTGTACGGGCCGACTTCGCTGCTTGCAACGTTTGGGCCCCTTGTGTCGGAGATTTGCGCAAACAACACCACATATGCAGACAAGGGGCTACAGGCGGCAGCCACGTTGTGCCTTGCAAAGCTCATGTGCGTGTCATCTGAGTACTGCGAGACAAATCTCCCCCTTCTCATCACAATCATGGAACGATCCCCTGATGCCACGGTCCGATCAAATGCCGTCATTGCACTGGGCGACATGGCCGTCTGTTTCAACCATCTAATAGACGAAAACACAGACTTTTTGTATAGACGTCTTGCAGATACGGACGTGTCAGTGAAGCGGACCTGCTTAATGACGCTGACATTCTTGATTTTGGCTGGTCAGGTCAAGGTCAAGGGGCAGCTGGGCGAGATGGCCAAATGCATGGAGGATGAGGACAGACGTATTGCTGACCTTGCGAAAATGTTCTTTACGGAGCTGAGCACCAAGGATAACGCGGTCTACAACCACTTTGTGGACATGTTTAGTTTACTCAGCGCCGGCAACATGGAGGAGGAGAGCTTCAAGCGTATCATCCGCTTCCTCCTTGGGTTTGTTGAAAAGGTAAGGACAATTTCCCCTAGTGAAATCCATGTTTGCATATATCATAAGACTAACGGTGTGCGCAGGACAAACACGCCAAGCAGCTGTCGGAAAAGCTCGCTGCCAGACTTGCCCGCTGCGAGACGGAGCGGCAATGGAACGACGTCGCGTTTGCCTTGGGCTTGCTGCAACACAAGAACGAGGAGATTACAAAATTGGTTTCGGAGGGTTTCAAGGTGGTGCAAGCTGCCGCTTGAGCGAGGTGTGACAAGAGCGGCCATTATAAGAACGGAGGTACGGAGGCGTAGATTGTTTCATTCCAAGTGGACGGGATTTATTTATTTGTTTATTTAGAGGGGCAGCATCATTTGCCTATGACGGATCATTTATGAATGCAATGCGATTATGATGTCTAAAAAGAAACATGCTCACCGAGAATTGAGACCCTTTGCCATTGTTGACTGTTACACACCGAAGTTCTAGATCGGGGTGAGGTGAAGGAGACCCGCAGTTTCATTTGCATCTTCTAGGGTAGGTAGCAGCTCATAGAGAGGCACCTTTAGGTTCGGTGTTTATGTTGATGTATCTCAAATCCAATGGTGGTTAATGACTTGCTAAATAAGTATCTTGAAGTAAAAGACGCTAAGTAAAATAAAATGCGCATCTTGTTGCCCATCCATTGAGGATGTCTTATGTACTTTTACAATAAGTTCTCAACTAAAATAGAGAACCAACAACAAATGTTCGGAGTATTGTTTTCGGCTCTCGGAACTTACCGCGGTGTTTCTCGCTCCGCATCGCCACCTTATCCCAACTTGGCTTAGCGCACAGTTCGGCACAAAAGTCATGGCACAGAAATCGAAAGACAAACTGCACCACGTGACCCAGCCTGTCTAACCCGGTACGGCAACAAGCGGGTTGGCGGGGCGCGTGCTCCCAGCAGGTACCTTTGTACCTCCCAGCAATTGCTGAAGTATTTCAGCTTGCTCAATTGAAGGACGTTTGCGGGCAGCTGCGTCACGTCACCCTTAGCATATTATTTTCTTGATCTTTGAAGAACTGACCAAACAAACGGTCGCTCACCAACCGAGCACAGAAGCAATCCAGCATCTCTTACGACGCATCCTTTGAGCATCTTTTCCGACGCAACATCTATATTGCCGGCGTTCCCACTGCGGCCGTCGCGAACTGTTTCGCCATCCAGCATCTCCTAGGCATCTACACCGGGCCTCGTTTCTGCCTACAAACCTTCAGCAGCCTCGTCTGTGAGGGCCATGGGCTCGGATACCGTCGCTGTCGCTACCAGGATTGCGCACAGGGAAGCCTTTTAGGACCGTTTTGCAGCAAGCAATTGAGGCCTCAATTGCTGTCGCGGTTGTCCGTCGCCGCCGATCGCGCTAGTCGGGAGCTCGAGGAGCTTAGCTCTGCCTTGGAGCTTGCAAAAAAGGAGACACGACACGCGCAAAGCACGGAGATCTCGAAGCGCGCAGCCCATCATGTACGACAAGGTGGTCTCTCTGGGCTCGCGCCTACACTATCCCATCACCATCACCAAGCTGCTCAAGTCGGCGGGCGATTCCGTCAAGAAGCAGGAGACCATCATAGAGTACAAGTTCACCTGGCGACGCAAGATTGGCGACGATGAATGGGTCGATGAGACTACGTATACCGAGTTCGACAGCCCTGCCGAGGGTACCCTGAAAGAATGGCGCATCAAGGAGGGGCAGACGATTGCCGCCGACATGCCGTGCATGATGGTCGAGGAGGCCTGCGGACACGAGGTCCAGATTCAGGGCCTGTGTAGTGTCTGCGGCGCTGACATGACCGAGGTCAACTGGGCCACCGAAGAACGAGACACAGACCGGGCCATGATCAACATGACGCATGACCAGACCGGCCTGATGGTGAGCAAAAACGTTGCGAAGAGGGCAGAGCACGATACACAGAAGCGCCTGCTGCGCCAGCGGAAGCTCAGTCTGGTGGTCGACTTGGATCAGACCATTATCCATGCGTGCATAGAGCCAACTATTGGAGAGTGGCAGCGTGATCCGACAAATCCCAACCACGAAGCCGTCAAAGATGTCAAGAGCTTCCAGCTCAACGATGACGGCCCCAGAGGGTTAGCTAGCGGCTGTACCTACTACATCAAGCTACGACCGGGTCTCCAGGAGTTCCTAGAAGCTGTTTCTACCAAGTACGAGCTACACGTGTATACCATGGGAACCCGCGCATATGCTCTAAATATTGCGCGGATCGTCGACCCGGACAGGAAGCTCTTTGGCAATCGTGTCATTAGCCGTGACGAGAACGGAAGCATTACGGCAAAGAGTTTGCAGAGACTGTTCCCGGTTAGTACGGACATGGTCGTCATCATTGACGATCGTGCGGACGTCTGGCCCATGAACCGGCCAAATCTGATCAAGGTCGTACCGTATGATTTCTTCAAGGGAATTGGAGATATCAACTCGAGTTTCTTGCCAAAGCGGCAGGATATTCTACCTGCCCCTGGAAAGTTAAACGGCGTAGTGCCAAAACCCAGCGCCGAAAACGCTTCGAGCGAAAAGGTCTCACCACTTGATGAGCTAGCTCGGATGGGTGGCGACGAGGCCAGCTTAAAGGTTCAGGCGGAGGAGCAGGAGAAGACCCTAGAGAAGCAACTGACTGATCGCCCATTGCTGCATATGCAAGAGGAGTTGGACAAGGAGGACGAGAAACAAGACTCCGAAGGTGGTGCCTCTCCGAGTATTCACCACAGACAGCTATTAAGTGACGATGACGAGGAGCTTGTTACCTTACAAGACCACCTTACTGATCTCCACGCTGCTTTTTACGACATGTACGATAAGAAGAGGGAGGAGAGGAAGAAATCAGAGGGTACCCACCCGCCTGGACATACCAAAGCGCGGAGAAAATCTCATCCTGACGATGGCGTGGATCTGTCGTTTGTTCCTCCCGTGGGAGATATTCTGGACGAGCTTAAATCTAGCGTTCTCTCAGGTCTCGTCATATGTCTATCTGGTCTTGTGCCACTAGGGGTGAATATTGAGGAGTCTGAAATTGGAATGCATGCACAAAGCTTCGGAGCCCAGGTCGTGGATAGCGTCTCGCCCCGGGTCACACACCTTGTAGTTTCTCTGGCGCGACCGAGGACCAAGAAGGTGCAACAAGCGGCCAAGATTCCCAGTATCAAGATTGTGAACCAGAGTTGGCTGGCGGATTGTCTTAGCCAATGGCGCAGGCTAGACGAAAGCCCATACTACATGACCATTCTTGATGCCGACCGCGAGAGGTCGGAAGACACTGCAGAAACCAGTGCGGCCGAACTGGAAGACGCTGGCGTCTCTATCAACATGGGGGATTTCGATGAAGAACTTAAAGAGTTTTTGGGTATGGATGACGACGACGATGACGACGAGGATGAAGACGAGGGAGATGAAGAAGCGGATGAGGACGAAGATGGGGAGAATGATAGCGAAACAACAGACGGTGAGGGAGACGAGACCGATGACCCAGGGAGAAGAGGCACAAAACGCAAAACCAGAGCATCCACCATTGAGTCTGAGGGAGACGGATCAAGTGTTATTGGAGAAAGTGCGCTGGCAAAGAAACAGCGGGTGTCCCGGAGTAGAGGAGCCTCCGCATTGCGAGCCGTACTTACCCCAAACGGCGATAATGGTGAAAGCGATGAACCTGCGCCTCGAAGCACAGAAATCGACAATTTCGACGAGCTAGAGCGAGAACTGCTAGCGGGGCTTGAGGCTGCTGGCGATTAGAAGTTGAGGTTGAAGTTGAAGCCGAAGGCGATTCGCAGATGCAGACGCAACCTGGCTTTGGATTTCATTGTTTTAAAAAAGAAAACATCTGGCCGGCGCTTTTTTGTGTTAGAGTAGTTATTGGGAAATCTGGGTCAAGGTGTTTTTTCTTGTTTGAGCTTTTGTTTTCGGTTTCTTTTTTTCTTCTAGTAGTTTTCTTGCTTGTTCGTATTTTTCGAATACCCATTCTTTGGCCGGAAGGGGAAAGCAATTGAGCATTTCTCAATGAAAAAGACCTAATTCTTTGACCCCTGTGAAGTGATGCTACTTTCGCAATGTGATGATAGCACGGAGATGTAGAGGACGGTTTTGTTACCGAAAATGGATGCTATTCTTACGACCGAGGTTAGGTTCTTCGTAAGGGATTCTTTATACAATAACATCTTCACGTTTCATTCTAGCCGTTAATATCGAAACGGCCGGGCCGGGTTGTAATTGGCCCCAACGGAGGTGCAATCTCGAAATTTATCCCGTACTAACAGGTTTTGCAGCAACATTCACCCAGCAGGGATAATATCTGCTAGCACTGCTCCGGCCGGCAAGGTAATCCCTCCGGAGACCCACCCCCGTATTGACGAGCTCAGCATGGAGATTCGTGATACTGGAAAAGGAGCAAAAACAGGAAAGTCGTTACCGTGGTGGAGGTTTTGTGCATGGTTGATGGGGAGATTGGATGTGCCGGTGAGTGGAATTGGGGGAGAAAGTTGGGGACGTTGAAGTGTATATAAGGAGAGCTTGAGAAGGGAAGAGCTGTTTGCTCAAGAGGTTGGCATATTGCACTCACAATCATATCTCTCTTTTCTTTTAATAGGTTACTGTCTTGAAAACGGTTGATGTTGCACAATGGGCCTTGGATTCGATCCCGACACTGACGTACCCAACCTCTCAGGCAAAGTCATTCTCATCACTGGAGGTAAAAAAGTCCCATCCTGTCGAACCCGATGAACAAGAATTTAACCATAAGAATCAAAATAGGCACAAGTGGCATCGGCAAAACCACCATCCTTGAGCTATCAAAACACAATCCCGAACACATCTACTTCACCGGCCGCAACGAAAAGTCAGCCGCACAAGTCATATCACAATGCGCCACCCCTTCCAACGTCACATTTCTCCCCTGCGAACTCGACAACCTCGCCAGCATCCGCGATGCCGCGGCAAAATTCCATCACAATCGTCTGGACATCTTCATCGCCAACGCAGGAATCCTCGCCGTCCCGCCTGGCTTGACGAAGGATGGCTATGAGATCCAGTTCGGAACCAACCACGTCGGCAACACGGCGCTGCTGCTCCGTCTCTTGCCCATCATGTTGCGAACAGCCAAGGAGCTTCCAGACGCAGACGTGCGGTACGTGACGGTGACTTCGCTGGGCTACTACACGCGCCCACTTAATGGAATCGACTTTGACGGCCTGAAATCCGAGCAGGACAATCTGCTGCTGGGCAAGTGGGCGCGCTATGGCCAGAGCAAGTTGGCTAACTTGCTGCTGGCGCGGGAGCTGGGCAAACGGTATCCGCAGATCACGAGCGTGGCTGTTCATCCGGGCGTGGTCAAGACGGAGATGATTACGGGGTTGGGGTTATTTGATAGGATACTCATCTTTTTCAATGCTCCGCTGGGGATGCTGACGCCTCGCGAGGGAGCGTATAACACGTTGTGGGCGGCGACGTCTGGGGAGGTAAGAGGCAAGATTAACGATAAGACGGCTCTTTTTGAACCAATTGGAGTACCGCATAGCGGGGATGCAAAGTGTCGAAGTGATGAACTGGCCAAGAGGCTGTGGGAGTGGACTGTGAAGGAGGTTGGTGTTGAAGTCGAGTGAGTTGATGGGTGTTATAACAGTACTGCTCACTTGGAGGCAGTTTTTGGCGTGAAGATTATCTGTAACATTAGCTATAACTTTTGTTTCATCCCCCTTCTTCCATTTTTATAGGTAAATAGACAGCGGGCGGTTCTGTATTGGTCAATTTAGCATCATAGCACAAACGAGACCAGTAAGATATTCGCCACGCGTTCTCATGATTCGGATTTTTTCTTCTCATTCTTGTTCACAGAGTCGAGCCAACGACAAGCGGCACGCACTCATAGTGGTATATATACAAAATTCCAATTCGTCCACTCTTGCGTCCTCAGTCTATTTATTTCGAAGGAGCCGGGGATACGGCAAATGTTGGTCGCACGAATCTATATGCCGCCTGTTAGCAAACCATCGATGAATCTCGACTTGAAAGCATTGTAAAAGACGCACCTGTCGCTGTTGTAGACCTTTGTGTTCTCGCCCAACAGCTCCTTCTCGCGCTTCTGGTCGGCCCAGTATCGTCGCACTTGGTCACGGTCCTCTTCGGCCTGCAGGAGGGGAATCAGGTGGATTCGCGCCCACATCTTTTCACGAGCAAGCTCACTGAAGAGGCCAATGTCAGTTTGCGAGCCCTTTTTTTGTGTTTAGGAGTAGTAGAAAACGCTGCATTGAGTGATATGGAGAGGGGAGAGAGACATACTTGGCTTCTCGAATACCGCCGACCAGCTTGTACCAGCCGTAGCCCATGACGGCACCCATACCGAGGAGGAGAATTCCAGGTCGGAAGCCCTTGGCGGGGAGATTTCGCTGAGCAGAAATGTTAGCCTTTCCCATTGTCTGACTTGTTGAAGATGTCAAGCCATATATCTCTCGCGATTGATGTAGCCTTGCGATCCCGCCAATGCGGATTCGCACAGCCAATCCTGCACTGAGGAAGATGATAAAGACAATAACAATCGACCGCCACTACCAGCAGAAGCCCTAGAGCAACGCACCTTGTACTGGACGGGCTCGTACCCGCCCCGAGGGGGCATATCTTGGGCCATGATGGACGGTTTGCTGCGGTCGAGCCGGGACGGAGATAGGGTCAATCGCGGTGTGCGCTGAGTAATCGGAGAGTCGCCTCGTCAATCGAGATTGAGGCCAGTCGGGATACCGCTGCTGCACGCCGTTTGCAGGGGAGATTCGATGTCGTCTGGCGCCAAAAGCTATGGTGAGGGCTGTTTTCCGTGAGAGCCTCCTCAGAGGTTGACGGTGCGATTACATAATGCGGGTTTTGGTGGGGCACAGCTTCATTGTCCACGGCAAGAGGGAAGGAAGTCTGGCTCCAATTGCCTGCTTAGCAAAGGGCGGGAGGACTATCTTATCAGGTACTGGCAAAGTATATGGCTCTGCATACAAATCCAATCCATTCATCATCATCTGTTTTGCTTTCGTATTCATGGATTTGCTTTGCGTCCGTGATTAAGTCCAAGTTTGTTTGAGTGCCGGTTTCGCATCTTTCTTTTTCACATGCCAGTAGTTGATTCTAAAAACTCAGTGAGCAGGGGCATTGGATTCATCCCGCAGCAGATTCCTCTTCATGGCTCGGCAAACAAAGGCAAACCACACGACGAGGGGCAGAGATGCAAGACAGAGGCAACAAACAGGCATGGCGGATGAATGGACAGCTGCAACATGCTATGCAGTGCCGCTGACTCGACATGCGTCCATGCCTTAGTCCTCGAGCGAATGGCATCTAGGGATCCTTAGGCATCATCATCCTTGGACCTTGTTCCAGCACGCGATTGAGACAGCCAGAAAGTTGCGCCGCAGCAGCCACATTCTCTCTTGGTCGCCCGGCCTGGCTTCGGCCACTTGGAATCGCCAACCGCAGTCGGAAAACTAGCTTGGTTCGAATCGATTGCTCATCCCCCTGCGTAATGAGCTGCCGTCTTATCTACAGTATCTGGTGCCGGCTCAAGCCTTCCCGCAAGTGAAACTATCCTGGGGACCCTCACGAGCATCAAGATGGTGCCCCAATGCATTGTGCAAGGGCCTGTTTCTTGCGCCTGTATTACTCCGCGCGTCTGCCCGACGACGGAGTGGTGTGGAGTCCTGGTCCGTTTCTAATGCCCACAGGCTCACTTTGCCGGCCTCGGTGGCTGGACTCTCGTCATATTCTCGCTGGCCATGTAACGCAGCATCCGATGAACCAAACGACTCAATCAATCAATCCCTTGTGCCCAGCCTCATCTCGCCCTCGTCTCCACAAGCCTTGACGCTGGCCTCTATTGCTGGGCCCCGCTCTCGACTCATATCGCAAGACTTTCGCCACAGCTCAAATGTCTGGCCAAGCCATTTCCGCTTTCATCCCGATCATACCCGCTATTCGCCGCTTCTGCTTCTGCCTGCGGCCTTAGCTTGGACGGCACTGCGCCGCGGATCGACGTATGAGATGGGCCTTTTTCACGTCTCCCCGGACTGCCATCCCTGGCTGGCTTGATGCTACCCTTTGTGCCTGCTTGGGTTTTGCCTTGTTTGCGTAGCAGGTTGTTGGACGCCTAAGGGGGTGATATGGGGTGATGGCCACGGCGCTCCGATGAAAAAGACTCAGTCCCCGTTTTTGCATGAACTCTATGTGATTGCTTTTCTTCTTCTTGTTTTTCTTTTTGATTTAATTCAGAAATACCCAACTCTTTTCTGTTCTCTTCTTACCTCTTCTCTTTGCAGCGTCACATTGCGCCGTCTGTCCTACCTTCAAACGCATATCACTGGATCCATCATCTTGTCTTCAACCATTCATGGATCATCATTGCACTACCCATTGGTAGGGGAAGAAGAGACAATACGACAGAAATAAGAGAAGAGAAAGAGAAGAAAAGAAAAGAAGAAAACGGCACTACCGCGATTCAACATTGCATCATGTACGGAAGCTTTCAGCGGATTCCTTATCCCACTCACAAGAGTCCCATGGATGGCGATACAGCCCACCGGGACCTTGACTGGGTATACGCCTCCCAAACCGATCGCATCTACGTTTTACGGGTGGGCGACTTTGGTGTTACACGTCAGCAGAAGCTCGACGTCCTACAAAACGTCTTCTGGCCCGCTCTAGCCCGCTGGGTCATCTCGAGGCAGCTGATTCTGCCTGGCGGCACCATCCTTGGCGGCTGGTGGCGTGCCGACATGCAGGGGATGATGGACTGGTATCGCGAATGCCTTCACATGACGGCTCGATGGGAAGACGCCATCATCGCTCACACAGATGGCATATGGAGGACGGCATTGGAGACTTCGCCTTGGCGGGACTGGCCTGAGTTCTTCCTTCTTCTGAACGAGCCTGTTGTCGACGCCAGTGGTCAGCCTATCAGGGATGCTCAGGGTCGAATTGTATACAAGGACCGAGATCCAACTACCGATGGCATGGAGGATGCGTTCCTGGACGTGTGGGAGGCCGTTGCTAATTCCCGATCGCTCGCAGACTTCGTGGATAAGCGCACTGTCAAGGACGGTGATTTGCTTGCTTCGCGAACACGCACAACGACAGATTTGTGCGTATAATTGGATTCAGCGGCGTTTTACCATTCTCTTCTCTTGTTTCTTTTTGGGTATACTTCTATTTACTGAAGCCGGCGTATGGGGAAAGGATTTCAGGTGTACTTGCTTGCTCTTAGCATTATGGGACTACTTGATGACAGTTTACGACAGCGACATGCTCATTTATGAATAACGAATATAATTAACCCATCGATTTGACCACTACTTTCGCTATAACTGCGTATAAGCATGATGTGACCATACGATTTGCATTCTTCATTCTATATTGCGCGCAATCTATTCCAGCCACGAAACCAGCAATCACATTATCTTTCCATCTCCATCCAAACAAGGAAGATGGCCATATCCAATCCGTAGAAGGTAGGAAGAAAGAGAACACACATATGCAGAGCATTAAAAAGCACCTGTTCTAGGCTTTATGTAGCAAAAGAAAAAAGAAGAAAAAAAGCAAATCCTGCTGCTCCCTCCATTCATCCAAAAAAAAAAACAGTCCCAAAAATAAACATAGCCTCGTTTCGTCAAAAAGAAAAAAAAAAAAAAAAGAAAGAGAGCGGAAAGAGAAAAGAAATCGTTCATCTCATGCCTTGCCCGACGCCTTGCTATTGTTACCCAATGCCACGCCATCCAATCCCTCGCTCAACTTGGTCGTAATCACATCCGGATCAGGCTCGTCGCCTCGGACAAATGTCCAGCTTTCTTCCGTGTCCTCATCTTCTTCGGTTTCTAAGTGTCCATCTGTATGCTTGATTAAGCTCTTTGCATATTCCATGTCTCGATATATCGACTGAATGGCAGTTTCGACACCACTCTCCTGCAAGATCGTTAGCACAGAGGGCATAGTTTCAAAACGGCTGGGAAATTCTCCTTACCTTGCGAATCTGTTCACCTAGGAGCCGGGCCTTGACAATCATCCGCTCGTTACGCGTTACCTCCCAAAGCGCCCGGCCGAAAGACTTGGTTCCCCATTTCTTAACCCACACACCAACGCCCAAATCTTCTACGCGGCTTGCAAAGAAGAATTGGTCTCCAAAGAATGGCCGGATGATGGTTGGGATGCCGGCTCTTAAACTGGCACCAGTGGTACCGGATCCACCGTGGTGCGCTGCTGCATCAATCTGACGGAATAGCCAGTCGTGCGGAGCAGACTTGATGACGTGGATCTCGGGCGGCATCACTGGTTCTGCCATAGGTGGCCCGGTGGGCTCGTCTCTTCCAGTAGTAATGCGATCTGACCATCCCTTGGACAGAATGCATCGAACATCGGCTTTCAGGATGGCATCAATCACCTCCTGGGTCATCTTTGCCGGGTCGTTGACAATGATGGAGCCAAAGCCAACATAGACAATCTTCTTGCCGTCGGCCCTCGCCTTTGCAATAAAGTCTCGGAGCTCTTGAGGAGGCTCATAGTCACCGCCTTCATCCAAGAACCAGTAGCCGGTGACTCTGACCCAGTCTGAGAAATCCAGAGGCGGCGCAACAACACTGGGGCTAAAGTTGTATAAGAACGGCACCTTGTTGGGCTGCATCTTTTCCAAGCCAGTGTTTGGTAACCCGAGCGTCTTGTTCCTCCATCTGTTTACCTGATGTGCGGTAGCCTTCCAGAAGATGTTGTCAAACATGACATAAGTCATGTAATTGTAGGCACCGCCCATTTTGTTTTCTGGCATAATAAACGCGTGGGGATACGCCCTTGTCCTTGTCCACGGCATTGTGAATGCTCTGAAGTATGGAATGCCAAGCTTCTCTGCGATATGGATTCCTGCCATGGCGGATGGCGACTCAATGAGAAGCTCAGATCCTTCACAGGCCTTGTATGCGGAGTCAAGAAGATCATCGAGCCAACCTCGGAAGGTCGCATTGGCTTCTCGAAGGAATGAAAGGGTAAACGTTCCATTTTCAATGCAGAGGCGCATGAGTTCTCCGGGGTCGCCTTCGACACACGCGAATTCAATACCGTGAGATTCAATCCACCCTTGGAACTCGGCGTGAGTGGCAATCCGTGGCTTGTGGCCGTCTGCGAGCAATCCTTTACATAGTGCAATGTAAGGCTGAACATCGCCCCTGGAGCCAATTGTCAGGCATGTGATTATCATGGGATGAGGCGACTTGAACTGGATCATTGATGTTTCCAAGTCATCCCCAAGGATATGTGGACCCTGAGATAGCGACGCGGTCGATTGGGCTAGCTGAGGCTCACGATCCGCGAACATGTCCCCTGTTGCTATTTTCAAGGCATCTCGCTCTGCAACAGCAGCATTTGCCACATCTCTGTATTCTTTCTCTAGGATCACTGATTCTTGAAGATGACGATCGGTTTCCAGGCATTGGAGCAGTGTCACTGCACAATCGTCGCGAATCTCGGCCTGTCGGAACTCAAAGAAGAGCTCTTCATGTCCACGGATGACCACAACCAAGCCAGAGTACCCAAAGCGGAAGCCCTTCTCCTTGTGTGCGTTTTCGATATCCTTCAAGGGTAGAATCAACTTGGTACGAGTCCCAGGAAGCAAGCTTCGAAAGCAGAAATACCGGCCGCTGAGGTAGATCTTGCCATAGAGCGGCAAGACACGCATGATGTAACCAAAGTATGTGGCCTGCAGTCTTTCTGTCTCGGGGAGTGCGAAATGGGCTCGAAACCGCTCGTTAGAAGTTTGGATCTGGCCATCATCATCCTCTTCCAGTTCATCTTCGTCGGGTCGTAAACCGGCTGGTTCATCGTAGTGCTTGCGCTCGCCTTTCCACATACCAGACACCTTTTCAACATAGCCCATAGACTCGGTAGCAAGGAGAGTGCTCATTCGTTTACCCGTCTTGTTGAGGTAATCAGCAAACGCACCCGCGCGCTGTAGAGGATACGCTCCCATCTTGGTGATACTCTGTAATGTTGGTGTCGAAGTTCGTGGGGGTTCAACAGGCCCGGTATAGACTGATTCCTCGTTCTGACTACCTGCCGCTGAGGCCTGCTGCCCTTGCTTTGACTCGAGAGCCTTGTTCTTGGCCTCGGTGTAGTCGCGACTGGAGGTTTGTGAGTGTCTCATCGTTGGACTTTGGAATACATCGCTGCCCCTCAGAATTTGGCTCGCAGAAGGATCTTCAAACGCAGATTGGGTGAGGCTAGCGAAGCTCGGCTCTTCCATTGAGGAATACAGATTGGACTCGGATGATTCCATTATCCGCGATGATGTTCTTTCTTCTGCGTGCCGGTCACTGTCTTCTCCTCTGTTGTCGCTGGATCCTCTGCCCCGCGAGCTCTTTAAGCTCAGCACACCTTCCTCATCGGCGCTGGGGTGTGGGCTAGGACTTGTTGAACCAGGCGATGTTGAAGAGACAACTCCTTGTGCAGGGCCCAGGAACTTGGTTGTGAGTGCGCTATCGACGCGGGCTAGATTTCGGAATGCGCCCCCAGAGACGCGGGGTGATGAAGACTGGTCTGAAGATTCTCCTTCCTGAGCGGCAATGGCTTTACCAGCGGTCGGACCCTCTGCAGATGCATTCTCTACCAAGAGTTTGATGACCTCTATGGCTTCTTTGCCAAAGGTAAAGAATGAGAAGAAGTACTGTGCATTACACATGTTAGAATTGCAAGTTACAAACTCCGTAGAATGGGGCGCCATTGAACAAACTGACCTCGTTGATTGTAAAAGTTTCATCGCTATCGATGACTTGAATCTTGCAAGTGTCTGAAAATTCCATCATCTGGGTGTCTTCGATGTCAATGATGTTATCAATAGGCAAAGATATTTTAACACTGTCACCATCATTGTGGCTTCGGAAAATGACTCTTTGCAGGCTCTTCACCCACTCCTTTGCACTTGGTGCACTTTCGGCTCTGAAGTTGTAGGTACGGTGGCTCGTCACCACCGAAAAGTGCACGCCCTCCTTGTCTTCGTCGGTGATGCTGGCAGAGATGCCGAAACTAAGGTCAATATGGCCATGCGGGAAGTACAAATTTGTGGCATCTTGGTAGTACGATAGAACATCGCCTTTAAGGCGAAACCAGTAACGGTTGTACTTTGGGTTCCGTTTGCCACTTTTTGAGAGATAACCAGATTTGGCGACAGTGTGCTATACAGACCAGTCAGCCAAGTTGAGCAGTACAGTTCTTGAAAGGATCATCTTACCGTCTTCTTTGGAAAGTACGCATAGAAGCAAATGTGCTTGGAAGTGATGTAAAGGAAACCTTGAAGCATTACTTGTTGGAGCAGCCAGCAGGGATACTCTACACATGGCAGTTTATCAGTATCGATTTCGGGGCAAGGAGTGCAACGTAGCGTAGACATACCTTCTATGACTCGCTCTGGTTCGTCAAACCCGAATATTTCCATCAATTTCTTTGCCAGCGCTGTGGTATCCTCCTCTTCATCATCTTCGTCGCCCTCTGCTTCGTCTTCTGCTTCGTCCTCTGCCTCCCCTTCATCTGTGCGATCCGGGCCAGATGAGTCTCTTTCGATATCGAAGCTAGACCGGCTGGCCATTTCAGCCCTGGCTTCCAGCATTCTGCTCATGACGGGCGCTATTCGAACGTCCTCTTCGTCGGGATGCTGTGAGGGCATTTTGGGGGAGGATGGTTCACTAGGCTCGCTCTGCTCGTCCACCTCTTGGGTTGGTTCCCACAGCCGGCCAGAGCCGGAGCCTGTTCCCGTCCTGCTCTTCCTCTTGGGCAACGAAGCAAACGACTTTAATAGCCGGTGACCGGGAACCTGCTGCTTGTGTCCCAGTCTCTTATCCTTGGGCGGCAATGAGCCGAATATGGCCGTTTGTGAAAGGTCTCGATGTCGCAAGTTTATGGGTTTCAAGCTGCCGCCTTCGTCCTCGTCGCTGCTGCCGTCGTCGAATCGCGTGTTGAAGTCGACCCTCGAGCCGGCGGCAGCGATCAAGCCAAAGATGCTCTGGTTCATATTCACAGCCATGGGGCTGGGCTTGGCGAGGTCGGCATTTTCGCTTGTCTCGTCGTCGCTGCCTTGGAGAGGTTCAGGGAGCTCAGCTGTCGGTGTCGGTGTCGGGTCGTCGTGCGTCGTCTGCGGCAGCTCGACATGGTCCTGGCCGTCTAGGCTGATGTGGCGGGGAGTGGGAGTTGTAGCCATATTGGCCAAAAGGCAGAAAAAATAAGTCTCAGCCTAGATAGCTAGAGCTGCCTGGAGATGCGGAGACTTTGAGAAGAAGGCTTGGGATTAGGTTTCCAATGGGCGCGGGTCAGCACAGAGACAGAGTTGCAGATGACGGAAGACGTGCAGCCGCGATCAAACGGCCAGGCAACGGCCAGCTCCGCCAACCGCCTAAGATTATGCGAGGCAGCACTCGGCAGACAGATACCGCGCTGGAGGCTGCTTGAGGATCTGCGTTCTGCGTCCACTCAACGCTGAGGTGATTCGTGCGAGGTTGTTGAAGTGGTGAAGCTGGAGCCGCTCATGTATGGCTGCATCGAATTAGTACCTGATAAGGTTCGCGGACTGCCGGCTACCTGGATGTACCTACTGGGTACTTGCGCTTGCACTCCAGGTTTGGTACACCGCTCGCTATTATACACAGGCCCCCTGCGTGATTGTAGGTCGAATTAGCGCCGTAGGACTTGGTGTAGAGGTAACGAGGTACGTCAGAGGGAGGAGGCTTCAAATCAGATGAGCGGCTGCTCATGTAGTCTGATCGTACAGGTACCGTGGCGGCAGGTCCCAGCACTAACCTTGGAAGGCACTGGCAGCTGGCGATTCGCCAAGGGAGCACTTATCGATAAAGGCGCAATGCAAGGGAGATGCCGCACTGTCACTGTTCGCTATCTTGTGATGGTTCCTCTGCATATGTCTGTCACACTCGGTGTGTAGTGTATAATATAGAGGTAATGTCAATGTCAGAGGTAATATTCTCATGCACAGGCCAATCGAGGACAGGCCGTTTATCATTTACATGATGCGCAATGCCCCGGCGGCGACACAAGTCACACTCATCGGCGTCTTAGTCCAGCCCGTGGCTCTGCCTCCACTCACGTCCCCCATGTGATATGATCATGTACTGGCCATGGGGGATTGACGATGACGTGCGCTGTAAATAAAGAAATGCGCACCGGAGCTCTATGAGACAGGTGACGGGCTGCCGACTCATACTTGCTTGGGCTCTTGACTATTATTCTGCAAGCATTTGGTTCTACAGATCGGAAATGATGCGCTGGACATGTTTGCAAGTGATGAGGTTCATGTTCCCAAGTACCTTATCTACTGTACTGTAAGTGACCACTCTAATACCAGGTGGCGGCAATAAGACTTTCATTCAAATCATCACCGACTTGCACTGCCTCATATCCTTAGTACCTGGCTTTGCATCTCTCTTGTGTGTTACGAGTACGAACCGAAAAAAAGGGTCAGAAGTGCTACCAAGGTGCACAGCTGCACAGCACAGGGGTAACGCTGCCGCTTTAGGCCGAGGAAGGCGGACTTGGCCTATGCTGTGCCACCACCTCTGGGCTTCCCTTTTCTGTTTCAGCCTTTTCGTTTTCGTTTTCGCCTTTTCTTATGTCTACATTTATATTCCTTGCTGTGTAGATAATAAACCCAGTAGTAGTAATTCCGCAGCTCAGATCATCCGACATTTACACCTCCAACGTGAGCCAGACTCCATCTTACTTGTCGAGTAATGCGCTTAAGCTTTTGCATTCTGAGCTGACTCATCTGGAGTCCCGGCGCCACAGAAATCAGTGCTTGCTTTTGCTCCCATGAACAGTTACCAGAAGCGGAAGAAAGAAAACATGCATTTCTTGTTCAATCGGATCAGTCGGATGACCTTTTGGTAAAGCTGAAGGCTTCTCCCGCCTGCTTTAGCTTTCTAATTTAGCTGGACGCCTTGAAATGTTCCATCTCGAATAAGTCGGGCACTACTAAGCTGCCACTCCCGCTATATCACGGGATGCGCCTCGCCGCTTTGCAAGCTCCGTCATCGGCCTATCTGCAGTTATAAATCGCTTTGTTTTTCCTTGAGTTATACTGAACAAGACATTGATTATTTTATCCGACAGATACGTTACAGCTATGATATGGTCTTTTGGCTGTTTTTGGTCCTCAATGTTCAAGTGAATGCAGATTATCGCGAGATGGTTAATGGGGGTACAGTGATTAGCGTACAGTCCAGAGGAGGCACTACGCAAGTACGCGGGATAGCATTCACTATGTAACGTCACAGATCAATACAATCCAATAGCTGGCTTACGTTTATATCAAAATCAATGATATCGCCAACTTCAGACACCAGTTGAACGTTCAACTCTGTACTAAATTTTGTTGTTCTCACGAGTGCTTCGCTTTCACCCAGTCTACAATACCATTTAAGTTCTTTGCAATGTCATCCCAAAGCCCCATATTCCCCGCATCCCTCTTATCTAGCGACGCCGTTGCGGCTCTACCAGAGGGATTCAGCATCCGACCTCTGGAAAAGGGAGATTATGCCAAGGGATTTCTTGACTGCCTTCGCGATTTGACATGGATGGCCAATGTCACAGAACAAGAATTCAACGAGCGATACGATGAGATGGATACTGGCGGCAAAGGCCCCTACTACTATCTTGTCATTGAGCATGAGGGCAAGATTGTAGGAACAGGTGCTGTGATTGCTGAGAAGAAATTGTAAGTCTTTTCTGGAACCTAGCTACTTATTTCTTGCTTTTAACAAAGATGGAATGAAAGTATACAAAACCGCACCACTGTCGGCCACATTGAAGAGATTTGCATCTCCAAAGACCATCAAGGAAAGAGGCTGGGCTTCTATATGCTCGGCGCCTTGAACTCGGTGGCCAAGAACGTAGGATGCCGGAAGACACAACTCAACTGCAGTCAACATAACATTCCGTTCTACGAGAAATGCGGTTTCGAAGTTAGCAGCACGGAAATGCAGGCCGTATTCGAGGAACAGGGAAAGGAGAACTAAACGACGCCTGCATCATCATCAATAAGCAGCTAAAAGCCCATAGACGGTGGAATGGCAATAATTTGAGCACGCCTGCCTCTCTAATAGAGAAAATCATTATATGTATACATTGAACAGAGTTCTGATTCATGCTCTTCCGTCTGTTGCCAGCTATGTACAGATCTTGAAATCCAAGTCGGCGAGTCAAGGAGTAGACCCCGCATTTCTTCATCCATAGCAACGATTCCCCGCCGTTGTCGACGATATCTCTAATGGTATAGCCCGAGATAAAGCTATAACCGAAACACAGCTACCTCTCCGTCAATGCATAATTATTAACAGCAGGTGACAAAACCAAAGCAATCCTTTTTGTAAGTGTTTCCAGACATCCCAAGTTCATCTACTGCCATAGACACAGCTTGCCGCTTGCCGTTCCGCCAGCTACCCAATCCATAGTTGGATGGAAGTGAGCTACAGCTGGAACAGCAGAAATGCCATCTCCTCCAAGTTGGGCCAGCTGACTCCCGTCCGAAGCGTATACGTCAACAAATCGGTTCATGTTGCCGATTGTGAATTTTTGAATCCCGTCTTTCGGATTCTTCTGCCACTGTGGCTTTAAGATGGTAACCCACCTACCGGTCTGATTGTTATGCCTGACCGTGTGTGCGGGCTCCATGACCTTCGCCTCGATACTCTGACCAGGCTTCCACTTCGAGGCCTCTGAAAAGTCGTAGATCTTTATCGTATCATCATACGACGACGTTGCGACATGACCGCCTGCACTCCATGAAGCATGAGAGACAGACAGCCGTGATTCATGTTCTCCAAGCAATGCAGGGTGCCTCAAATCACCCTTCCCGCTCATCTTCCGGAGATCCCACACCTTCATGGTTCTATCAAGGGATGCAGTGGCCAGAAGATAGGGATGCAGAGGATGCATAGAAAATCCTCCAATTTTCTGTTCGGATAGAGTCCACAGCTCTTGGCTGCCCGGTGCCCTGGTATCATAACGGCCCACTGATCCATCTAGAGTCGAGAAATAAAGCAAGTTGGGTTCCGCAGCGGGAATTTCCAAGGTCGAGATCGGTAAGTCTTCATAGGCATTTTCAGGTGCAAAGACTTGCACAGAGACGCCCTTTTCCAAATCCAGTTTTCGTATTGAAGAATCGTATGATGCAGAAAATACAGCATTCGCGTCAATTGGGGAGAATGCAAATGACGTGATCGTCCTTGCGTGTGTCTTGAATGCAGAAATGACGGGATCCGGGATATCATCGTCGTCATCGGTCACCTCGGGAGCTGTTTGAGAAGCGTCGAAAACGCCCATGGCACCTTCTTTATCGCCCGCAAACACAATCGGCTTGTCTTCTGTTGGATGGAAGCCTAGCGCATACACTCTTTGGGGCGTGATTTTGATGTCTATGGGAGAAATTGGGTGTTAGAGCTGCGATTACGAGACTAATTCTAGGGAACCTACCATTGGGAATCCAATGCTCGTAGAGCTTTAAGCCATTCATTCGCCGTCGTAATTCTTTTAGGTCACCACCTGTGGCCTCCTTTGCGTCGTACTCAAAGGTCCGTACACCCGGCTGTGCACCTCGAAAGATGCCCTTTAGGCCGTCCATGCTGCTTGTGTATTTTTTGCCGTCCACGATAATATCGCCCAGGTTCATGTCGTCGCCGATTCGAAGCCTTTTCGCTTTGACTTGCTCGGCTTGGTGTTCTGCTTCCACTTCCAGTTTCCGTTTCAAGACCTCATCATCGGCAGCAACACCGGCAAGCCGGGAGCTCATGCGCGTGCCCCGACGAGGCTCTCTAACCACCGGTTCTGCTTTGACTCTCTTTCGCGGAGTCGAGGACTTCGATACCGGCTTGTCTGGTATAATCTTTTTTGCGGTAACGGAAATCTCGGATAGAAGCGCCTTATTCGCAGCAATGTTTTCGAGACGACGACGTTCGAAGGCACTGAGGCCATCACCTTCGTTCTTTGGCGCCATGTTTCCGTGGTCGAAGAGTGAATGCTTGAAGAGAAAAACAAAGAAAAAAAGAAATTGAACGAGAATCAAATTCGTGTGAACCGAAATCGCCAGATGACAAAAAGTTGATGCTGGTATAAGTGCAGCCAAAAGGTGAGCGATGGGTGAGGCGGATTGAATTTGGAGCTGAACCGAGAGCCCGTCGCGTGGCACCGCGTCTGTGCCGTTAATTGTTCTGGCGCGAAGTCACGCGCATCAATTATCCCTAATTTAGTGGGACGTGCAGCGCTCTTATTAAGGAATCAAAGCATCATCGAGAGCAAAATCGTGAAGCCCATTCACCGGGGTTTAGCCGTATAAAAGAACTTTCAATCCTCAGTCGCTGCATCTGGTTTTTCGAAGAGTCGAGTGCCGAAGCAGCAATTTTTCGGCATCAAATATATTTTCATGCCAACAATGGCTTCAACCATGCTTCCATTCTTGTATCAAACACAGACCCTTCGACGGGCTGTCAGGGGACCCTTTGTTGCGCTGAATCTCGTCCGTTTGGCTCACTCTGCACGCCGGGTTAAAAGGCCTGCAGACAATGCCATTCCCTTCCAATGGGAGTCTGGAGACCAAGAGTTGGCCAACATCGAAGCGGAGCGTGTTTCTACCATTACGCCGTCAGAGGCTCAGATCTTCAAGGGGATTTTCCATGAAATCGCCGAGGGCAAAATGCCGCCTGCGAAGAGAAGAAGTCCTATCCGGCATCTGCAAGATGGGCTTCAAAACCTCAGCGATGCACCCACGAGCAGCGAAAAGGACAGCCCTGGCTCGTCTCGCTCACTCGAGGAAAAGACCCGCATCACTGACTTCCGGGAGAGATTTCTGAGCCGGTATCCCAGATCGCTCCAAAACGCCGCGCAAGTTGCACTCGGCCTGTATGAAGTTAAGCCTCGGAATTCGGACTCGGGACAGGATGCCCAGATGATGGAGCTGGATGGTGCTGATGAGGCGACATGGGCAGAGCGTGCAGAGCGGGAGCTTGCGAGGAGCGAAGAGTGCGAGAGAGTGGAAACTCTGATGAAGGAATGCAAAACTGATGCCGAGTTGTGGAGTGTGATGGAGAAGGAGGTTTTTTCTCTGCCCGAAAAGCTACATATAGCACAGGCAAAGCGGTCAGACGTCCCAAAGGGCAGAAAAACCAAGAAGCAGTCCGCTCTGTTGGATGCCGAAGGACAGCAATCGGCATCGGAAATGGCCTCGCAGGATGAGGAGCGCGTGATGAGCATCCACGGGCCGCTGTATTCGCGATTCCTCAGCACGGCTCTCAATCTCTTCGACACGGCTTTTGCTCGCCCGTCTCCGTACATCTTCCAGATTCTCCCCCGCATCAAAGAGCTCGGCTTGCCATCGTTTGTGCTCGGTGTCTCCACGCCGTTTTACTCCAAGCTGGCTGAGATTCACTGGCAACGCTTCGGTGACGCCAACTCTGCGCTCGATATGCTGATGGAGATGAACTCTGCAGGCCTATTCACGAATAAGAAGGTGAATAGTCTCATTTCGCAATTGCGCAATCAGCTGCACGCGTGTACTTGGGGTGGCCAAGGTCCCTTTGTCATGGCCATGATGGAGTCTCCTCCGTATGATGGCGCATTGATGCGGAGGCTGGAAGAAGTAGAAAAGACGATTGTACAATCGTCACAAGACCGTCTGAAGGACTATTCTTTTTAACTGATATGACATCTTCTCTCTTACTATCGATACTACTGCTGAGTCTTTACGAACCTCCATGCGCCACCAAGGAATGACTTCCGTCTGTATCATACCTATACATGTACCAACAACATTTACGACTTTATGCCCCCGAATTTTACTCCGTATACATGGCACTCTTCCGTATAAGCCATAGATAGACATAAATAGACAATGCTCAATCCCTCTTATACCATCATAGACTCCAACAAAGCATGGAACTATTGTGTAGCTGCAGCAGTAGTATTACCTCGCCTATGTGCGACGGAATCCATGCGTATGTATGTTTCACTCGATTCCTCCCAACCGCCAGGTGGGATGCTTTAATTGGATCTAATGCACCGGGGGTAAAAGGACTTCAGCTTAATACCTCCCCGAGCTCCCCCATTCGCCGTCCTCGCACTGTGCCATCGTAACCTTGCTTTTTATATGCATCCATCTACTGCACGAGAGACATGCAATCACACCCTCTCAGGTATTGCCCAAGCAGCCTTGTCCAAATGTTTCCATGTACTATTTATTTCTGCGTTGTCCCGCGATTTTATTGCCATCTTCACTTCAATAATACAGCCGTTCTTTGCTTGGCATTGAGTGAATACCCTTCACAATTCATGAACACTGAATTAGAATAACACTGTCCTTTAAGCTTACTATAGCATTTTATTGTCTATCACTATATAAAATGTCTCACAATAATCAACTCTCTATCAATAACCGAAATCAACGAGCTTCCACTAGCGTAGCTGCACCTCAGCAAGGAGGCCATCATGACAGGCCTCTATCACTTTATCCAAGGCTGCATCTCTTAAAGATGCCACTAGAGGTTCGCCTCAAGATCTTTAATGAGCTGTGGGAAGAGCGAGATTTCGATCTGCTCTTGTTCATCAAAGATTACGAAGAGAGACATAATGACGAGAATCCTTTTACTCTTGCTCTCATGCACTTCATTCACTTCAACAAGAGTCCCAAGGTTCACTGGCCCAATAAGAAGATTCCGTGGGACAAATACGCAGCGTGCCTCGGCAGAATCGAGCAGCTCTGGTCTTACCAGCGACTGCACGGAGGCATTCGTAGCAATAAGCCTTATTTCAGCGTTTTCAACCTGATGATGTCCTGCAAACAGATGTGGGAAGAGGGAAGCCTTGCCTACTGGCGTCAGAGACGATTACAGGTGGTCATTACCAGAGAATTTGGGGAGATCCCACGCGGAGACGAGGAGGAATTTTTGATGTCCGATTGCACAAGCAGCATACTTCTTGGTGGCAGTATTGGAGAGAGTGTCAGAGTCTTGACCTTGAGATTCGATGATAAAGTCTTGAATTGCAGGGTTAAACATTGCTACAATGTACCCGGGGTGATTGTCTGCGACCGACACGCTGACGGCAGCTTCACACCAAAGCTCCGATGGGCTCAAGACACCATAATGAAGGCCCTTAAACTCTTTACCAACATCACTTGCCTAGAGCTTCTTATCGAAAACAACCGCATCTACGAGCTCTATAACAATATGGGCACGTTTGACGAGATATTAGAGTATGTGAAGAAGGAAAGGCCGCTGATCAAAGTCATCCGATTCAAGGGTGGCCAATGCACAGATCTTGTGAAGCAATGGAATCTTGAGCTCGATGCCTCTGTTTCCGGAACAGCCTGGTCCATGAGCCCTTGCGTCCCTACTTGTAATGAAAAGGTATACAAGGATCACGTTGACAAGTTCGATGTCACTCCACGAGAGGTTGACCAGCGTCCAAATTTTGCCTGAATTTGTCTGGGCCTCATCTATTTGGGTACAAAAGATCTATAGGATATAGAATACTTCACGTCAGCGTGGCATGATAAATTAGAGACTAGTTAGAGTATATTCAACTCCAGCTCAGGCGGGACTTCTTTGAATGATTTAGTAGTTAAGCGCCATTACCGCTTCTGTGTGTCTCACCTTTAATCTTGACTCAGTGCGCTGACGACTTCGGAAGTACTTCGCACTTCAGCAAACTCCTTCAAACTTTCTATATGCACGCGATGGGCTGTTTCAGCATCGATGCCTCCTTTCCCAAACGTCCTAGTTGCGTCGTGAACAAGGATGATTCGAGGCATGTCAACCACAAGCTCACTCTGTCCTCCCTCGGGTTTCTCCAGGGATGCGTACACTCCAGCTCCATCAGTCCATAAAGAAGATAGTGCAACATCATCCATATTGCCTCGGCCTCCCCACTTCCCGGTAAGAGCGAGATTCTGTGCTGAGCGTACAGCCGTGCTAACGGCGTGATCCGTCGGAATCCCGGCAATAAGCAGCGTTTTGATGCCCTTCTGGTTTAACAAATGCTGCAGAGGCGTATTGATGAACACGCTGTGGCCATGAGACGTCATCAGGATCTCGTCTGAAACTGGACGAGGAGGATCATCTGGTTTGGGTGGCGGAGGCGGAGCATCGGGTTCATCAAACGTGTACACAAAGACGGGGCCTTCCCGCCTCTGTATCAGCGGAACTGAGCATTCTAGGAAATCTATGGCACGTTTCTCCTCGCCATTCACGCCATAGGGACCGACTTTGCCTGTGAAGAGGGGAGAATCGGTCCACACAGTCTTGAATTGGACGTGGATAATGACTGGTCTCTCGCCCTGGGGAGTAACCGCAAAAACACTGCGGAATTTGGCAATTAGACTGGAAATATTGTTCTCGTAGCCAGGGTTAGAAGCGCCGTCTCCCCATGCAGCAACGTCGCGATACCCGTATTGGCTGTGGATGATGAGAAGAGCCGTGGTGTTCTTGGCGGGAATTGGCGCGACTGAAGCGCCCGGCCAGGGATATTTCTGTGACATTTTATATGAGCTTGATTGGTGTCTTGATGTTCGATTCCGCGTCACGAGGAATCATCTTCGCGGGCACATTCATAGATTAACCCCGCCCAACGACAGTGGACATCTTGGCTAGATCGGTATCCGGCTTAATCAACATCCTGCAACCAACACAGTGATAAGATCGAGTTCGATTGAGCTAGAGCTGGAGCCCACTTGGTACACTCGCCTTGGCCCAATTGCGCAGGTGGTTAGGAGAAGGTCATATATCGTATGAGGATCATGAAAGACGGGTAGCCTATCACATTTCAAGAGACTACCTAGCCGAGGATCAAATATGCTTGATGGAAATTGTAGCTGACTCAATTTATTTTCATGTTCATCTTGGAACATTCATGTATGCGTCTCAATCTCACTCTGATAACTGAAAGCTTGTGGTGGGGTTGAAAACGTCGTCCCGCAGCAATATATGTACATGTATTCTTATTAGGCTATATGCAACAGCTTAATCGAGTTGACTGGAGATTAACAGCTATCAAGTAAATACATTATCACTCTTTCACATCACTTATATCGATCTACACATGCATTCCAAGTGGCTCCTTACCACTTCACGGAGATTGTAGGGTAATAAAAGAGACTCCCAACAACCACCTAGAGCTGTAGCTTCAAACTTCTTTTAGGCAATGCGTGTTATGCCGTCTTGGCCTTCAAAACAACGCCGGCATGCAACTCTAGGTTGCAAGGAGCCCACCCGTCTTGAGCTAACCATCAAAACACGTGAAAGCCGTGAAAGCTGAATCTCCACCTCGGGATTGCAGGACTCAGACGAAATTGCAGCGCTCAGTTCAACCCGGAAAGGTACCTAATTCTAGGCCGCACAGTGCATTTGGCGTACGCCTTGTGTCCTGCTGGGAACATGGGTTTACTGCAGCTAGAGAACCCCCTGGTAGAATCATGGAGTGATCGTCCGACTCCTGGTAAAGTTTGACTTTGTATCTGGGCGGGGAGATCAATGCCGAACAATTCGGGCCAACTCTCCTGAAAGGCCTAGATGGTCTATGGAAAAGAGTTCAAGCTGCTGCTGCTAGTTGGCTCTGTCTCTGTAAGGGGTGAGCCACCATCACCAACCAAGCTCGTTCTATCACTCTATGCAACTCATTGCACGCTTCGAAACTACCGGAGGGAACATCAGTACTAATACCGGCTTGTACCTGTCTTGTCAAACCTGGTTCATCTTGTTCAATGCCGGACGCTCCGGTCTGCCCATCTCCACCACCCCTAGCCGGAAACGGTCTCATCACGCAGCCCAAACTTCAGCCTCACCACTACTAGTCCGAAAAGAAAAGGAGAAATCAAATCACGAAGAAAAGAGTGAGGGAGAAAACAAAAGAAAAAAACACCAAAACCAGGTTCGAGACACCCAACCGGAGCTAATTGTACCATGCCGGCGGGGATATCGGGAAGCTCTGGAGAGAGCAGGGATCTCAGCTCTAAAAGCCACAGCTGTCGCCTAGACGCACTTGGGTTGATTGTGGAACAGCCTACAGACGATTATGGCCTGAGCGAGTTCCCTCCTCTTTTCTCTTGGGCCAATGAGATACCCTGGCTGCTGATTTAGCGTCGAGGGAAGCTCTGTGACCCTGAAGCCGGTCAACTAAAAATACCACCCATTGGCTTGAACATCTCGCGAAAAGCTCTTTCTCTGACAAGCCTTCATGCGAGAAGTCTCCCCTTGATGGCTTTCACTGCAATTTCCCCATGCAGCCTCTTGCTTCACATCCAGTCGTGGCGTCATGTGAGTCAACCGGCTGGGAGGGAAAAAAAGCAAACTAAACTTGCATTATCCTAGGCAACCTTGCTCGCGAATGCCGTTAGCACGGGAAAGTCCTTTGCAGTAGCGGCAGCCCGTGACTTTTGAGCGAGCTTCCGTTTGGCTGTTCAGCTCGAGCGATAGCTTGCAGAGTGGTGATAGGCGACCAAATGGCGGAGGGACACGACTGCCGAGAAAGACGCGGTATACTCGGCTTCGGCCTATGCATGCCCGCTTCATGTGTGTGAGACGACCAGAGTTTTGATGTATCATATCATGGGCACCACCACCATCTTTCACATCCTTCGTCTTTTCCTGCAGCCGTCGTTTGCCCACTCGTATTGGCTTTTTAGGCTTCTCTTTGCTTTTTACTCCTCTTCTTAGACATGGTCTTGTAAACCCAAAGAAACTTACCAAAGGGCATCACCCACTTCGTAATCTCCTTTGCTCAGCTTTACTGCTCGATGGCGTTTATACCCTGTATTGTTTGGGCAAGGTTGCCAATCACAGCAATCTTTTACCCAACTTGTATCGTATCAAACGCGGCTGAAATTAGTTTAGCAGGGCTGAAAGACGTCGTCTTGACGCTAGATGAAATGTGTTTGAGCGTGCCTTTTGGCGGCGTTGATGAGAGCCAATGACCATGTCTGGGCTCTCGCGCGTGGGACCGAGTATGCTTATTACTATCAATAGTGAGCTAAACAGCCACTGACAGCCTCCTGGGCTTGATGACCCGGCAATTTACGGCTGGGCCCCCCTTTAGATAGGCATCATAGGGTACCAGTCTGCCCCGGGCGGACTGCATATGTTTGCGGCTCTGCGTGAAGGCATCCGATGCTGAAAGAGAAGGAATGTTTGGCTTTGGGGCTAGTCTTCCGTATTCGTGTAGTATTCAGCTATATATATTAGACAGCAGATGTTCTTCAGAGCCGATGTTGACTACGAAGCTTCTTGACCTCTTCTTCCGTCATCCACACGCTCTCTAACAACTTATTTGAAGCTCCTTCTATTTCACCCTTTGTCACTCATTCACACCGTTTGCAACCTCTTTTGATACCCAAAATTTACCATCAAGATGTCTGCTCCTACTGATACCCCAATTGCTCCTGTTGCAGCTCCTGCTCAGGCTCCTGCTCAGGCACCCGTTCAATCTTCTGCTCCTGCCAAGGGTGGCCCTATCGACGACAACGATGTGAACCACTGGAAGGAGAGATTCAACGATGTCTTGTCTCGACCTGGCGACCACATCAACTCGAGATCCCCGGGTGGCGCTATTGGCTGGGCTACTCACCTCTTCGACTGCTTCAACCCCATTGACCTTTGCCTCATCACTTGCTGTGTCCCCTGTGTCACATTCGGCAAGGTTCACCACCGAGTTAACAAGAATGGCAACATGGAAGGCTATGAGCCCGTCAACACCTCTGTATGTCTTTACTCTGGCACAGCACCGCTGGTATAAGTCATCTCTCGCATCTCACTAACATGCTCTGTGTCTTGTAGTGCCTTCTCTTCTGCGGTTCCGGCTGCTGTGGCCTTCACTGGATCCTCGCCAGCATGCAGCGTGCCTCGATCCGCGAAAAGTACAACCTCGAGGGAAATTGCATCGAGGACATTGCAAAGTCCTTTTGCTGTGGTTGCTGCAACCTGATTCAGCTCGAGAAGGAGACGGAGCACCGGGAAGCGCTCCTGAGAAACGGCAACTCTGAGCAGTACAAGTCAAACACCGGCGGCATGGTGTATCCCGGAGCCAACTAAGTTTGTGTGGACTTTGCATCTGACGTACTCGAGCGTGGGAAAATAATTATGTGGAAAACGGTTTAGGACTAATAATGGTGAATGGACTGGCATGTTCGTTTTAGTTGATGGGAATGCATGTGGATGGATACCCAAGCTGATGGTTTCAGTTATTGTAACTTTACATTCATTCTTCAGAGTTTGTTTTAAGATGCAATTGCCTTTAGCCTCAATTCCTACGAATTGGACGAGGCAAAGCGCAGCGAAAATTTATCTTTATTTTTTATCAGTACTGTTTTTAAAACGCGATTTGCTGTCATTCGTTCTGAAGAGATAAAAATTGTACATAAGTTGCATTCGAGTATCCCATTTTGAGAAATCTGGTTTCTAGCGAACAATTGCCGTCCGACACTTCATTAATACAGCTAAACTCAAGCTTACAGCCAACTGGTTTAACAAGCTTACAGTAGCTCCATCAATTGATGTCATGTAAACGTGGCGACTGTGAAACCCCACCCAAGTTGCTAGGGTAAAGGCCAAGATGCTGATTCATGTCTCTTGGCTAACTCAGATCCATCATGCTAAGGTTGCGCCAAGAAGAGGTTATCGATCCTTTGTGATGGCGCAGACAAACGTGGTTGCGTTTAATATCGGCGCCCTCGTCTCGACTCTGTTTCTGCTCGAGTACGGCGCCGATAAGTTTATCGCTCACGCAACTGCAATCGCAGGACGTATAGGCGTGTCGGAGGTGGTTATTGGACTGCTCACAGCAGGCGCAGAATGGGAAGAGGTAGCTATATCAATTGAACCTAATCTATGAATTCAGGGTGGGTGTAAATGCTGATATTATCAGCTCGCCGTTGTCGTCGCGTCTCTGGCGCAAGGCCGTTCCTCTTTGGCCATTGGCAACGTGGTTGGCTCGGCCATCTCCAATATCCTAGGCGCGTTTTCTCTCGGCCTGCTGTGTTATGAGAAGGAACAGCCGATCGAATTCGATAGGAGCTCTCGGATTTACTCTCTTATGACTCTTGTCTTAACTACGTTGGTGACTCCAATCATCTACTTCGCGACGAGAATCACTTGGCTAGTTTGTGGGCCTCTTTTGGTGGCGATATTCGGTGTCTATTTCCTGCTCATTGCTCTGGCAATTGGCCGAGGGATTCTTACGGCGCCAGAAGATTCAGATGATAGTGATGATGATGATGTTAGCTCTGACGACGCAAGCTCTGTGGGGAGTAGAACAGGGCTTCTCGCCGATAACTCTAACACAAACATCAGGCAGCGCCGCAATCGTCACCGGCTTGGCTATCATGGATTCTATCTGTGTTTTGGATTCCTCGCTATATGTCTTGCCGGCTACGTGATTTCACAAGCGGCAATCAACATCATCGATCAACTTGGCGTCTCGGACGTACTCTTCAGCGTCATCATTATTGCCATCGCTACTACACTCCCTGAGAAGTTTATTGCTGTCATGAGTGGTTACCGTGGCCACACTGGGATCCTCGTCGCCAACTGTGCTGGTAGTAACATATTCCTTCTGTCACTTTGCTGCGGCATCATTATGATTGACACAAAGGGAACCTTGAAAGGGGGCAATGTGACTGTCTCAGAACTGGCAGTGTTATGGGCTTCAACTGCTGTATTCACCGCTACAGTCTGGTTTGGCGCTAGGTTTTCTCGCTGGATAGGTGGAGCTATGGTTATCGGGTACATTGCATTCATTGTGCTGGAGTTTACCGTAATTCACGGAGTGGCGGGTTAGTAGTGACAGGCGTCCATGTATCAGATAAACGTTAGGGTGCCTCGGAACAACTTCCCAATGGGATAAACTAGGAATACGAGTCTACGATAATGAAGAGTTTGTAAATTGTTAGTAATACTAGAACTGCAAGGCCATAGATATGCAGAATGAGACAATTGAGGCTCTTGATGGAGTAGTTGCTTGGTGGATCACCAATGACAACGTTGCATACATGTGTTTGAGATTGTTTTCTCCTCACTATACACTGGAACTACCCAATCGCTTGATATAGTCTTTCATTGAGCTAGCTATCACGGTCTATTGTTACTAGTATTACAAAAGTTAATCCTCTATGAGGGAGTCGACAAAGAATCATCCCGTAATGATCTTTGATCACTACGCAAAAGAGGCCTCTCTGCAGGTAGCAACATAAAATTTGCTCCCTGTCTCCGTCTTTCGGTGTGGCCCTATCGAGTATCTTACAAGCAACCTTGTTGTTTACGGCTGAGATCAAGTCTTCCAATAGTCATGGCTGGTTGAGGGGTGTGTGCCCCTTTCGCCGCTGTGCTTACCATGACCGACATACGACTATACGGCTCGTACAGTTGACCAGTGAAACCCTAGGCAGCAACAACTCGTATCGAATAGTCAGGCTACATATCCTACGTGGCATGACCTCGGTCCTGCGGCAGCCTTGTCGCTCTTTTCTTTCATGTAATTGCGAACTAGGTGGGGGACCATACACGTATTTGCTTGTGAATATGTCGCCCCAGTTTAGATTGAAGCCACTTCAATGCGGAAATCCGTAACCTGCCAGGTGCAGCGTGCTTACATGCACACTGTTTGGGGAGAAGTCGAAACCGAGGTGTTTGTTTAACCTTGTTTTTAACTGTGCTTGTGGTCTAATTTCCGTTAAGACAGATAGTCCATTGGCAGGAGGTTTAATGGCTAATGTTACCAAAGACATCACACTAGTATACAACCTCACAACTAATTGAGGCAACCTTTGTTCCAATATGTTATTACACTTCCTGGTCGTAACGAACATATCTTCTATGTGCTTATACTAGCCCTAGATTGCTCCTGCATCCTTCGCATAATGCGCCACATTGAGGACCAATTTCTTGACATTTCTTACCGCACTTTTTTTTTTGCCCAATGAGGCTCATGATGCGTTACCCTAGCTAGAAGGCTTCAGCTTAGAAGCCAATGCAACGCAACTAATGTCAGCGCTCGAGCCACCGAATCCTTGTGGCGCCGAGGAATCGATTCCTTCTTTACTGAACTTCCTAATTCAGTCGGGCCGAAAAAGCAGCGGAAGTAGACGGCATCACCACTTACTGGAAAAGGAAGATGAAACAAACCACAACCAATAGGCTGGGGTTCGGGATGTCGCTAGCTGTCCTGAACGGGAGCCCACGGCATCCAGACTTTAGCGCGGAATAAGTGCCGAAAGGCATGATCAGACTTGTATTAGATCACATCCAGAATCGGAACGTGTCCTTCCGTTATCCTATTTCGACCTTGACCTGCGCAGTGGGGGCTCATGGATCCGGGGCTGGGTAACTGTTCCTACGTGGGGTTCGTGATATTCAGCTTCATGTTTACAGAGGCTCACATTGGAGGGACCTGACAGAGACTTCATAGAGCCTAACCTGAAAGGATTTTGCACATGAAGACGAAATATGGCATTGATTCTGGGAATATATAAAGAAGATGGGAATCCCACTGTTGTTAGATAGCAATCTTCAAGACACACTCGACAATCGCCTACTACAAGTTCAAGACTCACAGGCTCATCATGAAGCTCAACATTGCGGCGTCCGCTCTGGCCGCCTCTGGCCTCGCAGCTGCTTCAAACTCTTTTGCAGGATCCAGCTTGTATTTCCTCCCTGGACTTTCAGCGTCCGACCAAGCTTACTACATCGACACTCTTGCCAGCTATGGAGCCAAGGTGGTTCGCCTTTGGATCAACAAGCATGCGACTGGTTGTGATAAAGGCAGCAACGTTGTCACCTATGCTGATGATTTCGAAACAACCATAGGATCATACAACTGGGACAATCTTGCAAAAGTTGACAAAGTTCTCGCTCAACTTGCCGCAAAGGGGATGAAAGCCATCATCTCTCCCCATGACGGAAATGTCATTCATTCCACCAGCGTCAATACACCCAACGGCTGTGATGTTTATTGCACTACCTACAGGACTTCGTTCTATAGCAACGCTCAAGCCCAGGCTCAATACGATGCTCGTATCAAGGCCATCTTGACCTACAAGTCGCCCAGCAGCGGCCTTACGTGGGGTAATTGGTCTGAGGCCATTTTGGCATTTGACCTGCAGAACGAACCTTTCCAGTTCACCAACGATGGACAAAACGGCGATCCTTCCAACTGGCTCTGCGGCCGAGCCCAGAACTTCAAGAAGTATATTACGGATTCCAACATCAAAGTCGCAACCGGAGGCATTGGTGGTGACCAAGTCCACGGCTATAACCTCCTCTCCAAGGCTCTGACTTGCTCAGCCATCGATATCATTAGCATCCATGCCTATGTCGGTGATGCGTCTACCTGGGGTTATCTCCTGCCAGGCTTTGAGTCTACGGCCGCTGCCAACAACAAGCTTCTTCATGTCGAAGAATGGGGAGTCCAGACCAGTTACAGTTCCAATTTCGACGCCCAAGCTGCCTCTCTTAACGCTCAAGGTATTCCATGGGTATGTATAATCTGACATCTCAGGCACCATCCAAACTCTTGTTTTAGCTTTGTTCTAATGCTGACAAATAATGGTGCAGACTTACTGGCAAATGATCCCAGGTAGCGATGGTACCCAGTCTTGCTCAAGCGGCTGCTGTACCGGCTATGACGGTTTTGAAGTCGGCTTCAACAGTGGAAAGGGAAACCTTAAGAATGCCATTTCGACGGCCAATAGCAAGACGACAAAGCAAGACTGGAGCTTCGTTGGAGCGCCGCCAAGTGGAGGTTCTGGCACTCCACCTCCGCCTCCAAGCTCCAGCAGTTCACCACCACCTCCGCCACCTTCATCTTATCCCAAGGATACTTGTACTTGGGGGTAAGTTTCACTCTCTTTTGCGTCATCCCACTAATGCATCGAGGAACCAAGCTGACAACTGAATCTTTTTAGCTGTGAGGGTTGGGATTGCAGCAGTTCCGTTCCTTGCCAATCGGCTTACTCTTGCGTTGGAGGATACTGCAAGGATTGCACCTGGGGATGCGGTGGCTGGGATTGCAGCGCATCTCAGCCTTGTAACGCGGATTATACCTGTGTCAATGGAATCTGTCACCACGCTGGTCCTGCAACCGGCAAGAGGGATTTGTCTGGGACACAGGATCTGCCTGCCGTCGCGTGGGTTGCATAATGCTTTACGCCCTTGGCTACAGGTATATGTACATGTATATATTGAGCTCAAGCATCTGTCCAATATGCTTTAACGTGCAACTGGATAAAGGATGAAGTATATAAGTTTGTTTTCGTTCAGTAGAGTAGGAGATCAAGGGTAGGAGAATATAATATGAAAAGTTTGGTCGAGTGAGCATTCAAAACCCTTGTATAACATTTTGAAGGTGTGACGCCCAGTATTTTCCTCATATTGCAACTTGAATACATATTGCAGGCATTTTGCTCTATTTTGCAAATTAAGGGCATTTTATAGTGCTAGCTTGATGGCGGGGTCTTACTTGTACTAATTGGGAACCAGTTTGGAGTATTATCAGCCTGATATTCATCATTGTTCTTTACCTTCAGCCCATCAGGGTGATTATGGTGATATTTAGTGTTCTTCCTGTTGACTTATCACATGCCATGGATGAAGGGGAAAGGAAGTGTGCGTCTATACGAAAGGAAACGGCTTGTGTACCGGACCGGGGCTGTTCAAATAGGGATTCTCAATGGTGGAAATAAAATGGATATTCTTGAGTTTGTTTCTCCCTATATCTGCCTAAATGTGTCGCCTCCGCATTGCTATAAACCTTTGGTAATAAACAATAGCGAGATCATCGTATGTGCTCAAGCATACTCTTGTGTTACATTGCAGCGGACGTCCTAGAATAGGCGCGCCAATTGCCGGTCAGCTAGAGTCTCGTAAGGGATATAAAAATGAGCCATCGGGAGACCAAACAGTCGCAACTAATTTTCTGTCGTACAACCTGCATCGTACATTATATGCACAGCAAAGTTAATACTTTCGTCATTGGATTGCCATGCGATCAGCTGTCATTTCATCGCTAGGCCTTGCTCTGCTGTTCCAGGGAGCTGAGGCCGACACGACACTTTCCATTGATCCCACCTCCAACTGGGGAACATGGGAAGGCTGGGGCGTATCTCTTGCTTGGTGGGCGAAAGCCTTTGGCAACCGAGATGACCTAGCCAATGTCCTCTTCACTCGGAACAACCAAGTCATCAATGGCCAGAACCTGCCGGGCTTGGGCTTCAACATTGCTCGGTACAATGCAGGCGCATGCAGCACCAACACATACAATGGCTCCAGCATGGTAGTCTCATCGAGCATCAAGCCGTCTCGGCAGGTCGATGGCTATTGGCTCGATTGGGCCAGCACCGATCCTGCTTCATCCAGCTGGAACTGGAATGTCGATGCTAACCAGCGAGCAATGTTGCAGAAGGCTAAAGCTAACGGCGCAAACATCTTTGAGCTCTTCTCCAACTCGCCTATGTGGTGGATGTGCAATAATCACAATCCGTCGGGAAGCGGGTCGAGTGATAACCTTCAGTCATGGAACTACCAAAACCACGCTGTTTATCTTGCCAATATTGCTCAGCATGCTCAACAAAATTGGGGAATCCAGTTTCAGTCAGTCGAGGCCTTTAACGAGCCTTCGTCGGGCTGGGGACCTACCGGTACTCAAGAGGGCTGCCATTTTGCGGTATCAACGATGGCTACGGTTATCGGTTACTTGAACACTGAGCTTGCGCAACGTGGATTATCGTCGTTTGTTTCTGCATCAGATGAGACCAGTTACGACCTGGCCATATCAACTTGGCAGGGCCTGGGCAGCTCTGCGCAGAATGTTGTGAAGCGTGTCAATGTACATGGCTACCAGGGTGGCGGTGGACGACGTGACACGCTTTATAGCCTTGTAAGTCAGACCGGGAAGAGACTGTGGAACAGTGAATATGGCGATGCAGATGCAAGTGGAAAATCGATGTATACAAACCTGCTCCTTGATTTTACCTGGCTCCACCCTACCGCTTGGGTATACTGGCAGGCAATTGATGGTTCAGGCTGGGGACTCATCGTTGGCGATAACGATCAGTTGACGCTTTCAGCCGCAAGCACTAAATATTTTGTACTTGCGCAATTAACTCGCCATATCAGGCCCGGCATGCAGATTCTGACCACTCCTGATGGTAACACCGCTGTTGCATACGATTCTGGTTCTCAAAAGCTCGTCATTGTTGCTGCAAACTGGGGCAGCGCTCAGACTATCACCTTTGATCTTACTCGTGCTAAGACTGCCGGCAGTAATGGTGCAACAGTCCCACGATGGAGCACCCAAACAAGTGGTGGAGACCAATACAAAAGCTATTCGGATACAAAGATCAATAACGGGAAATTCTCTGTGGCTTTTACTACTGGGCAGGTGCAGACATTCGAGATTAGTGGTGTTGTGCTGAAATAATGAGGCAAGATATTTTGGAGTTGAATGCCAAAGTGCCTAGAGAATTCCACGTTATAGTATGGGCAAATAGTAAACCATTGTTATTGTAAAATACACTTGACATCAGTGGCCAAAATAAAAGAATTGATGCTATCAACAGAGTTTCATATATGTATACTGGATGAATTCGTCTTTGATCATGCCAGAAGTTTCAATGGTTGAGACATGATGAGAATCAGTATGGGAATTCAGTCAACAAGAGTCAAGGCATATAGGAACAAATAAAGCGCAAATGGTCAATAAGCTCGATTGGGATTTCATGATTGGTCAATCACAATTACCTAATCATCGCCCTTATAGCTCAGTGGTAGAGCGTTGCACTTGTAATGCAAAGGTCCATAGTTCAATCCTGTGTGGGGGCACGAAACAAGATGTTTCTCTTTTTGCTTTTTTTTAACAGCATTTTTATGACATTTGACTCTCTCACCAATGTCATGGTTATCCTTTTTTCCCCTGCTATTTACAAGGCAGTTTGCTTTGATGTGAGTGCATAATCTCTCCTTAATTCAGCATCTGTGACAGGAAACAATACTTCGAAAGTATACGGAGTAATACTCCATATAAGGTGGCAATGTCTGTGGCGGCGTCCTGACTCATGAATGCTCCAGAGGTGTTAGAGCAAGTGGCTTTTTCAGAGCCACACAGACCACGTCTATCCGTCTATATAAAGTGTGAGGCAGTCCCAGTGGTATGCGAAGCTTTGCTCTATAGAGTACAGCTCATGATGACATTAAGAAGCACTCAGAAACTGAATAAGGAACGATGAAGCCACAGGACGTTTGCTCAAGCAAGTGAAAATACAGTCACAGCTTCAGATAAAACGCTTGGCCCTTATAAGCCGTAATTTGTTGCCCGGTTGTCAATAAATAGTGCCCTTGTAGCTCAGGGGTAGAGCGTTGCACTTGTAATGCAAAGGTCCATAGTTCAAATCTGTGCGGGGGCATTTATTTTTGCCTTTTTTGCCCTTTACCACTGGACGTGTACGACACCGGCTGTGTTCTCCATTGTGATTACTTTTTAACTTCTCTTTCGTATATTTCCCTTTCTCTTGGTTGTTTGGGCCATTTGCTGGAATGTCGAGAGGCCTGAGTAGGATGTTCCTGAGGGGAGCTCTACAAGATGATTGCGCCGCCATCAGCTAGAGGAGCACTCGCTGCCAGCTGCCCATTACCACGACAACCCATCGAGAAGCGCACGCTCAATTGGAGAAATGTGAGCAAAATGAAACTGTGATGCAGGGCACTTTCGATTCACCGCCTTTGAACCGTCTCTCTTCTCCTCTGAGATGCACCAAGGCCTGCTACCTTCATCACCCCAGACCACAGGCTACAAGACCACAAGACCGGATACTTGACTCTCTTACCCTTCCAACCTCAAAAAATGGAGGTGATACCAGCGTTGCAGCCGCAGAACATAAACGCCTTCATAAACAACTTGGCTAGCATGACGAGAGTGCAGAGGGAGATTCGGCGACGAACCACGTCCATCGCCGATGCGAACCGCATCCAAGAAATCACGACCTCGACTCCTCAGCGCAGCCTAAAGCGTCTGCGAACCTCTGCATCGCCTATATCTATCGCTTCGACTCCTCCTCGACGAGCGCCTCGTAGAGTCAAGAGTGAGCGTGACAAGCTCTTCGATGCCATCGAGGCTGGAGCCGACTATCCCCTCAAACCCGTGCCCATCAAGAGTGCAGATGACTTGAACGATGTTCAGCTGAAGAAGTGCTATGAGATTCTGCATGCGTGCGGCAGTGCGACGGATCCAAACGCTAGCTTGACCAAGACGAGACAGAGCATCGATGGCTTTTTGGATGCCGTCTTTAACGACTGGTCGAGTTGCAAGGCTGGGGCTTTGTTGCGCTCGGAGCTGGATTTTTTGGTGGATGCAGAGGTTGTGGCAGGAAGATTGTGTGGTGAGTGAACATTCTGATATGTTTGCTGTTTTTCGACATTTTGTTTTCCCATATCATTTATCGAGAAGCACATCTAGCTAATGAACAACTTAGGGAAGCCTCAAGAGCATGCAAAGCTGACCGACTGCGCCGTTGGTTCCCTCTGTGCAGCGAATGTTTCCGCCGTGGCCACATACTGCAACAACCCGCCCATGTTCAAACTCGAGTTTTCAATCATCGACGAGCTATCAGGCCAGCCCGAGGCATTTTGTCCCATCTCCCGCAAGGACATCAGATGGGTAGAAGACGACTGGGTCCAAGAGCTGCGACAGAGTCTCCGTACAAAGGTGATTGCCAAAATCCACAAATACAACAAGCATCTTGCTATATGGCAAGCTCGCAGGCTCATCGTGGAATGGGCCAAGGGAAGCTTGTCGCTGGGGGAGGACGTGAGTAAGATGGGCTTCCTGGAGCGGGAGACGGCGGATGTGGCGACTGTTGGGCTTGGGGGAACTATCGAGAATAAGTAGGGTGTTGGTCTGTGAGGTTTGGGGCCTTTTTCTTCTTTCTTCTTCTTTTTCTCATTTGGCGTTGGCAATACCACGGGCACCAAAGATACGGGCGATCACATATTGGGCTACAACTATGGGATATAGCATTTGGGATTTATTAGTCACGACAGGATGGATCGCGAAAGCGCAAGAGCTTATTGGGTGGAAATGTTTATTGGGAAGGCAGCTTTTAAGCATGGAGGGTTGGTGTATTTTAGCCTAAAGGGCACTTATCAAATTGCTACTCTATCAGTAGTCGTCCCTCTTCATCCAAGGTGCACACGCCTCGAAAAGTCTCTCATGAGCAGCTCTGTCCCCCGTCCTATCCAACAGCTCCTGATATAAACTTTCATCGGTGCGCTTCACAAAGATCAACCCTCCTAACCACACAAAATCCGCATAGCTCACCTCTTTGCCCAAGAAGAACGGCCCCTCAGCCTGTTTTTCCTTCAAAATGGCCGTCAGCTCACTCATGGCCGGCTGCGCTGCCGCCCAGGCTTTCTCGCCACCGAATTGACGCTCGTATTCATCGAGAGTCATGCCGTATTCCCTGGTGTATTGGCCAACCCAGTAGTCGTAGCTCTTCTCGGTGAGGATGACCTGCGAGATTTTGTACATGAGGAGGGAGTAGAGAGGCTTGATGGACTTGAAGACGAGTCGCTCTATCTTTTGGACGGTGGGATCATCTAAGTAGACAGGTGGAGAAGGGTGTCTTTGTTCGATGGCCTTTGCAATCTTTCTCGACTCCATGACGTAGGTTCCATCTGGGAACTGGATCGTAGGGATGGAGTACGCTCTGCCTGTTTCATTGGGTGGGAGGCTGAAGGAAAAGTTAGCTGGTTCTTGAGAAACAATTTATTCTGCCCTATTGAAGGATATATATACATACTATGGCCTGATTCTGGGCGCAATCTCCGGGTAGTTGAGCTGGCTCGTGTCATTAGCTACGGCTACTCCAGACGAGTGGTGCATAATGCCTACCCATTCTGTCTTGTACTCAAGACCCTTATAATTCAAGAGAAAACGTACCTTATGAATACGTTAGCACTTAGTATAGAGAGGACAAAGGACAAATAGTACAAATATCTGTAGGTAGGGGATGGTATACATCACTTGGGCCCATCCTAGGTACTTACTCTTCCAAGGGTTCAAAGACCAGGAGGCGCATGGCTCCTTGCTGGGCAAGTCAAACAGAGTAATCTCCTGAGACCCCATGGCTGCTGTTTTTTTCAGATGATAAAAAGTAGCATGAACAGAAGAAGAATACCAGTATTGAGGCGTTTTTTTACGTCTTATATAAATCTCCTCCCTTGTACTACGCAACACAGACCCCTCGCATACAAAGGGCGCGGTTTGCCACGCATGGAGGGCAGCTTTGCGGCTCCAGTACTTGGACTAGCTCCCATGGCCCAATTAGGGAATTATCTCCATCACAGATATTTCCCCTTGTTGACCCAATTGCCGACTCCATCGATGCGCATTGTACGATTGCGTTGCAGATCATCCGATACACGATCCGTAGACCCTTTGAACTGTTTGAATCAATGGATCCTTCCGGAGACAAGGCGGCAAACATTTCGCAGAGCTTCGGCTTCTTCCGCGCACATGCCGAGGACCACATGGTAATACTCCGTCGGTAAGTATGTAGCACAGCATTTTAGGCATTACAGCAAGCATATCAAAAAGCAAACAGGCCTATACTCGTCATGTTTTACCACGTTAGTCATGGCGCGCGCGTGCCCTCGAATGCCAAGAGACGTTATCCCTTGTGGAACTGCAAAGGGGGTTAAAGCGCAAGGGTCAAGTGGGAAGCTGAAGCGTGAGGCCAGTGCCACATCCAGCAAAGACGTGTCTTGGCAGCCCTGCTCCCCGCAAAACTATGTGCTGGCGATGGCGTATTTTTTTTTCTTTCTCCTGGGAGTGAGTGGGCATGGGGTACGCGGCTTTGGGGATGGGAAGATCCGGCATCATCCCGGGAGAGAGGGATACTGTAGCCGTGATGACAATCAATGCGTTGTGGTGAGGAGGATACGAGGATGGGTTGGCTTCGATTGGGCCAAAGCTGGATGATCAGGAGAAGTTTGAATGAATACCCGTCTCTTACATGGATGGAGTAGGCTACTCGTATACGACAAGATCGTCATAATTGCTCCTAATGATCAGATCATATCAATTGGGAGGAAATGCTTGCTCAGAATGAGAAATCTACACACTTATTTCATTCTTTCTAAAACTAAAACACAAACATGTAGAGTAACAAGAGATCCTCCAGGGTTTTTACAAATAACTATTCACACAAGACTCGCGCCCCTCTATTCCCAGTCATAACAAGGCTTCCCGCGCCAAGAGATCGACGCCGTTTTACCCGTCCATCCCCCCCGTCCAAGACATTAATTAACCGTCTGACGACTGACGCGTATATGATAACTCCACTGTCGGAGATAATAACCCTCTCCGCCAATGAACTTGCTCTGATAAAAAATAAAAAGCAATACTCCGTAGGCTGAGGGTTTGTCTTTAAAAAACGCCGTGGTCCCCTCGCCTTTCTTTCTGCATTAAAATCACAAGACAATAACGCCACGCTCAATGTGAGCCGTCTCATTGACCAGCGGCATGCAGCCAAACATCTTTGTCAGGTCGTTCAAGCACTTGCTTCGGGCCTCGAGGTGGCCAGGCTTCTTGCTGATGCCCTGAGCCGGCTCGTAGTTGACGTACTTGTCGCGGCCCTTGACCAGGAGGGGTCCGGTGCCGGTGAGGTACGACACGACATAGTTGAGGGCAATGTCCTCGCAATTGAAGTGGTCGTCGACATAATCACGGACCTTTTGCATGACCGTGTTGTTGGACGAGTAGTAGTCGAGGAAGGACATGTGGGAGAAGCACAGGTTTGTGATGATCATGGAGTAGACATCCTGGTTGCTGTCCTTGGAGCAGAAGCCATAGCCCCAGTTGCCCTCGGCGTCTGGGGTCGCACAGCGCGGAAGAGCTCCCGTCAATCGATGCTGACCAAACTTGCGCCACGTCTGAAAGGCAAACTCGAGGTCCTGCGGCTTATAGTATACATCGTCGTCCGAAAGCAACACGGCCTGGGTCTTGAAGTCCGGATCCGGCAGGAGCTTCATGTTGAGGCTGTTGCGCTCCGACACCCTGTAACGCACGGGCACGCCCGTCTCGGATTTGAAGTTGCCGGGGGGCTTCTCCTCGAGGTTGTTCCAGATGATGACAATTTCGTGGAGAGAGGCAATCTTCTCGGACAGGATAACGCGAAGCGTCTCGTCGAGCTCCTTGGGCCGCTTATAAGTCTGCATCGCGATTCTAAAAAAACGAACAACGGTTAGCATGTCAATTGCAAACAACCGGATTCGCTGAGCTTGTCCCAATGACGGCCATCAACGTCACACAAAATGCTCCCCGCAAACTTACGTGAACTTGTCATCCATCAATTTGTCATATTTCTGCTGCGCTGCCTTCCACAGCTTGAGGGGCTCGGTAATGTTCCTGTCGCATTTCTCATAGTGTTCCGGCTCGTGCGATCCCGAGAATCCGGGGATATTTGGCAGCTTGGACATGTCGATGTCCGGCAGCTTGACGTCTGGCAGCTTCAAGTCGTTGAGCTTCGCGGGCGGCCCGAGCCGGACAAGAATGACAATGACGCTGGCCAGGACAAAGGCAGCGGCCACGAGAGTCACGACCCGTCGAGCCGCCAGAGCCCGCAGGCTGGCAATGTACTTGGCCACCATGGTAGAATCTCGCGAGATCTGGCAAGCGACGAGAAATTGGTGATGCCGCGTCGAGGAGAGTCGGAATATCGGAATACGAGGGTTTCGATTCCTTCGGTTCGTTTGATGCGCTGCAAACCTAAAGGGGCGCAGTCTTCAGGAGAATCACGTGACGATCGCCTTTGGCTATCTGACGCGATCGGCGGCCCCTGTTTTTGCCTCTTTTGGCATTTCCTGCGACGCAAACAGCAAAGTCACCAAAAATTGTTCAAGTTCGCCCGATTTATTGTTTCTGACGCATTCCATGGCTGCTGCAACGCCTACCCGGGAGACGCTCAACAAGCTGCAGAGAAAATAATAAAACCTTCATGCTGTAGAAGTCGTGATGTGACGACATGTTACTAGCAAGTAGTGCTCCTCTCCAATTGGCGGCCGGCTGCATGATCAGTAACACTGTCTCAGAATTGCTGCACCGATCTGTTACATAGCGCTTTGGCCAATGAAAGCGACGCGCCGTCTCAAGCCAAGCAACGAGTTTGCAGGGACGGAGAAACGATTGGAGAAAAAGCCCGACAACTGCTTCAAGCCATTGCCAAGCTTTAACTAGCAGCTTAGACTCTGAAAGCCCTTTCGTGGCCACAGAGAGCCTGCTTTGTCCCTATAAAGTAAGCTGGTGATAGACGATCGACTCTCGTCTAGAACACAAAGAATTTTGGCCATCATTGCCACTGCAGTCTTTCATCCAACAGCTGTCTCAAAGCATTGCTACGAAAGCCTGGTATACAAATACTGGAGGAGACATCTCGAGTGGGCGAGGGGGCCTCGGCCCACAAGTAAGAAAAATATAGCTGCTTCTAGCACCGCAGTCCGACACGGCGAGACACAGTCAGATTCTCCAGTTTAGTCGTGAGTATCATCTAGACGCCACCATATGGAGCATAATTTGGCCGCGGTTGTCCCATTGGCAACGTAAATACAGTGCATAGACGGGAAGGGACTGGCCGGCGTACTCGGGGAGACGGGATGATCAATAGCAAAAGGCCTGTCAAACTGAGAAAATCCTTTCCACGACATAGCCTCGTGCCTCGGTTCCATGGTCGCGCGACACACTGCCATCAAAAGAACAATTGTTCATGCCGCTTTGCATGATTTAGTGAGAACAAGCAACAAGCGAACCCCATCAACAATGATACCTCGGAAGGCGATCGCATAACAGATTCGGGTGAGCGCCGAGATTGCGTACAAACAGCCCGTCTCTGTGTCGGCCAACAAAGGCCCCTGCATGACTTTTCTACGCTATTGCGCCTGCACGTATGTAACTAGCAAGCTCCCGCCGAGTCTACAGTAGGAGTTGAGATTCCGCTGCTTGTTCCGAGATGAAAAACGGGGGTTCAGAGGGCGGGCTAGTGAAGAAGCAGACAAGCCGCGGGCTTCTTCCACGTGTAAATCGACGAGGAAACGCCAGCAAGCAGAACCAGAGCGCGCTGCATAACCAGGCCTGCGAGGTTGCATTGCTAGCTTCCGAAGGCTGTGACAAGGGGCCCCCTCCAGATTGTCTCGCAATGCTTCCCTGCATCGCATAGGGCTCTAGAAAACCCACCCGCCACCCTGTAAGCATGGAGACATATCTGACTTGTTCACTGATTCTCGGCGTCAAGAGCAGGGCACGGACGCCCGGGCCAGATCTGCTAGACTACAGGTAGGTAGGCCTCGATTTGCTACTGTAGGCACTCGTACTCTACTGCAGACATGTGCTTTTGCAGGGGAAAAAACGCCGTGCCGCCTTGTTTTGAAGGGCCACCAGCTTGCAGGCGGAGCGGCTTGCGCGTAGAAGACGGAGCGTCGATGGATTCGGCATCGACTGCGCTCTTGCAGCCACTGGACTGTTGGAAAAGCTGCAGCCGGATGCCCAGCTAGGAAGGCAAGCAGTTCGTGCCATGCCCCATTCCGCGAGGGACGGCACAAACCCGCTCAAAGACACAAACTTGGTGAGTTGTGGCTGGCGGTAAAATGTGTTAGTAGCTTGGCTGCTTGATTTCACACACTCACATGTCGACGCCTCTTCAGTCTAAGGGGCCGTGAAGCCAGAGCTAGCACTGGGTAAATTCGAGATAGGTGAAATGCTAATTCAAATCACAGCGATGGCACATGAAAAAGACGGAATAAAACCCCACAACCCGATCCATGTCAGCAAAAGGCGTCGTCGTGTAGAGGCGACAGAGGCGATGCTTGGGGCCCCGAGGTAAAGCAAAGTCTGCAAAAGGGGGCGAAGCGGGCGTTGGGCAAATTGGACGGCCAAGAAGTTCTCTCGGGGCAATGTTTGTTTCCGCTTCAGTTCTTGTCAATGTGAAACTCGGTACGGCAGCTTGGCAGCACCCCATGTACTAAACTGTAGTCGTTCTCTGGGGAGCTGGATGGATGATTCATCGATAAGAGTTCCAATGTCGAATATTGAACATACCTCCGCAGAGGGCGGGAAGGCAAAAGCCCAGTAAAGCCCTTGCCACATCTTGGTGGCCACAATGTGCGCCCCAATGTGCTGGAGACTGAATCTTGTCACGTAATTTCTTCACCAAACTATCTACCTCTTCATGGATGAACCTTCATCCTTCTTCCCCTTCAATGCCCTTTATAGAAAAGTGAAAAAACTTCAGCGCCTCGTCCTCAATAGATGTGTCAAGTCTTTTCAGTTATGCCGCTGTCAGGCCACAAAAGCTCTAGCCTCCCAAGCCCTCGAACGGTGGCTTCGTCTTAAAATCACCACCACTGCAAAACCCGTTGCAAATCAGAAAGGTAAAAAGCGCCCGCTAGTGAGCATTCGCCGGCTCAACTCGTCAGTTTCTGCAACGGGGCTTTGCGCCGGTCGCAGACCCAGACGGCGCTGCTATTTTCGAGTCGAGTCGGCACCCTCATGGCCCGAACCCACAATCTTGCTCGATCGGTCCAAGGGGGCCCCAATCCGATCGCTGCAAGTGCGGTGCCAGTCATGCGATTTGCGCCTTTAGCCTTGTAGCTCCGTCCCCTGACTTGTTTCTCTTTGTCTCGAACCAAGTTTCTGGAACATGACGCTAGTTGTGGCTTTACGAGCAAGAGCTGAGATGGAGGGTAGCTTTTCCGTCCCCATGCCATCCTTGGCGAAACATGAAGCAGAGAGAGAATACACGGGCCAGCGGTAGATACGACGGGTACGAGGCATTGCTTGCGGTGATACCACGTTGCGGTCCCTATTGCATATACCCTGAACAATATTGGTTCAGCCGCAACGCTCCCCGGACTGGACACGAGGCCTGGGTTGGGTGTCTTGTCCGGTTGCCAAGGCCGCCTCAGGGTCCATGAAGTTGCTTCTCCCTCTCTCCTCTCCTCTGCTGCCACTTGAGGAAATACAAATTCAAGTACTCAGTAGTAATGTCATGACACATCCATGATACTCCATGACACAAACTCCATACACAGTATGCTTTTCAAGCGTCTTCCGCGCAGCCGGAAACCATCCCGCCATTGGCCGAGGCTGGTGCGGTTCTCGCTGTGGGGTTTTCTACTGTATATGCTCACTGTCCGAGAGCAAGTTAGCTAGACACATCAAGCCCGTCAGGCTGCGTAATTGGCCCGGCGGACCCCTCGCTCTCTCGGGTTCCTGAGTCGTGAGCCAAGAAGGAGGAGCTCCCATACAAGTCAACGCCTCAACGCCAAATTAGTGCCACCGGCCCCATCGCTTGGTTTTCAAGGCCCATCGAGGACATCATCCAGTCCAATGTTATGCGCCCATTCCGTCAAAGATGCCGTCTAGTGCCTTCAGCTTGTTCGCTTCTTACTGGGCACACATACTCGTACTAGCCGAATCGAAACTGTTCTTCGGCAGAGGGTATCAGCGGGGAGGCTTGCATAACGATTGCCCTATACATGCAACCAAAGACTCGTTCTTTAACACCAGCATCTCAGCCACTCCTTGTTAACAATTTTTCTCTTTCTCGTTTTCCCCGTCTCTGTGTGGCTTCCACCGCTGAGGTGTCTGAAGATAAGGTTGGATTTCTGGGATGAGTAAAAGTCTCTGACCTCCGCCATATCCAATCATTAGTTGCAAATTCTTGGATCCGGAGATCTAAACAGCCACCCACGTCTTCGATTCACTCCACAGACGGCCCATGTTCATAAGACGATGCCCAACACGATTTACCCATAAGTCCAGCATTCTTCGATAGGAAACGACCATACGTTAAGAGCCATGAAATTATGGCTATTAGCCTTTGCGGTTCTGGCTACCGCACCAGAAGCCTTTAGCCAGACCACCGGCTCGAGTCTCTCAGGTATCGAAGCTGTGGCAGAGATGCCCGCGTGTGCTGTATGTGCCCTTCCGTTGGATAGGTCCCGTATACACACAAAGTCCGCCACCTAACCTTCAATTCATAGCGCGAGTGCTTTGCTCAATCGCTTGCCGCATCGCAATGTCAGGCGACGAACACAACTTGCATATGCACGAACCCAACGCTGCAGCAGGATATGCAAGGCTGCGTCTTGAAAAGTTGCAAAACCATAGAAGCTCTGCGTAAGGCTAACAGACATGCCAAAGACGTTCAATGACTCCTAACAGTGATACAGAAACACAGAACCTGACATCGGTAGCCTGCAACCAGCCCATCAGAGACAAATCAAAACAATACATAGCCCTCAGCAACACCTTTGGCGTCTTGGCCGGCGTCTTTGTTCTTCAACGACTTGCATATAAGATCTGGGCCAGGATGGGACTGAGCGGGGATGATTGGATGGCTTTGGCGACTATTTTCGTGGGTATCCCGAGTACCACCATCAGCGCTCATGGAGTGACGAAACCTGGACTCGGCCGGGATATCTGGACCCTGCGGCCTGCAGATATTACTAGGTTTGGTCTCTTCTTCTGGATTTTGGAATGGAGCTATTTCGCAGAAGTCTCCATGATCAAGCTCTCCGTCCTACTCTTCTATATTCGCATCTTCCCGAGCCCCGGAGTACGTCGCCTGCTCTGGGGAACCTTTATTTTCGTCACGCTTTACGGTATCGCGTTTGTCCTGGTTGCTATATTCCAATGCACGCCTGTTAAATTTTATTGGGAAAAGTGGGATGGGTTACACCAAGGCACATGCTTGGATATAAACGCCATTGCCTGGACGAATGCTGCCATCAGCATAGCGACTGATATTTGGATTTTGGCCATTCCACTGTGGCAGCTCAAAAGTCTCAATTTGGACTGGAGGCGCAAGCTTGGTGTTGGAGTCATGTTTTGCGTTGGTGCCTTGTAAGTTGCGAACCTCCCTTTTCTCTCTCTTAGCGATCCTGCCTGCTCACCGTGTTGTTAGTGTCACTGTCGTCAGCATATTGCGTCTCAGGTCTCTTATTCAATTCGGCACCGATAGCCTTAATCCCACGTGGGATTTTTACGATGTCAGCGTTTGGTCCGTTGTGGAGATTAATACCGGGCTGATCTGTATCTGCTTGCCCTCCCTCCGTCTTCTGCTCGTCCGCATCTTCCCCAAGCTACAGGGCACAACGGAACGATACTATGGAAAGAACTCGAAACGAAACCGAACGGCAAGCAACAAACGGGCAAGTCGACTTCCTCTGGGACATAGCGCTGGTTCGCATGTCGACAGATCACAACCTCATCCCGATATTGAAGGCAACCGAATTGCCTATCACACGTCATACACGGTTGAGTATGGCGACAACGACACGGTTCAACTGGTAAACATGAACGATAAGTTCAGCGCTAGGTCAGATGTCAGATCTGAAGTATCATGACAAGACTAAGGCTGTCTTTTCTTTTGCGCTTACTTTTTTTATTTTTTTTTTATGTACACTTAGCTCTAATGAGCATGGGAGGGAAATACCTTGGCGCGACGACTTGAAAATGTTTAGACCATCTATACCTATTCACAGAGGAATCCGCATCACATCATGCGTGTGATGACTTTTAGAGCCTACTACCTTGATGGTAGTTCACGACTACAAATATCAATTGATGATTTATGATATTACATATTTTACAGGTCTTTTATGCTGCGTAGTAAAACGGGGAGCGATCGTGAATCGTATACATATCCCATAGGGCATGGGACTTATCACCATTTTGCTATGAAGGCCAATGGTGAGCTGAACAGCGGATTCGGAATAGATGGGAGATACCAATGGATCAGGTCGCGTTTCAATAGCTATTCCTTCCCGTCTCTCTTACTGGCGTCTTACATGATAGGAGCGTCGCGTCAAGTGTTCAACTGACTCGCGAGATCATCGGAACTAGACGGACTCGAGTGGTTCGCGCGTGCGCCAATGTAGACGCCAATGCATTTCTCCACCTCAGCTGTAGGCGATCAGGGTCTGGGAATTATGTACTAGGTAAATTTGGTATAATTGAAGCACCGTGGACAGTATAGTTGAGCCGATCTCATACATGATGAAGGCTGTATTATTGAGCATGACGGCAGCAGTCACGGCTATGAGTTACTAGGAAAGATGAGACGACGTGTGTGGTGAAACGGCGGATGAAAAAAGGGACTCAAAATTAAGGAGCGAACCTCTGAAATTGTGGGTATGCTTTCCCAATGCTCTCTCTCTCGTAATTGATAAAATAGACAACTGGTGGTTAATAATTCACGACATGGTTGCTTTATTCATGCGGCCGTGACACTGCCGAATTTGCTCTGCCACTCCTCGTTCACGTCCCGATAGTCTTCGGCGCCGTAGGGGCTTGTTATCTCAGTAAGGAACCCCTTCTGTTTGCGACGGGGATTCAGGCCGAGATCCTTCTGCAGCAGGTCGAGGTAGTACACGGCGTCGAAGATGGTGGTCGGGGACTTTGTTTCAGCAGGGTAGCGCCACTTGCCGAAGCGGTTGTGAAGCATCGTCTCGTATCGCAGCTTGACCATGGCCTCTTTGTCGTCGATGGCTTGCGCTGGATCGTTGACGAGGAGACGTCGGAAATAGGCACCGATCCAGAGGCCCTGGAGGTGTGCGGTTAACGTGTTGCTGAAGTTGCTGACGAAGCCGCAGAAGGCGATGTCGCGAGGTCGGAGGAAGCGTTCCGATGGTGGTACGAGGAAGTGGTACAGCATGAAGGGAGTTTGAGGGGTATATGGCGTCATGGACTCGTTGCTGGAGATGCCCTTTTGCTTGGTTAGGGGGATGTAGTTTTTGTTCCAGACGGGTTGGTCTGCGAGTCTGGGGAAGCGCTTGGCGATTTCTTTGTCGGCGCGTCTGATGAGATCCTGCTGGTTGGCGAGATCCTCTGGGGGAGCCTCTGTGTCGATTTCATGTGGCAGACCAAGTTCCTTTTCGATGCCCTCGGGAAGAAACTTGATAGGTGGAGAGCTTAGCCAGCCAGTGTTGGAGATCAAAGCGTCTGATTCGAATGAGGTGCCGTCGGCGAGATGGACTTTGCCGGGACTCAGGTGATCAATCTCGCCGAGGTGAATCTTGATCTTGCCGCTCCGGACGAGCTCGAAAAAGTCGGTGTTGTAGTTGAGAATGCTGAAGCTGGCTGCGGTGAACATGGCTGGGGTCCATGGCTTCAGCTTCGCCATCTCAGGATGCGAGTCATATCCATTGAGGCTCATGACATCGCCACCAAGGATTGCCCAGAAGGCATTCACGATGAGGCGGCCGATAAAAGTGCCGTGGAGGAAGCGCTGGATACCGGTATAGCCAGCAGCACCGCTGTAGACACAGGGACTGAACCATGTGAGGAAGCGCATATCTGCAAAGTAGCTAGTTAGCTACATGTATGATGTCGATGATGTCGATGATACACACTCGCAAGCTTCTCAATCCATTTTTTGAATGGAGTTACATACGATGGGGCCATCCAGCAGGGACCGTGGCCAGACGCTACACATTTACCAAGTCAGCACTTGATGCTTCATCTTATTCTCATCTTCGTCAAAGTAGGAAATATGAAGGAGGAAGAAAATAAAAATAGGAGCCGACGAACATCTAATGACCCAATTCACTTCAACGCCGGCGGTAGCGTAGCTGTAAGCGGCATCCCAGCCAAACTTTGTCCCTCCAAATACGGTGACTGCTTTGGAGGTCTTGAGGGTATCTCGGTTCTGTTTAAAGAATTTGCTGTGGAAGATCTTGCCTCCGAAATCTTCCTGGCCGTCAAAGTGAGGCATGAACGGCCTTGAAGTTAGCCCCGTGGCGACGATGAGGCGTTTGGCAAAGATCTTGGACTCTTGGCCCTCGTGGTTGACAATGGTCAAGGTCCACCCGCCTTCTGTAGTGTCATTGTGTTCAGCGACGGTGATCTTGGTTTGAAGACGAATTAACCCTCCGAGGTTGAAATTGTCCACGTAAGCCTTGAGATATGCATTGGTGACCTCTCCGGGAATGTATTGCTCAGGCTTTACTTGGAATTTGCTGGGATCCATGGGGAAATCAGGATACTCGTACGTCCCCAAGAGGTTGTTGCTCTTCACATCTGGGTACAATCGCTCGTCGGCCCATGTACCGCCGACGCTGGACTGAGGATCGAACACCACGAGGGAGTCATCTGGGTGGACGACGCGGTATTGCTTCGCGGCGGCTAGCCCGTACCATCCTAAGGTCACAGAAGATTAGCATCGTAGAGCTTTCCTTTTTCCTTTTTCTTTTTGCAAAGGTGCGACACAGCTAGAGACGCAGGAGAAGAAAAAGAGCGAACATCAAATGGATAGAAAAGGAAATCTGACGCGAGAAAATGAGAACTTACCGGCGCCAGCCACGACGCAGTCAATCGTCTCCATCGTTGGATTCGGTTGCTGAAGCAGACTACCTCAAGGTTACTTTTTTCCACGTTTCTTTTTTGTTCCAGTCTCCTCTTCGGCCACCACTACGATGGGGAATCATGTTGATCAAATACTGGGCACCAGGTAGCACTCAACCAGCAGGGGGGCTTGTCGCACTTGTAAACCAACCCCATTATCGCTTAGAACCTTGGATGATTTTCGAGCTTACGGAGGACAAGTACGCCCTCACTAGGCCGAGGATGACGAAGTGTTGCATATCCAATAACCCGGATGAACCAACCTGCAGGCCTGTGACCCGCATATGCATTTGGTTTGCTGATTAGGGCCTGACGCGGGAATCCTTCAGCACACATTGTAGAAAAAATTGAAGAGGGTAGTGAATCAATTGGGCACTTCTGGGTCTCTGAGCTAACGGTAGGGCTTAGATCAGATTCGACGAGACAAAATAAATAAACCGCCTGATAAGTGCTATGAAATCGGCTTTTGACAACTACGATGAAGGTAAGCTTGAACTTTCTTTTTATGGAGACTGAGCTCGCGGGATTCATGCCATCCGCGGCACAGGAATTGAGCTCCCCTTGCGCTAATAACGGCTGTGGAGCTTCGATGCAACTCGACCACTTTGAGACGGCCATGATGGGCCCCCGGCAATCATTGGCACCGTTTGGGTTGTATAGACCCTTGCTATGGCAGGGAAACTGACAAGACGTTGCCAAGATGACATGGACGAGTCTGTATCCTATCAAACGGCATGATCATCCGTCCATCTCTGGTAAAGAAAACCCCCTGGCCACGGGAAGCTTCCATGTACGAGTCCTTGTGTATCGGGAGAGGGCCGATGAGGATGAAATATGATGAATTGGCCTCGCACTTTTTTCGACTTATGTCAGTGGGTTGAATGATGCTTGAGTGTTGAACATGCACATGCCAGAGCCCAAACACTTCTCCGGGAGTCTTGTACAAGCAAAAACACGCCACTGCTGCTCGGCACATCATGTCATCTCCTCCGCCAGATCCGGCTGCGCAGGCTGCAGCCGCTGCAGCTTTTCACCAATTCACAGTTGAGGCCTTCACTCTCTTGGCAGTTGGTATAGCCATCACCGTGCTCAGGACGTTTGCTCGCGTTAGATTTGCTGGCTGGCGAGGCCTGAGCGGCGATGACTATCTTGCATGGGTGGCTATCCTTTTCTATATTGCGGAGACTTGTCTGGCATATAGTGTTGGAAATGCAGCCAACGGACTCGCGAATAATAATATGACGGATGAGCAGCGGGCTGCATTGTCGCCAGATGATCCGGAGTATCACTTGAGGTAGGCAACTCGAGGGGAGGATAGGGGTACCATCTATGCTGACACGTTTGACAGAGTGCTAGGCTCCAAGATCCAGATTGCGGGATGGTCGACATATTCGACGCTTCTTTGGACGCTCAAGACGTCGCTGCTGATATTTTACATCAGACTAACGGTATGCTTTCCCTTACTGATCGGTATTCTCCATGGAAACACTTTTCTGATCATGACCCTCGATTAGGACGGATTGGCCAAGCATTACCGCGTTCGAATCTACATAGGCTTTGCTTTCCTTGCAGCCAGCTACATTGTTGTGGCGCTGAATCTATACCTTTCATGTCGACCTTTCCACAAGCTTTGGCAGATATATCCCGATCCTGGAAGTCAGTGGTCTCTGACCCCTATTTCTTCTTCAGTCTTGTGCTAATCTGGTACCTAGACATTTGCCAGCCTGCCGTTTCTAACCAGATTATCTGGGTCTATTGGGCATTCAATGTGACGACCGATCTATACATCATATCGATTCCGTTGCCCATGCTCTGGACAACTACTCTGAAGCCTTGGAGGAAAATAGGACTTATTTTTCTCTTTAGCGGCGGAATTTTCGTCGTCGTTTGCGCCACTCTACGTTGTGCGCTTATCGTGTTGGTATGTCGTCTATACTATGTATGGCATAAAGAGTCGAAGCTAATGTAAAGCAATTTAGGATACGGCAAATGGTGCACAACTAGCTGGATCTTGGGCTGTAAGAGAAACCTTTGTCGCAGTCGTCACTTCCAATCTGCCCATGCTCGTTCCTTTGCTCAAAACATTGCTTGGCCCTCTTATTGGATCCATTCTTTCCTCGAGGCGTTCAACACAAAAGCTGGAAGATGCAACACCAAAAGACCTCGTTACCTTCGGCGGAAGCTCCAAGAGCTGGCGTGGCCGGGGCCCCCCAACTGCCAACCCAATTACCAACTTCACGATGAATGAAAGCGAGGAACACATTGTGGAAAATGTCAACATGCAGGACCTCAAAGTATGGAGCGACGGCCATGACGAAAGCCAGCAATTGGGAACTAATGACGACAATAGGAACATTCGGAAACACGTCGAGATTGACATTGTGAGCGTGGATCGCCGCCTTTCGAAGCAAATGTCTCCCGATGAGCATGCTAGGAGGCTTCGGGGAGGGTTTCCATTTCCTGACAGCAGTTAACAAGAACACCATGGCATGATACCCTTTTCGATTAGACTATTCTTTATTATAATTTCTTTTTTTTTTTGCGGGATCTTTTGTAGGGCCAAGTTTTGGCGTATGCGTAGCAAGTCTCCAAGTTTATACAGGGCGGGGTTGATCACAAGTCAAAAAGCTATCAGTCATTTATGCAGCCCTTTAGCACGTCTGGTTCATTGGATATCGGCACTTTGCTTTGCTTTTTTTCTTCCTCGGCAATGAGCGCTAGCGAGGAAGGATTTGCGTAAGACGGGCTGCTAGTTGCCTTGTCCTTGCTTTTTCTTTTCAACTTGGAACCTTGGCGAAACTAGCTTCGACTTAACGTGAATCCTGATGAGTCGAGAATTGCCGCAGTGTGGCAATGAGGAACAAGTGTCACGCAGATGTCTTCTATTTCTATATCTGTTTACCTGTACTGTAGTAATGATGAAATGCTATCTGACGCACAAGTCTTTACGGACGATTTCCTCCGCACTGCCATTCGCCATTCGTTTGGCCGAAGGAATTGGACACTTTGTAAACCCCTATTTTTCTCTCTTTGCAGTATTCATGAAAAGCACGTGCAGTTGCACCCGGAAATCCCCGCCAAAGAGAAACTTTCTACATTTTAAAGCTCGTATCATGCAGACCTCCAGAACCGATCAGTGGAGATGATTCGCGTACAGAAGTGGCTAGCCAAGAAGGCCAAGACAGCTATCAAACACTCCCCACAGGCAATCGGGCATGATCCGATAATCCAGAGGCACTTTCACATGATCGGCCTCTTCAGCTAATTATAAAGGGAGCCAACAGATGCTTGGTTCGGGTTTATATCTGCCTTTGCGATGTGCTCAAGCACATTTATTTTGGAGTTCTGTCTTTACGTGCAACCGTTATTTACAAGTATGTCACTGGCAAAAGAAGTAAGATTCGCGATTAGACGGCCATACACAACTAGGAATTGCAAACGGCCCGTTGTCTCACTACTTACCCAAATTTGTACAGATCATCAGACACGGTTCCCCTTGCTTCTTCTCCAGGAGAAGAAATTTCCCCTTTAGCAAAAGCTTTCCTCTTTCCGTGTACGGTATAATAAGAGGATTGAGTTTAACATGGGTGCATTTACACCGAACAGCACATCTGATTTTGTAATGCTATCCCAAAGGATACAACATGGATTCATGCATCTAGTCAATCAACACAACCCATAGGATGTCGTAGTGGAATTCTCCATGAACACCAATTCCATCAATTTGTTTTCTTCTTCATAATTATTCTGTAATTGAAGGTATACCAACAATCGCGTGGAGTGGTTGTGGTAAATTTACGGACATTGCGGACTTCCGGGTCTAAGAGGTATCGAAGAGCGCATGCTCACAGATCCCTGCCACTGCCCTGTCTGTACAGGGAGTGCGGATAAAGAGGCATAATGATCCGCCAATAATAAGAGATCCCTTCTGAGCTTGACACCGAACATATGCAAGCACGGTATTCGCGTACACCGGTAGGCGAAGATCGAAGGAAGAGCCGATCTTTAGTGACCGGTCGGTAAATAAAAGACATGCGGCGGGACACTAATTCGAGTTCCCCGGTAGACTAAAAGAAGTGTGCTTAACTTTCACATGAAAGAAATAAAAGTTGATCCGTATCAACATAATACATTCGAACGGATAATAAAACGCCTAGCATTCACCTGCCCACAGTGATCGGCGCCGGCAGAAGGCTTGGAGCCATTTCCAAGCTCGCACAGATGGGGCGATTTTTGCGGTAATTAATACGTGCAGAAGTTTCCTACTCTCTACTGAGTTATTCGTACATGGAAGTTCCTTACGTGCCCCTGGAAAGTCATACCGGGATTGCCAGGGGATAGTACTTCGTAAGAATGAGTAAATGCCGATGCTCGGTAAGCTATATATATTTCCGCAGTATGCATATCCTCGGTATTTCTAGCTCGTTTTTGGACGAATAGACGAACCTCGTAGAATTATCTTCCCATCCTAAAGCCCCATAGCGAATCTTCAGCAGTAGTTGCCTAATTTAGTTGACGCTGTTTGGTATGGAGGCTTCTAAAGAATTCATTGACTTTACGCAGGCAATTCCGATTCTTTGAGTGACATTAATTCGCGAACTAAATTGCTCGATTAAGAAGTTCGCTATCGTGATGCTTTACTTCTCTTCACCTTCTGCCATCGCGAATTGTCATATGCCGAGCAACAGTGAGCGCTTACCTCAAAGCTTTCTAGTCCCGGCACCAGGGACAAGCATAAATTGCGCCACAACGGTAAGGCGACTGGAGGGTCTGTTCCGAAGGCTACTGGTTTGAGAGCAAGCTGTTTCTATCTCATCCTGCTCGTGTGTAGATTTTTCTTTAGCTAATCTAAGACACTTCCAAGTAATACTGTAACAGACAATGTCGCAGACCTGTAATAAAGACTGGCAGAGACGCAGTTCTAGAAGTATCGCTACAAATTACTACCAAGATTCGGAATTTACCTACTTAGGGCTATAGCGATTTACTCAGTTGAGTTGCCTCTTGAGATCAGCTGCGAGGTTGTATATACAGTGAGACCAAAATCGCTTGCGTGTGCCAAGAGCCCCTTTTGTCTACGTTTGCGACCAATACAGTCAGTCCTTCAGCACCAATTAAATAACAGATGGAGAAAAGAAATTCGCAAAATATTTTCACAAAGCTCCTTCTACCAATATTGTAAAAAGAGAGAAAAAAGGCCCCCAGACTTACATACACACATCAGAGTTCATGCGGTGTATTGCAATGTTCATTAACCGTGGCGAGTTAATCGGGCTTCGGTTTAAATCACGGGCCAAGCTTATGTCGACTCCGCATTCAATCGCCGATCGCGGCTCGAAACAGGGCTATAGCCTGTGTCTCTTCAACATCCAGTCCATAAGGCAACAATAGAAAGAGAAACAAACCCATCATAATAGACATCAGAGTATCTAAAAACTTCATCACTTGAAAACGTCGAGATGTCTACTACAACAACTGTCCAAGTTGAAACGCCACCCGCCGTGGAGAGCATCGAACTCCGGCATCTCGGCCCCGGCGCTTCAACCAGCCGCCGAATCAGCACCGAGTCCAAAGAGGCATCACACGTGGAGGCGGCACCGCATGTTTCAGACGGCCATGACGGGGGTGAACCGCCGCCGGGTGCTCTTGCGGAGACTGAGAGGTGGAATCGGCCTGTTAAGAACATTGGCCGGCTTGCGTTTGCGTTTGTGTCGTTTGCCATTGCGGGGATGAATGATGCTGCAGTTGGCGTAAGCGAATCTTTGCTTCTTCCTATTACCCTATTGCAAAATACGATGATGTTAATAAGTGGCATATTTATATCCATCTAGGCTTTGATTCCATATGTAAGTGACTATGCTACCCGGCATTTATCTCTAGCTTTTTGCACATTGAACTCACTCTCATATCATTTCGACAGCTAGAAGAGTACTACAACCTCAGTTACACCGTCATATCCCTAATCTTCCTCACACCTTTTGTTGGCTACTCTATCGCCGCCTTCACCAATGCCCGCATCCACGTCCTCCTTGGCCAGCGAGGTGTGGCCATTATGGCACCTATCTGCCATCTCATCACGTTTGCTGTCCTTGCTTCGCATCCTCCATATCCTGCTCTTGTTGTGTGCAATGCCATCAGCGGATTTGGAAATGGTCTGACGGATGCGTGCTTTTGTGCCTGGGTCGGCAACATGGACAAAGCGAATACAATTCAGGGTTTCCTGCATTCGTGCTATTCGCTCGGTGCATTGTTCTCACCGCTGATAGCTACCTCGATGGTAGTTAAGGGTGGTTTGCCATGGTATACCTTTTATTATCTCATGGTGAGTCCCTCACAGATGCAAGAAGAATTTTCAGCATCAAAACTAATTGTTACTTTTTTATCAAGATTGGCATGTCTGGTCTGGAATTTGCTGGACTTGTCATGGTCTTCTGGGACAAGACTGGCGCGGTATATCGAGAAGAGCATGCACGCGAGAATGCGGATGCTGGAACTGCCGGCGCAGGCACTCGTGAGGCAATGAAGTCGAAAGTCACCTGGCTTTGCGCACTCTTCTTCTTTGCCTACATGGGCGTGGAAGGTAGGTTACGCGTATATACTTGATGATGTTTCATACCATAGCACATGCTAATTTATAACTATTATGCAGTTGGTCTCGGAGGTTGGGTCGTCACATTCATGCTCCGAGTTCGCCATGCTTCGGCATATGCATCTGGAATTTCAGGCTCAGGCTTCTGGGCGGGTATGGCGCTTGGCCGAGCTGTCTTGGGATTCGTGACAGAGCGGTTTGGCGAGAGGCTTTGCCTATCCATTTATCTTGGTATCTGTCTCGGCCTCCAGTTGCTATTCTGGCTTGTTCCCCAGTTTGTCGTTTCTGCCGTTGCCGTCGCCTTTCTGGGCTTCTTCCTGGGCCCGATGTTCCCCGGAGCTGTCATGGTAACCGCCAAACTTTTGCCAAAACGCATCCATGTCAGCGCTATTGGGTTTGCCATGGCTATGGGAGGCACTGGAGGCACAGTATTTCCTTTCATAATTGGTGCTATTGCGTCTCACAAGGGTGTTTCCGTCTTACAGCCCATTATTCTGGCGCTCATTGCTGTGATTGCCGCAGTTTGGCTGAGTTTTCCCCGTATTCAGAAGCGGGATTGAGGTGAACCATGGAATACTCGATAATCCAACTATGTGCAGTCCTGAACAGTGCGGAAATGTTTGGCATAGTTGTCTTCCTTTTTCTCATCTCAACTCACTCAATTAGATAGGTTAGTGTGCACTAAATTGACAGCTGACCAACTTCTCATCTTTTGATGAAGTTATATCACCAGAGTATGAAGTAGGTGCTCATAAACTACAATTATATAATGTAGTTCTTTTAAGTCGCAAAGTCGTGACAAATGATGCAATTCTGGGGAAAGTTGATTTAGCGTCATGTGATCGCAATTAGAGCCAATTTCTAATCATTGTGCTCTGAAACTCAGCACTTGCGAGGTTAAAAAATTATAAATTCCAAACCGCAAGCTCTGGCTTTTCTTACCAATTCATCTCAACTCTACCCATATTCTGTAACTTTCTGAGCTATTTGCAGTCTGATAGTCACGCAAACCTTCAAAATGCCTATCATCAATGCTGATGCCCCGCCCTCAACTACCGACACGCACTACGTCGTCTACTTTGCATCTGGTGAGCCTTCCTGGTGTCCTGATTGCCGAAATGCTCTCCCGGCTCTTCAGAGTGTTTTTGGAGGAGACTCAGCGCCTTCGGCAACTCTCATTCTCGCTGGTACCCGAGAGGAGTGGAGGAACCCAAGCAACAAGTGGCGCGGTGCGCCCTACAACATCAACTGTCTCCCAACAGTCGTAAGGGTGGAAAATGTAAGTTGGCGAGGTTTCAAATATCTTGATTACGGATACCTAACAGTGAATATGATAGGGACAGGAGGTTGCACGCCTTGGAGACGTTGAGGGTCAGCAGGAGTCGGCTTTAAGAAAATTGATTGCTTAGAGAGGAGACTCGACAAAGGACTGCGTTATCTTAGGCAATAATAAATTCTACAATCAAGTAATCGATTCATCTATCTCCTAGGCATAAAAGAGACTACATTTGCCTAATTCATAGCGCTCTCTGCAGATGGACTGACGGGAATTTCCTGAGTAACACAGTGAACACCACCACCAAGACGAGGCAGTTCATCAATCAGAACAGGATAAATCCTCCTCTCGTCGCCAAAAAGCATTTGGGCTACCCTAATGGCCGCCGCGTCATGAGCCGGATCACCGAATTGAGGAAGGATGATTCCTCCATTGACCAACAGATAGTTGACGTAGCTCCTCACGGCCCGGTCATCCTCAAAGCCGCCGCCCTCAAACAAGTCTTCATCAGGTTCTTCCACTTCAATAATCTCAAATGGACGACCTTTTGCATCAGTAGCGCTGCTGAGAATCTCAAGAGCCTCTTCGTAGACGGTGGTCCATTCGGTTGGCTTCACCTCATTGGCCTTGCTTATGAGTAGCACGCCCGGCCGAACAAATCGGACTAGAGCGTCGATATGGCAGTCCGTCGAGTCTAGGCCCTTCCTTTCAGGAATCCAGAGTATCTTTTCGATGCCTAGGCAGTGTTTGAGCTCAGCCTCAATTTGTTCGCGAGACTTTCCCGGGTTTCTGTTATCATTGATGATGGAACTTTCCGTAATCAGGAGAGTACCTTCACCATCAGTCTCAAGTGATCCACCTTCAGTAACGATGGATGTCTCAATTCGCTCGATTTTGAAGTCTTTCAGGAATGTTTTGGCGAACACAACAGTTGTAGGTGTGGGATGTTTATTGCCCCAGCCATTAAAGTTCCAGTCAACACCGACGATACTGGCCTCCCCCTTGGTCGGCTCTTCGACAACAAATGTAGGGGCAAAGTCCCTCAGCCAGACGTCCATGCTATCGCCTTCAATCTTGTGAAGCTTAATTTCGAAAGGCGTGTCAATCTCGTTGAAATACAACTCTGCTTCTTCATAACGCTCACTGCCAACAGCTAGAATGACGCTTTGGAAGTGGGCAATGGCTTGTGCAATTGATGACACTTCTTGAGTTGCCCTCGCCAGTCTTTCAGGATACTCTTTATAAGTACCCTCTGGGCCGGGCCAGCCTAGAATAGTCTTGCTTTGCGGATCCCATTCCGCGAGGCGTCGAAGACTAAAGTCAGACATGTTTCGATTGATTGATGTGTATAAGATAGATGAGTGTGCAAAGTAGACGTTAGGAAAGAAGGAACAAGAAGGATTGAATTGAAGTTCAGGTTCATCTGCTATCTGAACGGATCAAATAGGGATATTTATAGGAGTTGGCTTGAGTCGGTCTGACCTCATATCCAACATCAATATTATTCAGAAGAGGAGTCTTCGTAGTCCCTTGCAGCGTTAGTATTGTGGTGGCGCCGAATAAATTCACTTCTATCGAAGATGTGCTTCGAGCACAGCATAAGTAGGGGCGCTGCCTCTGCATAGTATTGCCAAAATTACGTGATACTGCATTTATTGGATAAATATTGAACTTGTGATGTCACGAGTGCACAAAGATGTTACACAGAAATGTGTTTGAGGGGGTAACGTGTAGCCAGGTCAGTGCGCGGTTGGCTATGAGGTCAAAGTTCGAGCTTGGAGTTTGCACGGTTGAGTAGATGCATAATTGATCATAGAATGATCGAGAGAGATTGTGTAGATTTGCGTTGAGATATAGAGAACACCAATTTGGAGGGAGTTACGACCTTTTGGTTGGCTTTAACCGCCAGCATGAGGATGAGTGCATATTGCAGCCAACCACATGCATTCGTGTGGATTTGAACGCATAGAATAATGTAAAAGTGGAAATATTTTGCAGCTGACCAGCGTGTATGTTATGTTACTTCGAGAAGTGATGATCTGGGAAAAAGAAATAGGTTGTGGGATATCATTGATAAGAGGATGAATCATAGGGCCACCGCCCTCAGCTATTCTGTTCATATCTACCCAGCGATGCCTGTCCTTTTGAAGTTACTATGTTAGAGCAACAACCTACTCATCGCCAGCGCTTTCTGCAAGATTATCCCTAACAGCCTCAAATTTAGTGAGCCACTCCTGAGTTCTCGCATTTTTCCTTTGAAGAATATCCCCCGCCTCAGCTATGTACTTATCGCATAGCGCTCGTGCTTCTGAAACTCTATCATTGGCGGACAGATATGATATGAGATTATATGCTGTTATTAGTATTTCGTTGTGGGCTAGCCCAAGAACTTCTGTCTTATTCCTCAAGCTGCGCCTATAAAGAGCAAGGGCTTCGTCGACCTTTTCGTCATCTTGACTGAGCATATAAGCCACATTATGTTCCGCAACGAGGGTATCCGGATGTAGGTGCCCAAGCAGTTCTCTCTTGAGCTCGTAGGTCTTCAGCGCCATCTTTTCTGCTTCCTCAGTCTTGCCCTGTTCGTCGAGAACTGAGGCAAGATGTGCCATACAGTTCAAGGTGTCGTTATGTTTAAGTCCAAGAACCTGTTCGCTGCGGGCCAGAGCTTCACGCTGCATCTTCTCTGACTCTGCGTAATCCCCAGTCAAAAGAATAGCCGTAGCAAGGTCACTCAAGCTATCAATTGTCATAGGATGGTCTTCTCCGAGGATCTCGCGCCGGTATTCCACGACTTGTTTGAGAACCGGAAGGCCAAGAAGGTCCTGATCAAAAGTGGCGAGAGTCCAACCCAGCAACCCCATACTAACCAACGTGTCAACATGCTTTTCGCCTAAATGCTGGTAATTTATTTCGAAAGACTCTTTGAACCTTGAACGTGCTTCATCATAGTTTCCATTCCAGTGGATAAATCTCCCAGTGGAAGCCAGTAACTTCGCTCTTGTGATCTCGGAATCCTTTGTCGCCGTCTTGAACTGATACTGCAGGATCCACTCAGCATGAGGGAGCAAAATTTCTCCAAGTTTAAAATAATCCGACTTTGGTTGCGATGATGGCGCGGGGAATTGGGACGTGATGGACTTCAATGCTTGGAAAGCCCACTTGTCTACATCCTGAGGGTTCTCCTCTTCTAACCACCATCTAGTTGCCAGCTGCACAAGGCGATGTGTGCTAAACACCGAGTCATTCTCATCAATAATCGAGAAGGCTTTTAAGAGGTCGGTAGCCTCCTGGAGATGGGAACTTTCTCCTGGTTCGTCTGCATCCTGCAAGAGAATGGCGGGGATCCCATGATGCTGAAAGAAGTTGATTAGACATAACAAGTCCGCTGCCTTTCGATTTGAGTTCCGTATCGCTTCGAAAGAAAGTTTCCACGTTTTTGCGACAGATTCTGGAGTATCTTCCGGTCGGGGTTGATCAGAAAACTCATGGTTGGGTAATGTTGACTTGGCAGTGCCATTCTTGCGGTATTGCTCTAGGTACTGTTGAATAGACATTTGCTCTTTTACCATAAAGGCAACTGCCTGGGTGATAGCGAGGGGAGTATAGTCAAGTTCTTCAAGCAGCCCAAGGATCGTATTGTCGGGCTCGGTGTCTCCCAATTGCTTCTTTACCAACTCCAGCCCCTCCGTTTTGCCTAATTCATGGATCACGATTGGCTTTGTAGGACTCGCCACATCGGAAGCAATCTTGCGGCTCCTTGTAGTAAACAGTAAAGACCCAGTTTGGCAGCTTGGGATGCACTCTGAAGGAGTTTTGCCGATTGACATCTTTCCGTTGAAAAAGGTGTCCTCATCGTCAACGTTATCAATGACCATTAACCACGGGCCTACATGTTCCACTTCGAGCCAATCCTTCAAAAGCATGGCCGCGTCAGATTTGGCGCCATCCGGAGCGCTTATGTTGCATTCGCTCGCAATTCGGTTGAGAGATTCTTCAAAGCGAGCAACTGTGGCTGCGTTTACCCAGAAAACGGAGCATTTGGCATCTTTACTGCGCCTTCTAAAGCAGTATTTCAATGCCACTTGAGATTTTCTGAGGAAATGTTAGAAAAACGTGATCGCAATTACACAGATAGTAATATTCACCCTATGCCTCCAAGGCCACAAAGCGCTGCCCTCGGTTGGCTGCCGTCCTTGACTTCGAATGCTTGGTCAATTTCTGTAAATGTTTCGTTTCTTCCTACAAATGAGATGTTCCTGTCGAACGGTACCAGCCAGAAAGAGTCTAGAGACGAAGGCTGTTGCTGCTGCCACTGCTCAGCCTCGAGATTGGCTGCAGTGCTGGTATCCATGATCGGTGCGACCAGGCTTTCGCAATTCTCCTGGCAAAATTTCTATCGCTCCAGTGATCTTATGCACAATTGTACTGATAACCTATATTGGTAAGTTCTGAAGGGAAATAATTAGGAACCTGAGATCGGTGCTAGTTTTAATTTGAGCGTTCTTATGTAGGATTGCGAGCCTTCCCATGGCTTCTTGCAAGGCATTTTATGGCCTTTTCCCAAGCGACCAGTGGCCATACACTCTTACATTCCTGCCTGCCAAAGGTTGAACGGGTTCAGATCTCATTGGTCACGCATATATGTCTTACATGCATGACTGTGGATATAATGCCTAGAAATATGTGCGCTTGTGAAATACGAAACCCCTCCAGCTCATTAAGACACAAAACCGGTTCAGGTAGGTAGCATTCATGAAACAGAAAACTAATCATTGGACGAGTGTCTATTGTACCACCTAAATAGTTGAGCTAGGTTGTCGCAACACTTTCTAGCACAGCACTACTCTTAATGGTCCCGGCTTAATGGCGACCATCCCTATGTACCCAAGAGCGTTTTGGTGGGGTCATATCGGAGGACTTAATTGAAATAGTGATAACAGAGTGTGGCTATTCTGGAAAACGCATTGCTCTTCGTCAATTTCTTCTTGTAGATATTAGCAATTATGATGAAAGAAGGCATTGTTGTGGAACTTGATATGAGGGGAGCGCAAGTTGCACAACTTGGCTGATCAATGGGTAAACTCCACGCTAGAATTAGTTCTCACCTCCTCACAGCCCCTCACTCAGAGAACGACTTTGATCTTGAGGCGGTTCACAACGAGTTCTTGGACCGGTTTCTCCGTCTGAAAAAAATTAGCAATAATCTCGAGTGGTCGTCAGAGAGACTGCGAATCTAGACAGAATGTCTCAACAAAAGACGGCAAGCTCAAATACGCCATGGGTTGTTGCCATAGCAGCCGCAGCCTTTGCAGTCGGCGTCGCCACATCTGATGCCGTAAAGGACGCCGTTCTCGATATCCAAGATGTAATCACGACTTACAAGGGAGAAAGTGGTCTTCAAGAGCTGACTGCGCTGCCATCGCAAGTACAAGTCGTGGATCCAGCAGGATTCGCAGTGATGCCTTTAGTACCACCAGCAAACATTGCTAATGTTACTACGGTAGACTGAACGCTCTTGCCTATATCTTAAGCGCATCATGTGTCTAATTGATGGATAGAAATTTATTCCTCCAGGATATACTATGGAAAGTCTAAAAGAGAAGCCGTTTCACGTTTACCACCCAGACTTCATTCACATCTTGGGTGCGAATCCGACTCTTACACTCATTGCCGATTCAGGCACCGACCCGCTGTTCCACGAAGCCGTAGTATGGTAGGATATATGTCAACTCTTCTACTTCAGTATTACTGGCGCTCACAATGCTTTCAGGTACCCTCCTACAGATGAGGTTTTCTTTGCCCAGAGCGCCGGCCCCTTAGCAGCTGGAACAGGCTTGAAGAAATCCAGTGCCATTTTAAAAGTATCCTTGGAAGAAGCCATGGCCGTCACGAGCGAGCGAGATGCAGTTGGTAAAGTTCAAGTTCACGTAGTTCCTACAGAGCCCCAGGTCATTAACCCCAACGGTATGTCTTATTGACTGTATCATAACTTGTATCTGTTCAGAGAACAATGCCTGCTAATGATGACCAGGAGGGACAAATTACAAGGGCACCCTTTTGTTCACGGGCGAGGGAATGGGCGCAGATGTCGCTCCAGCACTCTTCGCTGTCAATCCAGTACCGCCTTACAACACCACTAGTAAGTACTGTGGCAGCACTATCTATCGAAAATCCCTCTTTATACTAATTGATGCCTCTTGTTCAGTCCTCGCCAATAATTATTTCGGTCGCCAGTTCAACTCCCTCAATGACGTCTCGGTTAACTTCAGAAACAAGCACATATATTTTACGGACGTTGTATACGGCTATCTGCAAGATTTTCGACCGAGACCTGGCCTCCCCAACCAAGTATATCGTTTGAACCCTGATACTAGGGCTATTACCGTTGTGGCAGATGAGTTTGTAAATTGTAATGGTGAGCAGCAATCTGTTTCTTTCATACTCTTCTCTTCTTAAACTGTGACCAGGAATCACCTTTTCTCCCGAAGGTCGCTATGCCTACATCACCGATACAGGCGCCGGCAAGGCTTTCCGGGGCTATGATAACACTGGGCCATCAACAATGTAAGTGAACAGTCACCCCGATTTGCAGCCAAGTGCACCAGCGGATTGTAAAATAAATACGTTTCTGACTCAATTCTTAGATATCGCTACACAGTAGCTAGAGATGGGACATTTAAAGATCGAAAAGTGTTTGCATATCCTGGAGTCGGCATCGTAGACGGTAATTAGTGGCCTTCTTCTCCTCGCTAGAACATTGCTAATACTAATGCCACATTTTAGGCATCCACTGCGACTCCAAAGGCAATGTTTATGCAGGATGTGGCGATGGTGTTCACGTGTGGAATCCTTCAGGCACTCTGCTGGGCAAGATATTTCTTGGAGAGACATCGGCCAATTTCCAGTTCGCGGGCGACGGTCGAATGATCATCGGCGCCGAAACGCATTTATACTATGCAACCCTAGCTGGAAAAGGAGCGCCAATCTCATGAAAATAAGATATTGCCTCAAGAGACTTGACATATATGTGCACAATGGACGAGCCAGATAATGAACTGTTGAACAGATATGGATACAGATGAATGTCTGGTTGGAAGTTCCCTAGAGTTTCTTGCGGTATATTCTCATCTTTGTTGGCCCTGTAACTACAGTCGCAAGCCATTCAATAATTTCACGAGTTTCAGCAACTCTGAGCAGCTTATATCCACGACGCTCATACCATCGCACAACGCGGTGATTTTCTTCGTGTTCCCACCCATCTGGCACCAAAATCTCGAGCTGCATTTCCTCTGCGCCCAACCTTTTCGCCCAATCCTCCGCGAATTCCATAAGTTGTTGACCAATTCTAGTACCACGGTGTTCAAGGTGACATGTCAGTAGGCCGAGGCCAGCCATACCGGGCCCAACTAGCTCTATGCTCACACAACCAATTACATCCTCAGCGATCTCTTTATCTGGATCAGAAGATGGCTTCCACGCAATCGCTATTTGGCCGCTAAGGATCTTTTGGCTTAATTCCGAGGCAGAGGTGCGAATGTGCTTCTTTGTGTCTACCAAGCCATCGTAGTTGGAATGATAGGAACGGTTAATGAAGCTAGTCATGTACTCTAAGAGCGCTGAATTGTTCGCCAAAGAGGGCGATGCCACGATGATTTTCGCCTTTGGTAAGATCTGAGACTTAATTGGTGACTGGATAGCACCAGTAAGTGATTGAACGGCCTCAATGGAGGGCATAATGACGGAAAATTCAGAAAGAGTCACGGCGAATCTGTAGTTCGAGCACAATGCAATCGCAGAGGAAGAAGGCAAGTCGTATGAATGAAAGGACAGCTTTCGCAAGTAATCACATTAATCCGCAGTGGTGAGTCACTTTTTGAAGCAGTGAGACGGCATCCTGTGGGGAATCAAGGTGCAGATAGGCTATATATGCTAGTAATCTTCTTTCTAAGAAGGATATGGAGTAGTGAGACTAATGATCTGTCATGGTTTGCTTACTTGCGGAGGAGAATCGGAGTCTTTGCTAGTGGTCTGGGTCTGTGGATATAGACTGAATCGCCTCGATCACTAGCACATACGACCATAGGTAGAGGAAAATTCGGGGTCCCGTCTGCTCCCCCATAGACAAGCCTCTAACCGGCAGATTAGTAGTTGAGTGGGTGACCATCAGCGAAGACCGGCTGTTGTATGTTTTTCTTTTTTTGTTTCTGTTGAACTTGGCTCACGAGATGATGTGTTGTAGCTGTCTTGATGCAGTGGTTGTTGCGACAGGGGAGCACATATAAGACCCTCGCTGTTGGAGCATGCGGGGTTATTTTTGCTCTGTAAAGGCAGGCTAATAAACGTTAGCCGGCTTCGCTTTTACATCTCCACTGTAGTGGCCTATAGTTTTACTGCTAATATCTTACGTCCGTTTACAGAGCATCTACGGATGGTTCTTTATGCTTGCTACACGATCAATTATAATGATATTGTGCGCTTTGAAGTACGTCTCATTGGTGCTTACTTGGACTTTGATACGAGGGGCTTCGTGGAATAGAGGGGATTGTATGATCTCATGGTTATTATGAATTGAGTTACAGCAGCTTGACGCTAGAGAACATAAACTCGGGGTCCCGTCAAGCTCTATTCTCGAGTTTGATATCTTCCATTTTTTGCATTCTACTATAAGACTCCAAATTTGGAGTCACATGGATGACTCTGTGGTTAGTGGTCAACCAACCCCGGCGCTGAGACGCTCTCCATCGAACGTTTAGTCCTCTGCCCATAATTAAAACGGAGCGGACGCTGCCACCGTTTTCATATATACCTACCCATAAACGCGGTGCACACATTCTCAGGAGTTCCAACGTTAGTGATGTTCTCATAACCCACGCTTTTAGAGTATATCGTAGGATTACAGGTATCCCATGAGTAGTCCTTTTAGGGTGGCTTACGGTCTTCCCGTCACTCCTGCCCTGATGGCTCTTCGGGAGAGACGGTTTTCCGTGGTACATCTCCGATGTACTTTTCCTTGAGTCAGGCTGTAACAGTTAGTTATTAATCTTTAGTAGGTATGAATTATAACGAGCTTTTAAAGGATAGATATAATTTTAAATCTATATTGCAAAGATTCTTGTTTTTGTTGAATAAGTGTTTTACGTACTTTGGTTGTTTATTAGAAGATCTAAAAGATTGGATTCGGCGGATTCTGTTTTCTTTATTCGATAGATCGTCTTGGCTACGGCAGCGACCTGTGCTTGCGCTTTGGCAGCAGCAGGCCAAACCCTGGCGCGGAGTTTTAAAGCGCCCAAGTTCAAGCGAATGCTTTCTCGCGACGCAGAATCACGAGCATCTGGCGACAGCAGTGCCCAGTGGCTGAGGTGAACAATAGACGACAGTGTGAGGGCACATGTAAAGAAATGTGTGTGCGAGAGCAGTGACTTTTGTGTAATCATGGCACTGATGGCGGTGGCCGATGAAACGGTCTCTGTCGTGTAATAATCGACGTAGTCGTTGCCTAAGGTGGTTTGAACCGGCGCGCAGGTATCGATTGCCTGGGCTGATTTGATATCGAATCGACAATATGGCTGGTATAGGAGTATGAGGATGGCATATGTTATCATATATGCCTGAAACATCATCTCGTCCGGCTCACTGTCTTGCTGTAACATGTGGCGTTTGAAGTGAGGTAGATGCAACCTCCAACTCGTAAGAAGCAATTCCAGTTCTTTGACATTAGGGTCTTCAGGGTTACATATAGGTGGTAATCGCAAGAATTTACCGAGATTTTGACCACATATGATTAGTTGAGCAAAAGACGAGAATTGGTGTTCGTCTTCGTGGAAGTTTCTATCCTGGAGATCCGGGAGAGACAGCGGCTTTGGAATTTCCTAGCGCTAGCAGTTAGAATGACTACAATCAATTTGGAGACCAGCTGAGTAGAACGAATAATGAGGGTAACCATTTGTTTCACCCACCCCCGAGAGATATTGATGTTCCTCACAAGGAAGCAACACATCAGCCGAGACGTCGAATAGTGCAAAGCTGGATTCGCGATGTATGCCTGCAATCATGCCATCCATAATGTAGAGGTACCACCATGTTCGTCGCCAAGACTCTTCAAGGACAGGAGAGTCTCGCCCGTGAAGGGCCGCGAAGTTGCGTTTGTTTAAACCAATTTCTAGTGCAAGCAGCTCCGCATCACTCAATATTCTGAGGCTTTCGCGCCGCTGGCAACTGCCGTCTAGAGCCACCAATAGCAGCATCATGGCCTGAACAAGAAAACCATTACGCGGCGCCTGGTCATCATATATAGAGGAATGTGCGGCGTTGTACAAATCGGTTTGGACCGTGGCGTTGATGTACAGAGAGCCCACCCACCTCATAGCCGCAACCAGGATATGCAAGCTCTTCGCATCGTCAATTTGAGAGAGATGGCAGCGTGGAAGGACAAACGGGTTGGATGCAAATGCATGGTAATAAAATGAAGTCAAAGGTCGGTCCGAATCATTCATAATTGTCAACTGCGGCGACGAAGTCTGGTTGTAAAGCGTACTCGTAGCGTATGCGGATAGCCTTTTCAGCCGGGAACCGGCCGACAATGAATGTGATTCGGCTCTGTTATCAGAGGCTTGATTGTGGTTTGGTGCATTGCCGCGAGCTGCATCCACTGAAGGTCCTGGCGACGGAGGCTGATACTGCAGCCGTGATGTGCCTACCAGTGGCAACCTTTCCTTGCCTTTAATCGTGGCTCGTCGAAGACGGTTGTATCCTCGCTGCGATGGAATGAAAACGCATTCTACTTGAGAAGTGATGCATCGAGCACACGGATTCGATCCACTACATTTCAGGTGTTTGCGTCGCTATATTTTATTTTTATGGTTTAGTACATGTATAGAGCTGCTCGAGCAGAGCGGATTTGCCATAAAAAGAAGCATAGGGATCTCGCTGAAGCACCTACACATGCCAGACAGGTCTTTACAGGCAGCAACCTGGAAGCATCTTTCTGTGTCTCCGTGTATGGGGTGACAGGTACTTGATTGTCTTCGATGTTATCTGCTGGTGTAATGTCGGGGTCAATCGATTGGTCGACGACTGGAGACGTGGCCCAAGAGAATGTTGGGCTTAGATGCGACACTTCTGGGTAATCATCTAGGATAGAGAGAAAGTTTTCCATTCCGCAAGCTCGCCTGACAAGTTTGATATTTTTCTTCGTCTTCTTTTTACGTTTCAATTTCACTCTTGAAAACCAAAGAATCACCCCCCCCCAACTTCTTTTTCTTTGTTGCCCGTGGCGAACAGTGGCAAGGAGAGGACGGAGACTATTGATTTGAGGAGGAATATGCTCGTTTACATCGTTTACAGTTTGGTTGTAGATGTCTCGATTTCCAAGCTGCTCCAATGTGATAAGAGTAGGGAACGGGAGAGCCACGGCACTGATCGAGAATATTCCACTTGCTAAGAGCCTAGGACAAGGAGAACCTTGGTGGCGAAAGTCCGACGACTGGGTCGCTGACCTTGGTGGCGAAAGTCCGACGACTGGGTCGCCGACCTTGGAACTGCTAGAATTCAACACACGCGCCATGGTCGGCGACTAGCGGTACAGCTGGAATCCACCAGCGATAGCGTGTCGATGTCGCCGAGCCAAAAAGGATTGCCGACGAGCCTTCAAGTTCCCATAGTGTCGCCGACATCGTAGTTGGACTCTCTTTTTATAAAACAAAATTTCATTTTTAAATAAGTGCTGTATTACACGTGTAATGTCCGCGGTTGATTGTCCGATGTGCATCACAAACTGTAATAAGCTCTCCCAGTGTGACTGTAGCCTTTGATTACCTGCAACATAATATAAATACATGTAGCAAATCCTCTCTGTGTACCGGATACGCCATAACGCTTGCTAGGACACATTCTGAGATCTCATCGTCACACCACGCATTTTTTCAGCTGCCCTCCGCCCCTTTTTTTGTTCGAATCATCATCTTTTACGCGAGCCATTATGCATCCCAATGATGGCCAAAACAATGGGGCCGCAGATCTGGAAATGAACCGCATTCAAAGTGCTGTGTTAGCCAATGACATTGTCTCTTCGTTAGCATGGCACAACCTCAGCGTCGTTGTCAAAGACCACCAGACAGGCCGTCAGTTGTCCATCTTAGATAAGGTGTGCGGAATAATCAAGGCCGGAGAGGTGCTTGCTATCATGGGACCCAGTGGCTCCGGAAAGACGACTCTACTCAACGCTCTAGCGCATCGGGTGGCTGCTGCTGGAGCCACAACTCATGGGGACATTTTGGTGAATGGTTCCAAGGCGTCCCTGCAAACTATTCGAGACTTGTCTAGTTACGTAGAGCAAGAAGATGCTCTGATTGGTAGCTTGACGGTTCGGGAAACAATGATGTTCGCGGCTCGCCTCTCACTTCCAGCGTGCGTCAACACCTCATGTGCTTGCACACTCGTGCGAGCCGACTGCCAGCGCTTGTATTTTGTCCTCGGTCGACGCTAACATACATCTGCAGAACCGTGACTAAACGAGAAGCATTTCAGCGCGTTGACGATCTGATCGCGAGCTTTGGTTTGCAATCCCAGGCACACACAATTGTTGGCACGACTATGAAGAAGGGTCTGAGTGGAGGCCAAAAGAAACGGCTAGGAGTCGCAAGTCGCTTGGTAACAAATCCCAAGATTCTCTTTCTCGACGAGCCAACGAGTGGGTTGGACTCCGCTCTTAGTCTTGAGGTTTGCACTTATATTAAGGATATTGGCCGCAGGCACAATGTAAGTCATTTTCAATAACCCTAGTTCACGTAAATTTCGCAATCGTTGCCAATCAAGCTCTGATTTTGTCTTTTAGCTAGTAATTGTGGCATCGATTCACCAGCCGTCGTCGGCAACATTTTTGCAATTCGATTCCCTCTGCCTTCTATCTGGAGGACGTACCTGTTACTTTGGTCCGATCTCTGCCGCAACTGCATACTTTACCAGCATCGGACACTCAATCCCTGCGGAGACAAACCCGGCCGAGTACTTCCTAGACTTGATTAATACAGACCTGGATAAAGACGGAGAGATTCGCCGTCGAACTCATCACATCTGTCAGTCTTGGGCTGCATCTGAGAATCAGAAGAGCCTTGAACTCGTCGTACAGAAATCTCAAGAAGCCGCTTCAAAAGACATATTGCATTACTCTGTCGAACGGTCCAGTCCATGGAATGTTCCGATTGTGCTGCTTCATAGGTCATGGATAAAGTCATACCGCGATATTATGGCATACGGTATCCGTATCGTCATGTATCTTGGTCTTGCTATCCTTATGGGCACCGTTTTTCTCCAATTTAACGAAGAGCAAAAATATGTGCAGCCTTATATTAACGCTATCTTTTTCGGTAGCGCTTTTATGTCCTTTATGGCCGTTGCTTATGTGCCAGCTTTTCTGGAAGACTTTAATACCTTTAAGCAGGAGCGAGCCAACGGCTTAGTTGGGCCTTTGGCATTTTTAATGTCTAACTTTATTATTGGCCTCCCATTTCTTTTTATTATTACAATCATCTTTTCGGTTGTTGTATATTGGCTTATTGGATTCCGCTCTGATGCATCGACTTTTTTTATGTGGGTTTTATGGCTCTTCCTGGATCTGGTGGCTGCAGAGTCTCTTGTTGTTCTTGTTTCCTCTGTCTTTAATATCTTTGTTGTTGCTCTGGCTATTACCGCCTTTGCCAACGGTCTTTGGATGTGTGTTGATGGATTTTTGGTGCCGATGAATATTCTAAACCCTTTTTGGAAGTACGTCTTTCATTATATTGACTACCAGGCCTATGTTTTCCAAGGAATGATGGTCAATGAGTTCCAATATAGGCAATACGACTGCGCCGAGCCTTCGCCGGGCCAGTACCAGTGCGCATATTCGAGCGATCTGAACTCCGAGGGAAAATTCCGAGGCATCGATGTTCTCCAGCTGTTTAGCATTAGTACCGGACTTCAAGGAACTTGGATTGGTATTATAATCGGCATAATTGCTGGCTACCGAATCCTAGCTTATTTAGCTTTATTACTACGTAAGTAAAAGGTATATTATATTGTTCAACGGCGCTCCTAGCACAGCAGCGTCGTCATCACAGCCGCTTCCTTTCCTGCCAACTCAACCAACGAAGGGCAGAGTCTGTTCCTCAAGCTCGCAACGTGCGCAACGATGCTCAAGTAGCAATCGTGACACAGCTGTACTTCGTTGTGTCGCAGCAAATCTAGGTGCTTTGGTGATGACCACTGTTTTGTGATGTTCGAAATCAGTAGTTCGACTAGGACGAAGCCATCCTACTCCTCATATCCATTCCATAACCCGGGAACTAGGTATCGGCGATGTAAACAAGCAAGTGCCACTGGAGCTGTCAATTTCCGGGCGCCGCGGCCCATTCCGGAGAGCTTATTGACTAGCTAAAGAGGCAAATGTTCACGTCTATGACATCATTCAGCACTATCTGCGAGACGGCGTAATCATACACCGCTCAATCGATCTGCTAGGTCTGATCGCTGATCGTGATATCCGATGGTGTCAGCATGAGATTTCCGCCGCAGGTTGAAGCAGGCTTCATAGGAAGTAAGACATAAGCACACTGCAATGGATTGAAGCTTATGCCAATTAACCGCTGTCTACATATATGTCAGTGCCCAGTAAAGAGCAACGCTACACTGAGAAAGAGTATTCTCATATCTTATAATGATAGATGCCATAAGTCATTTAACCTTCAATTACTAAAGACAGTAGTTATACAGCATCGTGGTCCGCGTTTGCCGATGCGCCGTATAATGAATCATTACTTCAAGACAAATAGATAGTCAGCTTCATGTGGCACACGCCCGTTGACGATTACATTAGGCTTTGGAATACTCGACAAGGTGTCTATTTTAAGAATTAACCCCAAACCGGGTCACTAAATAATATCGCGATCTTCATAGAACTCTAACGCCATCCGAGGCTCATCTGACACAGATTCAGACAAACAAATCTTGTGTCTATGTATATATAAGATATAAGACCTACGTATTCGTCCCATCTTAATCTGCTTTACCACGCGGTGGGAAATCGCTTACTATATGTAAATATGCGAACCATTACTGCTTTGGTCGGCACAGCTCTTGCTGCCTGCGCAGCAGGTGCCTCGCCTCCTGTCAGCCATCATGAAGCCCCCAAGCTGCCAGCATTTGTCCTTGAATATGGTGAGCCCAGCAGTCTGCATGCTCTTCTTTTCCTGCGCAAGCTACAATCCCTTTGTTCATAAACTCTTCACAAAACTAACTTCTCATAGCTCCAATTGTCGCACTCGATGAAGGCGAAGTCCTATTCCCCGCCGACATTGGCAAGCAGTTACTCAACACGATTCCTAAAGTCAACTTCACCAAAGTAAAGGGAGAACCACACTCGCTGACACTCAACAACTTGAACGAACTCAACAAGCTTGGAAATACTTCAGTCTTTCTCACCGCCAAAGACGATATTACAGATATCGCACGGGAGCCGTCTTGGGTACACGGAGTCAAACCGAATAGTCGAGGCGAAACAGTAGGCGCTGTCTCTTGTGCCATCGTTCTTCGCACGCATCCAGACAACTCCTCAATAGTGGATGCTTTTTACTTCTACTTTTATGCTTTTAACAATGGTGGGCACGCTGCCGGAATTCCTGAAGACTTCCACGTTGGTGACTGGGAGCATTCCATGGTCACATTCCATAATGGTATCCCGACTGAGATATTCTTGTCCCAGCATAGCGACAGCGGTGAGGCTTTCTCATATGGAGCGCTGCAGAAGATTGGGAAGAGAGCGCTCATATTTGCGGCGTTCGGCGGCCACGCGAACTATGCTACAAAGGGATCTCATAATATCCCGTTTACTCTTCCACCGCTGCCTACGTTGAACCTGAGTTCAGTGTCAATACCAGGCATTCCTTCCAGTGTCCTCGAGCATTTAAACCTATCCGCAATTCTAGAGGCCGTGATTCCAGCCAACTTCTTACAGGACAAAACTTCTATGGGTACATTATGGGACCCAGTTGCTAATGCCTTCGCCTACAACTACACCTTTGACTTCAATCCCCACCGTTCTGCGGAAGAAAACAACAAGTTCACTCCGCTGGCAACGAAGAGCCAACCGAACCCCCCGACCAGCTGGCTGACTTACTTTGGGCAGTGGGGAGACGAGCAATATCCGTTAACAGACGTTCGACAATTTGCCATTCTCAATATTCCTGCATTGGCGTACATCATGAGTGGGCCAAATGGACCTGTTTTCAAACATATTGTGAGATCAACAGTATATCCACCAGCTATGGTCAATTGCACCATCAAAACTTCATTGAAAGAAGCCAATTAGCGTGAAGGGATCGGTTTAATCCCAATCCTAACTGGCCACAATCAGTCTACAACTTATTAAGGGAGATGTATGGAACCACATGTATTTATAGTAGGTAACAAATTATTTACCCCTGTACTCTTTCAATATTGCATCCTAAAAAAGAAGAGAGTAAGGCTAAAGAGTGTCATACTTAACATCACCTACACGACAACAACATATCATTTTCCAACCTGGCTAAGAAGTCAAGATTTTGTCTCGCCCAAATAAAATTTAGGCAAAAAAATTAACCATTTGTGATCACTATATTCAGCTCACTCCCCAACCGCGTAGTGCATCCTTCGAAAATCCTGCATATACCCCACCATCTGGCTGTGCAAGCAGAATGAGGATTGTCTTCCCGCTCAACACACACGTGAACCCCGCGCTTCTTTATGCGCTATTATTATATGAACCTGGAATAATGAATCCGCAAAAGAGAATAAACATTCGATCAACTGCCGGTGCATCTAACATCTATAAAGATGTTACTCCACTTAGTTTCCAGGACGAGGAAATACGCATGCTCCATCTTGAATGCGGCTCAGGCTCTTCCTTGCTTCAATGCACACTCCATAGGGTCTCTCTCCAGTCTGTCCCTACCCCGAGTTACGAAGCACTCAGTTATACGTGGGGGGATGAGAATAACAGAAGAGAAATCGTCGTAAACGGGTATATCGTGGATGTTACCTTCAATCTCTATTCTGCCCTTTGCCGGCTTCGGCTGGAGGATGAAGCCCGTGTGTTGTGGATTGATGCTCTTTGCATCAACCAAACTGACCTAGATGAGCGCTCTCAGCAGGTACAGCTAATGAGAAACATCTATACCACATGCGACCAAACCGTTATATGGATTGGCGAGCCGCCAGAAGATATGTTACCTACTTGGGAAATGCATTGGACCGGAGATGAGCGTGACGACGAGTCGATAGACTGGTTTTGGAAGGAGTTTTATTCCGACTCCGATCGCTCAAACATGGATGAGAATGATTCGACTTCAATCGACCAGATTTTTCATGCATTCGCCAATCTCAGGCTATTGTCCAGTGGTCATCTCTCGGACCAACCGCTCTTCATAGACATGACAGGAGAGGAATTTTCCTATTACACGACATATTCGGATTATTGTCGTCTGGTAACTGATGCTCTTGCACCTTTCTATGACAGTCCTTGGTGGACTAGAATTTGGGTTAGTCCTCAGTATTGACGCGTTTTTGTTTCCTATCTGTTGGCTAGTACTGACTCATATGATACACTGTAGACTGTTCAAGAGATTATCCTTCCTCCCAAGGCCAAATTCGTCTTCGGACCTATATCAGTCGACATGTCGTGCCTACTCGAGGCATTCGCTGCCCTTGCTTGCCACATGTTCGAGCCCTGTTGTTCCGAATTGTTTTCTCGCTGTAACGTCAGAGTCAGGAAATGCTTCCGACAGCTGGGGAGTGTTCTTACCAATATCAAGAATATGAGAGCTAGCCATGGCGATGGTACTAACGTTGAACTTTGGGAAACCTTGACCACGTTTCGCGCCCGGCATGCCACAGATAACCGGGATAAAGTCCATGGTGTTTTAGGACTTGTTAACACATGGTCGGGGCAACCCATTGTCCCTAATTACAGAGCCGCAACCGAAACCATCTATTGTCAGGCAGCCATTTCTACTGCCATTGGGACCCAATCTCTCTTTCCCCTACATTTCCCACTTCAAAAGCATGCCTGTCCCAATCTTCCTTCATGGTGTGTAGACTGGACTGCAGCTAGTGCGCTCGCTGATCAGCTCAACGTCTATCAATGGAGCCAGCAGCCGTTCAAAGTTTTTCCAACCCATGGCTCGGATCACTTCCAAATAGTTCCTCGCTTAGATAACCGCATCCTGGAAGTCTGCGGGCGTCGGGGCGATAGAGTTGCATCAGTGGGCAAAATATGTCAGGGAAACGAGCCCAATGAGAAACGTAAGGCATATTGTGACTGGTTTCTCCTTACGGGACTTCACCGCGATCCATCGAGGATGTATCGTTCCGGGTGCTCTTACTTTGAAGCGTTCTGGAAATGCCTCTGCTGGGACATGACACTCCATATGTCAGAAACTGCAGGAATAGCGATATCTGCAAGATCTAAAGGCGCAGAGAGCTATGAAGCTTTCGTGGGCTATTGCCATAGCTCTCTGAAATCCATATTTCATCCGGAAGGCCTCTCTCAGGCAGACCGAGAGGCTGTGCTACAGCTCGACAAGAGATTTCAAACGACAGCGGACACGAAATGGGGTCAGTACTCGCAGTCTGATTATCTGGTCGAACAGTGGATCAATGGCTTGACTCTAAATACAACCTTTTTTGTGACGGATTCGGGGTATTTGGGCCTCGGCCCCCCCGAGACTCAAATTGGAGATGAGGTATGGTGCCTATTTGGTGGCCAAATGCCGTTCATTCTCAGACCAGTGGCAACAACACAGGAGGTAATCTTGGGACAAGGAAAAAAGCAACTTCACCAAGTCTTTGGAACTTGCTATGTGCATGGGATTATGGATGGTGAAATCGCAAACGATGATAGTATCCCAGCTGAGATATTATATTTGGCCTGAAAGAAGATAATTGCTAGCTGGTTTACGACTTACGAGCATGTCACGTCTCATAATTGGGTAACCCACATCTATACCGCAATGGGCTACTGTTTTTAGTTGCTTGACCTGTATGAGTTCCTAGGGCGTCTTTTGCAACAGCTGCCATCAACCGAAGATTCGTGCATCAAGGAGAATATGAAGAATTGCCTACAATCTCCATTTCTTATTACCTGATTTGCTTCTGATCCAAATAATTTCGAGAAAATTTTTTTTGGGTAAGTAGGCCTTTTCAATTACTGGGGCCAACAGCCGGAATTGCCTGGTGAGCGACGGCGAATTGTGAGATTCAATCCACTTAATCACAAGCCCATAAGCCACTTTCTTCCGGGAGAACTCCCACGCTTAACACTCGAGACCTAAACACCTGATCGTCATTCACCAATTACAATGCGAAGTATATCGAAAAAGATAACTAATTGAGTTTCTAGTCCAACACGGATCATTTCTTCTCCTGCGTGGGTACATAGCTAATTGAATGCTCCACGTATTGAGTACTAGCATCTCCTTGTAAGCTGTAGCTTCGCACACAAAGATAGATTACGCGCACATAAATGTGGTTCCTCTTAGTTTGTATTACGCTCCTATTTTCTGTCCCCCACTTGCTCAGGAAGAGGTTGTGCTTGGAGACTATTTCATAGCCTTCAGTACGCATAGCTCATTTCCACTAGCGTAATCTAATGTTTCACTACAGATCGGTGTCCCGACACAAGAAATCTGCAACGTTGATCTTCTAATGTCAACTGAGGTATACATATTGAATTGTCTGAACGACTAGTCAAGATGGTCAACACGGGAAAGCCTAGCATGGCTTGCGCCACGTGTAAATTGCGCAGAACTAGAGTATTTATTCATCCTAAGATGTTGGCTATGCCAATGAAAGCTTTGTTGCGCATCTGTACATTCTAACTTGGAAAGTAGTGTGACCAACAGCGGCCTGCGTGCTCTCAGTGCCGCAAATCTGGATGGGTTTGCCCAGGCTTCCCGTCCAAAGCGGACGTCATCTTTCGGCACCACACGCCCGCCTCCCAGCAAGCAATCATTGGTCGCCGTGGCCAGCCAACAGGCAGAGTTATTGACTTATCGCCCGCAGTTACGGATAGGGCCACAGCCTTCTTCCTCCACCAATACGTATTTGATACCAAGACTAGCTCCGGCACTGTCCCTCCAGCGGTTCATGAGCATCTGCCAGTCCTCCTTCAACGGGAAGCGCCCACCGGAGCGCTTAGTATCATCATTTCGGCGGTGGGCCTCGCTGCTTTGGCGAATGCTGGAACTTCAACACCGTGGAAACACGAGGCGTATCGTCTATACGGCAAGGCCCTCCAACGATTACAGACTGACCTCCAGGATTCAGCCGGCATGAAGTCGGATAGCACATTGGCGGCTGTAATGCTGATGGGCACCTTTGAGGTAAAAAACTTCTTCTGTCATGGATAACAAACAGGACTGACTCTCCGACTAGATGATCGCAAATGGTGACCCGACTTCTATGGAGTCTTTCCGCTACCATATCTTCGCCGGAGCTCGATGTGTTGAGATCCGGGGACCAAACCAATTCCGTAATGCAGTATCTGCCATACTGTTTATTCAATTACGTCGCCTCATTGTACGGACTTTGTTCAATTCTTGGGTGGTTAATTAAGTGCTAATCGGTAACAGATTATGACTTGTCACCAACTACAGGAGCCATTGCCCTATGCTCTCAAGACGTGGTCTCGATGGGCTCATCCTAGTCAAACGAGGGATGAGGCTTCTTTAAGTATCTTCGCTGAACTGAACGAGCACCTCGCAGCTGTCCGGGCCGAGATTAAACGAAAGGGTATTCGCAATCCTGCAGCTGTGGCCGCGATGCTAGATCCAGTCGATCGCCAGCTTGCAGAGTGGGAAACGAGGCTTCCAGACTCGTGGAGATTTAAATCCTACCGAAACCTTGACTCAAAGGTCGATTCTTTCGAGAGTCACAAACTACAGTATGACGAATACCCGGGTCTCTGGGTTGCTTCCACTTGGAATAATTATCGGATGATCCGCATTCTGATTTACGAATCAAAGATGAACGCGATGATTAGACACAGCTCAGACAAAGACAGAAACGATCTCCAGCATTCAGCCAAAATACTCACAGAAATGACAAATGGCATTTGCTATAGTGTTGCATACATTTTAGGTGACCGGCCCAATGGACTCTCTTCGAATAGAGTCCACCAAGTTGAACAGTCCGATATACTACCAAAACCGGGCGGATACTTGTTGCTATGGCCACTATTCCTAGCCGGATCTCTAAGTACTACTCCTAGGAACCAGAGAGGCTGGATTGCGTGTGTTTTGAGAGATATAGGTTTGCGCATGGGTATGCAACTAGCTGTATCGATGGCGATGAAGTTAGAGCAGACGGCCATCTCGTTTTCAGATCGTGAGATGTGGCTTATTGGAGAATTCTTCCCTGTTTGACCGACGGGCTAGTATTTATATTAGTATTTATTTAATTTTAATTGAGATATGGTACCAAAACCCTTTTGCGAAAGCCCAAACGCCGGGGCAGTGCAATGTCCATATAGTCCTTGTTACGGTTACCCACATGGCAAGGATCAAGATATTTGCAATTGCGTGGATCGCAAAGCCTACGATATTGGGAGTACTCAGACGATAGACTTGAGCAGCAAATTACTTGTTCTTACGACGGGTACCTAGACTCCATTGTATTCTGACTGTGAGACTTGCACTACTTGGATATCCATCGGCCTGACACTTCCGATATTATACACACACTAGAATGCAGCACCGGCGCTGACATGTAGATCATGCTATACCCTACTCGGCTAGCCTTGCGAGTTGACCAATCAGAGACTCTACAGCCCTCCTCAAATGCCTATATTGGGGTGCTCTTTGTTGAGTGCCAACCATGTGGTGAAGTGAAAGTTGTGGTCATTTTCAGCATAGTCTTTTGCTGATGGCTGAAGCCCAATCGCGGCTCAAATTCCTCCTGAGCTTATAAATTTATATCAATGTAGATGCTCATCTTCTTCAATATTTAAATGCCTGGTTGTCCCCCTCAGTCTGTCTAAACACTCACTCTACATGCACTGAATACTCATCTTTTCTTGGCCCATTTTCTGACAAGATGAAGTCCATATCTCTCGCACTCGCCATATTTCTGGCTACAGTGCCAAGCTATGCTTCTGAGTGCCCAACAGAGCCGTCGCAATCGACCCCAGTGGTGACGACCAAAGACGGAACTTTGCTAGGTGGAAAGTGTAGCACGACAGATGTGAACTTCTTCTTGTCTATTCCGTACGCAAATCCTCCAACAAGGTTCCATGCTCCTGCGCCCTATACAGGAGTGTACCATGATCGAAACGCGACGACGCCCGCCCCAGCCTGTCCACAGTTTGGCACGACCTTTATCGAGACGGGCAAACAGTCCGAGGATTGGTACGAGTTGCCACGATCTGTTCTGTATATGTAGCCCTTTCCCTTTGCTGACAATACTCATAGCCTCTTCCTTGACATCTTTGTCCCGGCTCACAAGCCCCATAAGTCCAAGCTGCCCGTCAAAATCTGGATTTATGGTGGCAGTAATGAAGCAGGTGGCATTTCAAATGCGATGTATACAGGTTGCTACGCCGCTGAGAATGTAATTCAAGTCAATATCAACTATCGCCAGGGGCCTCTGGGGTTTTTGGCAGTCCAAAAAGCTGGAATAAATGGCAATTTTGGCATTCAAGATCAGCTGCTGGCATTGAAGTGGATTAAGGCAAACATTGAATCCTTTGGCGGCGACCCTGTAAGATTTTCTCAATCCCATTTGCATTTTTTCTTCCAGTCACTAATGATATGCTTCCGATGGACTCTAGGATAAAATGGTGCTCTTCGGACAATCAGCTGGCTCCTTCGACACTTTCACTATCGCGACCCTGAATGATGCGCCTGATCTCATTAGTGCTGCCATTATGCAGTCGGGAGGTGGTAGCGACTTCGCTTCAATCGCCGAGGCTCAGCCCTGGAACGAGCTGTTCGTCACTACTCTAGGCTGCAAGGCATCAGATGTAAGTGGTTTGATGTTACCATTGCACACTTCTAATGATCTTTGTTCAATCTGAATCTGACCATGCTTTAGTTCTCCTGCATCGACTCTAAGAGTGTGGCCGAAATGCAGCAAGCCGTTCTGGCGATGCCTGCCGGGGTAGGACCATCAATCGGCAGCCCTATAGCTCACATCGGCCGTGGATTCAGCTGGGGACCTCTTGTAGATGGCAAAGTAATCCCAAAGGCGCCTGCATCAGCCGGCGTCAAGGTTCCGTCTATCTTCGGCTCGACCGCTACAGAGGGCATGCTCTTCGTCTTGGCCACCTACGCGAAGAACTTGACAACCCAAACTCAGGCCACTTATGACGACTTCTTGAGTTATCAGTTTGGCCCCTTCGCATCGCGCGTCAATTCAACCTACCCGCTCTCTAAATTTCCGCGAACGGCCACCGCCCCCAACTCCGCTGATGCTGCCATAAGTGCCGTTTATACCGACTACGCTTACAAGTGTACAGCATATAGAGGCCTTCAGAAGGGAATTGCCAACAAAGTCCCTGTTTTCACATATTTCTTTGACCGCACACCTTCCTGTACCTGGCTGACATCTGTTCCAAATACCCCCTTTGTCCACAGCTTTCTCGGTGCTACCCACACCGCTGAGCTTCCTTTTGTCTTTGGCGTGCTGGATGGACTGCCTGCCCCGGGAGGGAACTGCACCTCGACCTCAGCCGAGTTACAGCTAAGTAAAGAGATCATCTCTTCGTGGGACAGTATGGCTGCCACAGGCACTCCTGGCTGCGATTGGCCGCGCTACTTAGATCAGGGTAAGGACAAAGGTCTGGGAATGATGTATCTCGCGAATGAGACGGTTGTTGGCGAAGTGGACTACAGTATTTGCCCGTTCTGGGATGAGATAAGGGACGAACTGTTAGCTTTGCAGGCTCAGGGAAAAGTTAACCAGTCCTAAGCGAGAGAAGTTTAGAGGCGGTATAAGCGTGTATAAGTTTCATTCTAGATCCCGACATTATTTATATTAGATAGTAAACATTAATCTTTTAATATTTTACACAAAATTGGATTCATAAAGCTAGTACATACGATAGATACCAAATCAAGGCGTACAGACGGCGGCAAAAGGTGGCAGGGTTAATGCAGTCTTTTCTGGAAACCTTTGCGACACGGATTCAATTACCAACATTGATACTAAAGAAAAAATGAGATTTTGATAGGAACGTTCCCCTCATCATCGCCATCTTCACCACTATCTTGATCTCCATCATCATGATCTTCTTCTTCATCGCCTTCGTCATCACCATCATCTTCTTCATCGTCATCGCCATCATCTTCATCATAGTCATATTCACTAAAGTCATATTCATCCGATGAACTAGGGAATAAAAGTTCATCGTCAATCGCTTCCCAATCTATATCTCCTTGAGGGGTTAATGGGAAGTCTTTTTGATCGGGTATTATGCCGCTCATCAGCTTTCGACGAAGGCTACGAGCAGTGGGGACATCATCGTCGGATAGATCCCTCTTTCTATAGATCATTCAAGCATTAGAAGGAAGCCTATCATACAGCGGGAATCTGCATAACACAACAAAACACTGACCTCTTTCCTTGTCTATGCGGTACCTCCTCTTCTTCGTTTTCCCTTTCCGAGACAGACACATCACTTTCAGGACCGACAGTATCATGGGAAGGCGACGTGCATGGGTCGTGAGCAGATACGCCCATACAATGACTTAAAATTCTCACCAACAGCTCTTCCCTCGTTCGACGATCCATAGGAGCCCCAAAGTAATCGTCGCCAAACCATAGGGCCTCATCACGTGTCTCTTCATCGTCAGAGTCTTGTATTTGATCAGTGGAGTCCTGCGTCTCCTCGCTGAGATTGCCAGTGTCGTCGTCCAATTGCGAATCTTGTGCTGCATCCTCGTCCCAGCCATGGGAAATGCCAATTAAGAGCCGTAGAAAATCTAGATAGCAGCCGGTCTGGCATAGCTCGGATACTCTATCACGAGCATTTTTACATAAATAAGTCTCATCCTCGTCTATGGCCCGCATTGCAGCCGTAAACATTTTGGATGCCAGTTCCTGTCGCCTTTTATTCTCTGCTTCAAACCTGCGCTCAAATCCTTCTTTCTGGCCTTTCGCGAGTTTCGCTATATGCAGTGCGTTTTCGAAGTAAACATCTGGCCCGAATATTGGAATTTGTATAGTGTTGAATCGCTGCCAATAATCTCCCCAAAGCAGGTCGCGCATCTGCGGTTCGACGTTGTCTGACCAAGCGCGAAGCTGGCTTGAATTGAAGGGTCCCTTTGGCTTTTCGAATGGAGGCATTGTGTGGTCAATCGGCTCGGTGGCGTTTGCGTGGTCAGTAGTTGCTGAAGCAGTGAATTGCGACCGTGAGATTTGAATAACATTGAAGATGAAGCGGTGAACACGAGTGGTTTCGATGGGCTTACCACAGCACCTAGTACATGCAGATGCATGCAGTTTGCCTTCCAATAGGAAGCTTCACAGTATAGAGCACCCCACAAGGTCAACGTAATGCAATCCAAAAGATTTAATATTTCAAAACAAAAAAAATCTCTGTCTTAGGGAAACGGGGACTGCATGTAAATCTTCAGAGATCCAAAGTACTTCTTTAGCCGGGCACAGCCTGTGATTTCCCCACAGAAAGTACGCTCATCTTTTAGGCAATAACACGCTTAACAGTCTCGGCAACACTGGAAGCCGTCAGTCCCAGAAGATCATTTGACAATGTCTCGTCCCTAGCATAGTTCGATTTGAGACCAGGTGTATTGCTATAGCTAGTTGCCCGAACCAGAGTGAAAGCGCCGTTGAGGTCACCAGCGGTTAGCTTCTGGAAAGCCTCGTTTACTTGCTCTTTGGTGGTAGTGTTGTTGACGGTCCATTTGGCGTCAGTAGCCTCTTCCAGAGCAGCGAGGATCTCATTTTGAGTGGTTTCAACAGAAGAAACGAAGAGATACTTGTTAGAAGTTTCCTCTGGATTCTTGAGCACTGATGCAATGGCAATGCCAAGATCCTTTTCGTTTGTAAGAGTAAAACGTTTATCACCACCATCCCAAACAGTAGCGGTCTTGTTAGCAAGATCGTACCCAAGAAATCCATTTCTCAGACCCTGTAAAGATGGTCATTTAATATTTTGTTCCATCTAGTAATGCTATAAATATCTCGATCATGACTTACCCAATCGAACAAGAGAGAGGTGGCAACCCCTGTCCAAGAAAAGCCGGCAGATTGTTTTGTCTTGAGGTACTCTATCATTTCAGATTTCTGACCGAAGAGGGGCAGCAGTTGAAGAACGGCAGAATCTTGACTACTGGAGGAAAATTCCGAAGGCAGGAAACGCTTGACTCCAGCACCGATAGCGGCATCAACAAGCTTCTTCTGTTCGCCAAAGCCAGTGGCACCAAGGGCTGAAATGACGACATCTTGGTCCTTGAAAGCGGACTGCAGATCGCCTTCGGAGAAATCCGACTTGTAAACAGAGATATCGGGTGGGAAGGTAGCAGAACTATCCCTGCGAGAGAGGACGGTAATGGTGAATCCGCCGGCTGCGATCAAGCCCTCGAGGATAATTTTGCCAATACTCCCACTTGCCTAATTAATACTGAGTAAGTGATAAATATGAAGGGCGGCGCAGGGATTTGTGGTCACTTACACCAACGATAGCGACATTCTTGTAAGTCATTTTGCAAGATAACTTATGTCAATAATGGAGATGAGAATGATTGGCTCTATGTGAGGAGCTACTGCCGGATATCTGGCCGAAATAGTGATGCTTTTAGAGCTGAATACTGAAAATCCTTGTTCGCCTTTGAGAAGACATAATGATCAAGGAGAATCTTCTTGGTATTTATATCGGTAAATGGTCTCGAAAAGACCCGCCGATGCAGCAAAGTCACCATATCACTAGAAGGATAATGAGCGGAGAGTATGTCCGTATACACGGGGTGGATTACACCTGAATGCAAGAGCTTCGTGGGTCAACTATCAGTCATTCGGTTCAAGTACAGACCAATCGTCTACGAGAAAGGCATATTAGACAGCAGTTACGATATCCACGATGTTGCCGCCCGTACAGGAACTCAGATCTGTTCCAGGTACGAGATCCCCCAATGAACCATGAACCCCTGCCAAATCCAATCAATTGGGAAGCTTTCATTGGTCAGATCTCCACTGAATCCTTCACGATCGAATGGCGTTTCTGCTTAGAAATGCGGACACAGGTCCGTCAAGTCCGCTCTCACCAATAGGAGCATCCTCCGTACCTCCACTAGAACCTCTGCGTCATTTGGCGTTCCACTGGCCTCGAGCTGATGTTCCATCTCTATCAGTTTCATTGAGTTCAATTCTTTGTTACAATTTTTGTCAGCATTGAAATGGAACTCAGTACAGACAGGATTCACAATAGGGCCACTGTTGTCACGGTTCTTCACCTGCGCTAACTGAATCGCTTAGCAGCAACGGCTACACCAACAGTTACTCAATCCGACGGTACAAATAAGTGACGGGACTCATGTCTCGCAGAGTAATTGCGTCGGGACGTTCATGTCTTGAATGCCGTCGCCGAAAGATCAAGTGCGATAGGTCTTTGCCATGCGCCTATTGCACACGCACCAAGCTTCAATGCAAATACCCTTCGAGGCGACAAAATATTGGTACTGATGAAGAGGGCGACCTAGCAAACAGAGTGCATTCTATTGAGTGTGCTTTGAAGTCACTGGATCAAAGAGTAACACATATTGGGAGCATACTACAAGTAAGTCTAGAGGCAGCAAGCAGATAGAGTTACAATGAACACGACTACCAATCATACATCGCAAGAGTCCAGCAAAGACCAAAAAGCTTTCCGTTAAATTATATATACTTACAACTCTCTGTAGCATGCTGCCCCGAGCCTATCATATTCGACCGCATCTTCTTCGCGAAATAATCTACAAGTGCAGCAAAGTCAGAACGATACCTCTACCCGAGTATTAAGATCACATCACTTACAGTCATTGCCATTCAATTTCCCGGTTGACGTGTCACAACCTCTTGAATTGGCTCATCCCCCTCCTGCATCTATCTTGTTCCTGTGGCAGACATATCTCGATGTGGTTGACCCTCTAATCAAGATTTTTCACGTTCCCTCTATCCAAAGACAGGTTATGAGTATCAGCCAAGGCCGAAAGATTCCAGATGCGGATACGGAATGTTTATTGTTTGCAATCTATTATTCCACAGTAATAGCTATTCCAGCAGCGGAATGCCGTCAAGAACTTCACGAAGAAAGACCCGTCTTGTTGCAACGGTATGTGACTAAACTTGTCTGTATATCACTAGAAAGGACTGACGAGTTTCAGGTTTCGCAATGGGGTTGAGGAATCGCTAAGACGAATTAATTTCTGGAGCTCCCGGAACATAACCGCCTTACAAGCATTCTTGCTATACCTGGTGATTATCATCTCTTGATGAAACTGCAAAGTACGAATAGGGTCATTGTCTAACGTATTATTTTATTGAAGATTTGCGGACGGCAAGACCAAAATGGCCCCGATGTCTCCTCTCTCATCGGGATCGCAATTGGCAACGCAATGAAACTAAATCTTCACATGGACATCCCCGGTATGCGTGCATTTGATCTTGAAATGCGCCGCCGATTGTGGTGGCAGATCTGCACCTTGGACGTTCGAGTCGCCGAAGAGTTTGGCCGTGAACCTTTAATCCTTGAGCCGAGCCTTCGTACAGAGCTACCGCTCAACATCAGTGATATGAGCTTGGATCCTGATATGCGCGAATTGCCGAGCCAACAACCGGGACGAAGCGAGATGTTATTCAGTCTCGTCCGGTTTGAAGTAAGCAACTTTGCGCGGCGAATTGTTTTTTCGGACAGATTTTGTCAAAGCAACGGCTACAGTATAATGAATGAAGAGCAGAAATGCCGGGAAGTAGACCAGTTTAGAGAGCGCCTTGAGAAGCAGTACCTTTCGTATTGTGACAAGGGAGCTCCGCTGGACTGTGTCGCGGTTAAAAGCAGCCAACTCATTCTTGCAAATTTAAAATTGGCTGTTTGTAAACCGCGAGCTAACCAAAACCGTGGAATTCCCTTACGGGCCGGTTATCGCAAGGCTTGTGAAGAAGTCCTGCAACATGCACATGCCTTGCGTCAATACAGCAAAGGCCGTAGTTTGCTGTGGCTATTTCAGACATACGTGGAATGGGATGCTTTGGCGTATCTCTTGCTAGATATTTGCATCACGCTGTCATCCCCACCGTCCAGGGAGACATTTACTCTGCCGTGGGAAATTATTGATGAAACTTACAATCACTGGAAGAACAATGCAGATGTTCATCGGGGCCGCCGCTGGGATAATATCGAGGTACTTCGGTCACAAGCGTTGTCTGTGATAGAGAAGATGCGAAATACAGCACAAACGCCCCAGACAAGTTCATCTTGTTCCTCTTCGAGGGCGCAAGGTCAGTTTGATGGTATGTCGGATACCACCATCGAGAGTCAGCAACCGTATGGATCAAGTCCCGATTCTACGTTCAATCAATATACTGCCACTGCGGCTGAGAGACTTGGTCCCTCCTGGTTAAAACCTTTGGATAGTATCGCGCAGACGCAGCAGCCTTACATAACAGCAGACAGGTCTTCGTCTGAAGAAGCCCAAGCCTTTACTAACACAGCAGACCTGCCTGGAGCTGGGACCGTTTGTGAGTGGAGCAGTTCGCTCATAGAGAGATATTGGGAGGTTGCCGGACAGGGATATGATGAGTCTGGTGCATGGCATTCATCAAGTTAGTAACATGCCTAATGAGCTCTGCATTACACGTACGCTAAGGCTAGCAAATACTGTCGAGATTGAAGCTTAGAAGGTAACGATAAACAATCGCGCCACCTTCAAACCTTTACTAGAACTTTCCTCTATCAATTAGACCTTGCTTCTGTAAGGCAAGATCACGGTGGTTGACGAAGCTAAGATAATGCCGTCCTCGTCGTCTTCGTCGCGTATTGAAGACTAAAGTTCGTCTTTCATCAGGCTTCAATGAGTGAAGGGTAAACTGCCAGAGTACCATTTTAGGCGTGCATGCATATCTCTTCCGCCCAATTTCCACGATTGAAATGAACAACACTGGGCATCTTGAGGCGGACACGGTTAGTCTTGGGACCCAACTCCATGATTCTAGTATCCAATGCGATTATAGCTGGCGTTGAAACCCCACCAAATCTGGTACTACAGAATCTCAACATGACATGATAACATGAAGCAAGGCAGGCATGGAAGGAACCGATAGGCAACAGGGTGGGCCAGTGGGAGGGGCTGCTCAAGACCTCTGGATTGAAGCTGGTCAAGGCTCCGAGATCCGTTGTAACTACCACCAAGTATGCAGTGATTACGGTTCCTCTGCCGTAGAAGGCCCCTTAAGAGTCATTGTAGTGTACCTACATAAGGGTGGTTCTTGGTGTTTTGCTAAAATACTTTACCTCCTCACTCATAACTTTATGAGCTGTTAGTATTAACGTCCCGCTGTCCCGTCAAGTTCTCAACTTCGGATGCAAAACTTTTTCTATCATCCCAAAGGAATGGAGGGGAAGAAATACTGCTATCAGTCCGCACGCTTAAGAAGCTAATGCAAGCAAGACAAGATGGGGCGGTGGGCAGGTTCGTGTCACAGTACGATACGCTGATTACGGAGCAACGCCGCTATTAATCAATCTTGCGTTTCTTCGGCTATTTTTGGTCATCCTAGTGTATCGTGAAAAATGGTATTGATTGACAAAAAATCTGAATGAATCAACCTTGCCTCACTGTAAAACAAACAGGTAAGCGAGCTGGCATCAGAGTCCGACGAGAAACGTGTGACGAGCACCTCGAATCCCATTCTTTCAATAATTTTTATTCAACAACTAGGGCCGACCCGCATGGGCCGGTAGTTTTGTGGAAAGTCCATCGGATTTACAAAGACAAACGAACGCTTCTTAGGTTCCACTCTTCAGCATGGATACTTCCGGGAACGATCATGAGTACCTTAGCTGTCCCTTAATGTTAGTTTCTTAGATCCTCCAATTCAGCCTGCCACAGTTGGATGTCTATATTTAAAGATGAGATGTATAGTAGCCTTGTCACTTCACCTCCATCTACCCTGAGACACGGGCTAGGTTGAGCCTTTGTATGTCAGTAGGAGCACGGTAACACGGCTATGCAGCTCTAGCGTTTCTGGAGAGTAGAAATGGAACCAAGGGGGCTTAGATGAGATTTTAGCGCTCATCTAGTTAAGTAATCATAATTAAATATGGTGGCATCTATGAAGCGATCATGCGTGTTTGCGGGGATCATGATGCCCAAGCCGTTGTATCACAAGAGACCCTGGGTTTACAACCGTGAACGCTTCATAAACTATGACGCTGCAATTCAACAGTTTGAGTGCCGAACATTGATATGGAGCAATGGCTTGAAAATGCCGATTGAACGCTCTTAGTACATCTGCTTTCATTTCCGTTACATGGAACGGTTCGGACATTACCTACAGGACTAACTTATATAAGTAAACAAAAATAAGTTGATTCAGCCTTACCCACTAAGCGCAAGGTAGACATGTCTTTCGGCATCTACAAACTTGGCGCGTCGTAAACTTTTAGTCCTAATTTAGAATTCTGGGTCGGGGCTGATTAATTTCGTTCTCCATCTGAGGCTGAAAAGCAAACTGCGTGCCCGAGCCGTGTTGGGCCGTAGCGATTGGTGGTAGATTGCATCTGTTATATATATAATACTTGGCACATGCTAGGTCTTTGTATCTCAAGCTGTTCGCCATCTTGCCGTCTACACAACTGCTTCTCTTCAACTACTCTCTAGCCAATTCCTTTCTAGTCATTCGCTCATTTCTTATATCCCACCTTACTACCTTTGATCAATAGTCAACATGTCCAAGGAGAAGCACAGCGAGACTACCTGGGCCAATGGCTTGTTCGATTGTTGCAGCCCCGGTGGGCTTTGCTTTAAGACGACCTTTTGTCCCTGCATTACCTATGGAAAGACTCAGCACCGAATGAAGCATGGCAATTTGAATGACTACTCATGTTGTAATGCATCTGTAAGTGTTCCCTTTGATACAATAATTCTCTAAGCATACATAAACTAACAGTGTCCTATCTCTAGTGTGTCATCTTCGCTTGTCTTGCGCACTGCGGCCTTACGTGTATCCCCACCACGATGCAACGAGGAGACATTCGCGAAAAACATGGCCTTGAGGGTGGTTGCTTCGGAGACTTTTGCAAGTCTTGCTGGTGCAATTGCTGCGTCTTGATCCAGAATGAGAAGGAGTTGGCACAGCGCGAGGCCCTCTTGAAGGGCTCGTCCGAGCCGTACAGGCCCAATCCCGGCATGGTATACTCAGACGCAGGCGCACATTAGCTGGAGCATTCATGAAGTCCGATATCTAAATTGAGTTATATCCCTGCCATTGGCATATAACTCGTTGCAGATGATTGGAATTGAGATATGTATGTGTGGGAAGACGACACTTGCAACGCATGCAGCTCAACGCAATCAGATCCTCGTCCACTCCAGAGGAATGGAACGAGGCACAGAATGGCAGACACTTTCCGATACCCCAAGAGCTGGAATATTTTTACAGGGCAGTGGTTTTTATCAATTTTTATAAGCGCGATTCAATTCAAGTTATTTCCTCGGTATAATTGCTTCAGTTACATCTTCTCATGAAGATGTATTGTAGATCAATAGGTAGTGTCAAGTATCCAACTACAGGTAACGAGAACCTGCTATCCTTTTCTCACGGCTCTTGTCAACTGGCGGTAGAATATCCTCTGTAGAAACGAGAACTGCACTCAATCGCCCCATAAGCGCATTGAAGATTAATCTCGAATATCTGTCGGGAATCTGGGGTGCCGACAAGCTGTCAGGCGGCGGTATAACTGGGCGCCCATATTTTAGCAAATGTCTCATCATGCTCTGAATAGAGTTACAAAACCATTGTTTGAAGCCAAGTGTTGCAGCTAGAACCCAGCCACCCTTGCACGCATTCAGCTTTGCGTGCACTGGACTGTGCACGCTGCTTACAGATGAGCCGTCAATTACCGGCATATAAGTGAAGTGACCAAATTTTTCTGTCTATTAGTCACTATACTGAGTACTCGTTTGTACATTCAGCTAAGTTCAAGGGACATCCAGTTGCCGCGCTTAGTATTATAGAACAGAGATAGACGACATTAGCCGCGCACAACTATATGTAATTGACGGTTGAGGTCTTATAAAGCTTTTTCTTGAGATCAAGGTTGTCTTTAGCGCACTATGATACATCTTGAGTCACAGGTCGCATGTTTGGAGATCATTGGACGCTGCGCTAAATTCACTGCACCGCAAACCAGGGTCTAGATAAGCACCGCCTTGTAGTTGACAGCAGTTTGGGCATTTGTGAGCTTAGCCACAATGGGTGAGAGCCCACCATTAGAATTGATCTACCGTTCAAATCATCGACATGTCAAGCGACGTGCTGGAGAGGGCGGCATTAGCTGAGCAATGTCTGTAATGTACTTGGATACACTGTCATCACAATGCAGGTTGGACAAAGAATTAAGGCAACCGATTTTTGGCTTTTGGTTGTAATAATTATATCGGTTTAAATAAGCTTAAGGAAAGTGAGCGGGCTGTAAAGACTGCCTCAGAAGAGCCAACCTGCTACAACCCAAATAGAAGAGAAAGCAATTTTTCACCGTTCCACATGCCACTGCCCATTTTCTCAAACCCGTCACCGCAGCCCATAGCCGACAAACTTGGACAAGAAGCGCCTTATAAGACTAAGATACAAGCAAATAAGATAGCCATTGCCGACTTGGAGCCTCTGCAGGCAAGCTTAGACGTAGATGACCTTCTGTTGTCCGAAGGCACTGCAAGACTGGTTGCCGGTGTCGATGTTGTTTTGCTTTCCCTATTTGCGGTCAATGGCGATGTCTCACATGGCGATGATTTATGGACATCAATGCACGCCGTAGCTGCCGCATAGTTGGTCTGGATTGAACTTGTCGTAGGACATACCTGCTGGTTGTTGTTGTTGCTATTGTTGTTGCAGCAAACAATGACGTCGTTGCACACATCATTGAGATCAGAGCACTTCCAGTAGTTCTCGCCTAGTCCATCAGCTGTAGCACTGCAGCAGTAAGGCGAAGCGCCGTTGCCACAGCTATTGGATTGATAGTTGTTGTTGGTGTTGGTGTTTTGGTTGGTGGGAGGGGGAGGGGGAGGGGGAGGAATATGAGGAGGAGGAGGAGCTGCGTGACCGGGAGCTGCAAGAGCGCCAGTGGCAACGGTGAAGAGAAGAGCGAGCATAGAAGTAACCTGCATGTTGGCGGTTTGAAGTGTTTTAATTTGAGAGAAGAGTGAGAGTGGTTGTTTTGATGATTGCTTGCTGAGTGATGGTTGAGACTGATGGTTGAGAGTGAAGAGGAATACTCAAGGTAGGGAAGGAGTCCCTCTTATAGTTTTCTCTTCAGAGTTATTGTTAGGTCTTTAGAGAGTCTTCGCCTTTTCAAAACACAAAATGCAGCCGATACGAAGTGGCGACGAGCTGAAAGAGTGAAATGACTGAGGATCTGATGTATGGCGCATATCCATGCATGTCTATTGAACTTATTTCTGCAGCTCTAACGCAGGTAAGATCAAATGAAATGAAACTACTTAAAGTCTGTTCCTGCTTTGTATGCCAGCATATTCACACAATTGGTCAAGCCTGGTGGGAGAGAAGCTCGGAGGCTGCATTGAGGCACGGCCTGGGTCGGTCTGTGGGATTTTGGTCTCCTGGGATCCCGAAATGTCGACAGTTTGTGCGGTAAAGGCCTCCCAATAGCAGGAAGCATCTCGTAGCTGCTTAGATATGTAGTGATGTAGCATCGTATCTGCTTGACGACATCCTGATGCCCCGAGATATTCAGCTGGTCTCGTATAAACATTGACTCAAAGTTTCAGGAGGTGTGAATAATCTTGGATAAACTTGGATAATCTCGGTATGTGTGCTACGCTGAGCTGTTGGAGGCGTTCAACAATTGTGCATGGTGTATGGGTCACTGCTGGAGACGTTCAACAAATTTCCAACGTTGACGAGCCATCGTTAGAATCGTCCAACAATTTGGTAATATTTTCGAGTCACCGTTTGTGGCATTTACCTCTCTACTTTGCATACACATATACGAGCCCAACAGATGTACGTGACTAGTCATGTTTGTAGATCCTGCAGCATTTAACTCTCTGGATGTTATGCAGTCGTTTATTATTGTAAAATCAATTTAGCCGACTGATGGAACTTAGAGGTGGTCTGTGAAAGCAGAAAGTTTTCGTTTAAATAGGCCTCCTGTCTATCCATTTTCATTCACCTCAATCAACACACTCAGACCTTTCTGAATCGTCTTTCGCTACAGTACACTTTACCGCTTCTATTTGCTCTACCAGCTCACTATTATCACTCTTTACATCTCAACCATGTATGCCTCTATCATCTTTTATGCTCTCGTCGCCCTCAACGGCGTTATGGCGTCTCCGGTCCAAGGGCCCGAGGTTGAGCCTCGAGCCATTGAACGCCGTGTGCCTAGTATGGGAGACATCCCGTTTCCGAAGTTCCCGGCCCGCAACAAGAACAGCAACAAGATGGGTAGTAAGTTTTGAAGAGTCTGCGATAATCATGCCAAACTTACTCAAACTACAGAAGGTAGCAGCGACTGCAGTGGCTCGGGCACGAACACCCAGGTAAACGCCTGCTCTGCCGGTAGCCCATACTGTTGCAGCAGCGACGGCAACGGCGGTGAGTGATGAGCTATGCCTTTGCCATCCAGGATAATTCTAACACTGAGCAGGCCAAACTTGTTCCAACACCACTGCTTGCACGGAAACGATTATTTGCTGCAACAACAACAACGGCGTAAGTTGAAGATCCTCCTGTTCACCAAAGTCATCATCTCACACATGAGATAGTTCCAAATTTGCATTGGCGACCTCGACTTCAATGTACCGATCACCATCAATGTCTACGAGTAAAAGACTCATTCGAGGGAAGGACACTGTTGAAGGGGCGAGTGGCCGAGGGGCCGCAAAAATGTATAGGTACACCAGACAGCCAACTTAGATCCGTAATACATGGACGTACCTATGATCTATTCGTAACTTGCATGTGATGTGATTTACCGATATCGGCCTCTGGTCTAAGAGGCTTGAGGTGAGGTGCACTTGATGAATGACAAACGAAGGTACTCATAATCAAGAGCCAAAAGGTTAAATAAACCAAGATCACGGTGATATTGGACGAACCCTGGAATTTCCAAGAATAGGATGACGGCCGACGAGCCGACGAGAGACCCGGCTTGGCAGGGGCCGGAAGCCAAAATAGCGGGGATGGCATCCAAGACGGGGATTTCAGCGCCAAAAGCTTGTCTCAGCCCCGGTCCAAGGATCAGCACATCCGGGCTATTGAGAACCAGCCTCTCATGGCCTGCTCGTCACTTGTAACAAACTGCCGTTAGGTATTAAACTTTCGGTAGTGTTGCATGTTTTGTTTCCGCATTCCCTGATTGGGCGGTGCCTGAAGCTTGGGTTACGCCTAAACGGATGTCGGCACACGCCTGGCACTGAAGTCTGGGGTAATATTGTTTCATCTGCATCGCGTCAGGCCTCCACAGCCGTGCGGATCGAACTTACACCAACACCAGAGGATCCAGTCTGCTGCACTGCGAGGGACGGTGAGGCACCACACTAGGGGCGAATACTCAGCCCAGACGTCAATTTATGGTCAGACTGGCTTGCAGCTGGCCTATCATAATATAAGTGTTATCTCATAGTGGCATAGCCAGTATAGTGCCCTCAGGTGTGCACCGAAACTGCCGGTAGATCATTTCCGAGTGCAAACCAATTAGATGCGTGAGTGTGTCACATGTGAAAGGACTATTGGCCAGCTCGCTTATGGCGTTCTATAGCTAGCTACGGAGTACTGGCCCTCTTCTATTGTTTACTGTTTATAAACAAGATAAATTACGATCATGTACTTGAGCTCGGCTCCAAGAGGAGTAGTATACGGCCTTCCTAGAGTAGCTTCAAATCTGATAGGCTCGGCGTATTTTCTTCAGCTGACATCGCGGCCATGCCTCTCACACAGCTCAGGGATATAAGGTTCAATTTAGCATTAATCCTACAGGCTGCATAGCCCTGCTGCAGCTGATACCTCGGATAACGTAATGCTTTTGGATTCGATATACGACTTATAACAGTATTTTTCACTGCTGCACTAGGCAAGGTCCCACGGTGGCACTGAACTTCATGACATGCATTCTCCAAAAGACAATTGGAAGTTGGCTACCTTGGAAAGGTATGCCTAGAGCAAACTAAAAACACATCAATAAGCTCGAGTCTGAAAGGAGATACTATCCATTTATCCGAAGCGCGGCTGTACATCCTGGTATTGCCAGTATAAATCCAACCGAGACCAAACTGAGTTTCGCTTCCGCGCCATGTAGCCGAGCCGTCTTGAATTAGAAAAGGTTTCTAGCTAAATTCCGAGATGTAAACAAGATTAATAAGCCAGCATGCTGAATTCTATCTTCTTATAACGAGTAATGACAAAGAGAAACGTTTATTGGTGAAGAATTTAGTTCAAATTACTCGTGGTAAGTTTATTTTGTAGCAATATCTCAGAACAGCATTATCCAAACCCCCTGCATTAGTGCTCTGCTTGTCAGCCTTTTCCTCACATTCTCAAACTTCAGTACTAGAGTTAAATTAGGCCACTACTAGATACCAGAGATTCTCCGGATGTTAAATTCAAGGACTTGAGAAAACTCTCTAGCTGTGTAGCCATTGAAGTATCATTTTTTCATCGATGCCAAGATATAGGGTATATACTCCTGTAATTAGCAAATACGACCATAGATACATGTAGACATATAGTGGACAATTTCGGGTCCCTCCAAGCTCTCTATTGAGTTTCTGGCCTTTCTCGGGTCTGACAGTGCCCTATATGACTTTACAATATGAAAAGACCCGTTTTCAGATGGGATTGAACGGACATTTAAGCACGTACAAGGTATACAAACAGCGATATCGCCGGATAATAAAACTCACGTTCTTAATGCAACCCTTGCATAGACTTCGCATATAATTTACTGATGCTGCTTATATCATGCATCAATCACATCACCTAGGTATAAAATTAACCAATCTTGTATCTAATTTGAAGCCTCTTCAAACGGTCATATAATGAAAGCGAGCAAAATAAACAGTCTGCAAGATGGCCACCACAATACATGCTGGTATAATGGAACAGACAAAGCCCACAAAGGTCCAAAACATCCACCATGCACGAATATCTCGGTCGTCGCGCCACAGCTGCAGCCAGGTCCGTGGCTGATGGGTGTCTAGATAGGTCTTCAGCTGTCGCAGGCGGGAGCCAAAATAAGGAAAGGTCTGGAATGCCTCAAATTCTCCAAAATCCCGTTGCAATAGCGATATGACCATAAACTTGATATCTTCTGGACAAGAGGCGAGTGCTAGGATCTGATGCATGGTCGCTTGTGTGGTTTTATGTTGATCCCGTGAATGTGTTTTTTGGATCATTTTGGTTGGTTGTGAGATGTTGAAAGCAGCTTGTAGACTTGGAGGTAGCGAACAGCGAAAGAAGTTATCCAGTAATCCCTTTGTAGGGCTCCGAGATATATCGAGGTCAATATTCTCAGCAGCCATATTTTCATATTCTCCATATTTCCGCGCTCTGTAAAAATGAGGGGTCTCATGGCCAGCGAAGGTGACGCATCCATGCGATGAATTTTTGACCATAATGAGCTTGTTTAAAGTGTTCAGCTTTCTCTTTGAGGAAGGTCGGAATAGCAGGGCATAGGTTAGCGATAGTTCTTTGAATATGGGTTCTACATAATCCCTCCCTTCCCTATGATGGAAAAAAATAGTTAGGACGTTTCAACAAATAAGGTATTTCCGAAAATGCATTACAATACAGGTATTTGATGCAGAATGTCCCAGAGCTCACCTAAAGAGATCGATGCAATTATAAAAGAATGTAGGGTGAGCAAATATCCGGATGGCATTTCGACCCGAGTATATCTTCAGGTGCTCATCTAGACAGTCGGTCCACTCTATCTCCAGATTTCCAAAGTCCTGCAAATATTGAATAGTGAAATGCTCAGGTATGAATGTTGGACTAGCAGATTCTTGCAACCTAAGCTGCTTGAAATGATCGATGCCACGCGAATTTTGATCGTGTGCTATGATCATATCCAAGATTTTGTGAATTGGCTCTTCTAAATACCGAAAATAGAAGGTTCTAGACAGCGGGGGGCGAATTTCTCTGAACCGATGCGTAAAATCCAAGGCCATGAGACAGTCAGTTAAGAGTTGCATATGCTCATACTGCCGTTCAGGATCGTTAGATCTCGGCTGCTCGAGGACCCTGTGGGAGTAGCAGATCCGAAGAAGTTCTTGTAAACTCATTTGATTCAACCCATCGGCCCAGCTTACCCGGTCTATAGTTCGCGCCACTTGAATCAAAACAGCTAAAATTGTAGAGGCGTTCATCCCTTCATTATTGTCATCACGATTTGTCGTACTATCGTCAGTCGTCCGACGACATTTATTTTGCATATTTTGCCGACTCTCAATCCGAATCAATATTAGTAGCAGGCGGGGCAAACGTGAATACTCAAACGAAGCCCGTGTGGGTTCCTGGAGTCGAGGAAGCCTTTTCATTCGATATGCCTCAATCGCGAAGATAGACTCGGTGAGAAAATGGCGGTGCTTGCACAGGTAGTCATAATTAAGTGTGAGGTCTTCATTCTCTCGCCATCCTAGGCAGTGATATAGATCCTGGAAACGTTCAAATGCCGACTGGTACACCTTGTTTGTGGTCTCAATCTCCGTTGCAGTGCCTTCACGCCCCTTCCAAAACTCTGTACAAATCCAGGACAGCAAAATATCAGCAAATGGCAAAACAATATAGGATAGACAAGAATATTTGATACGGGCTATTTTACCTTCATACTTTGCGATACAAGCATCGTTTTCTTCGTCAATTGTTTTGAGAGAAAGAGTTTGAACCTCTCCCCACTTTGGGATGTTTTTTAGTTGCTCACCATGGAATTCTTCATCCAAGGCCTTTCCGACCAAATCTTGGGGGCCTCTTTGAAACCTTTGAGAGACAGATTGAGTTGAGTCATCGGATGGCCGCTTTTGCGCCTCGATCAATCGCTGTAGAGTTTCTATGAGCTCTGGAAGAACCCTGGCAAGTTGCGGCGATGATGCCTCAGTTTCTGCGTCTCGTGGAGCATTATCCATGGCGAGAACTCTCTTTTTTAGAATCTAAAATGTCGGTTTGGACACTTAACTAGTTCTGCGTTGGAATCGTGGAAACTTTTTGAGATACGCATCGACAGAGGCAGGATAGGCTCCTCACGTCATACTTCTCCATATTCTCAGATACCCTCCAACTTCCTCCGATCACGGAATAAAGGATCAAAAGTACCAATATTTTGGCCTATCGATCTTATCACTCCTACACTACAACTCAAGTAGGAAGCTAATTCCATTCATAATGCATGTTGGTACCAACACAATAGTGACCAACCCATGTCAACACCCAATCAAAAAGGGCTACACACAATAACGCCTAACATCGCCAATTACTTGCATCAAAGCAGCCGATTGCCATAGAATATACAATTAGACAAACAGAGATAAAAGATGACTCACATTCAAGGCCAGTGCCGACACTTTCAGGTAGAGGGGCAAAGCATAATTAGAGTTGTCTTTAGGAAACTACCCATACAAGGTTAGTTTAAGGTTATATGAGCTGAGGTTCTTCTCATGTCGGCGAGCAGTGCATGCTGCAGGCTGCCCGGTTCCAAGTTGTATGGCCGCGGGGTAACAAGAAGATGAGACTGCGGGGTGCGAACATACCTGCATGCACGACCTCACACCTGAGTCAATATACGGAAGAAGAAAACAAGGCAGGAGCCTATTTCGAATGGAAGAATATGGATATGGGGATATGATGTAGTTCTTTCAGCCCGCAAATCTTATGCTAAAAAGCACCATTGTTTGAGATTCCCGCAAGATATAGTTCAATTACGTACAGATTGCCTACTTGTATCAAGCTTTTAGATGAGGCAGAAAACATGTTTGCTTGTGATTGGCAAGACTGACCTCTCATACCAAAAGTGCTAAGCCGGACGAGTCTTGAGAGTGTGTGGGAGGCAGCAAATGTTTGTCCAACCTTTCACAGATTTACGAAGACCAGTTTAGCAGTTCGACGCGCCATAGTGAATGATGCTACAGCAGGGTCGACATGACAAAGTTTGTGAAGGTATTAACTGAAATATCACTGAAGTTAGCTACATCTAATTCTTTACCATGTAAAACATATCCCTTCATTATACATCATACGAAGTCCGGATCATAGCTCTAATTGGTTCTGGTGGAACCCGAATTAAACATGGCATCCTTGGTGTTCCATCAAGAAGAGGTCAGCGGCAGCATGACAACAGTGCCATAGAAATTTTGACTGTAGCAATCCTGTGTGTGCAAGATACATAGAAAAATAGAGATAGAGTATGAAAAAGGCAAAAAGAAAACATACAACAGCCGGTGTTCGCTGATGGTCACCCACTCAACTACTAATCTGCCTCTCATTAGCTTGACTCTGGGAGAGCGGACGGGACCCCGTATTTTCCAATGGATATGGTCGTATGTGCTTGATCTCAGGGGTAGTTGGCCTCAAATGGTCATCGAAGGCATCTACAAAAAACGCAAAAAAACATACAACAGCCGGTGTTCGCTAATGGTCACCCACTTAACTACTAATCTGCCGGTTAGAGGCTTGTCTATGGGGGAGCAGACGGGACCCCGAATTCTCCTCTACCTATGGTCGTATGTACTTGGATGCGGCACAGAATATTAGATATACTTACCTCTTAGTAGGTAGGTAGGAGGTGTGTTGGTACAGGTATATAGAAGCACTACGGAAATCGACAACAAAGTGACAAGGTGAGCTGCTCATACGTGGTGAATTAATCAAGTAGTTGCAGAAGAGCATCATCTCACAGGAGCGCGCAGCGTAATGCCGGATACCATGCTGCCAGTCGCAGTCGCTGACGGATTACACGGCATGGCGAGGCTTCTTAAGTATGGCGACAGCATATTCCACCAGCTAAGATTGAGTTCGTCATCGCCGTCTTCGTGAAGTTGTCCTCTAGATCAAATGGTAACATTGTTGGAAGGTGGAAGAAGCCGGGAGCTTTTCGAAAGGCAAGTGGGTAAGGCCAGGCAATCTCATAGAGGCCACAGTGGGTATATGATACTGACTGCTCGTTGAGGCCTTCAATGTTTATAATGCTTGATTTCTACTCCAAGGTACATGTATTTTGCAATCATGCATATAACGTGCCTGTTCTGGGCCCAACCGCATCTGCTGGGTCTACCAACTTTAGCTTCGTCTCAGCCGTACCTTGGTAATCAAGCTGTATCTCCCCGAGCTTCAATTTGCGCATACCCACGATCCGAATGAGCTCGTCTTGCGGTGCATTAGACCCTGGCCCCTGCAGCAGCTCGGCATCAAATGCTTTCGCCGTCTCTATTGGGTTCAACGATACATTCCGACCAAGCAGCCACCAGCCGTAAAATGTTGGGGTAATTAAAAGAACAAAGAAAAAAGATAATACCGTGCTTGCGATCAAGTATCGGAAATCTGATTTAAATACATTGATGTCACGCATCTGCTTCATGGTGAGCACCTGTGGCTGCGGTGGCTCGCTAGTATTCCCAAACTTGGCATTGCTGGCACTCAGGGATATTCGGAAGGCCATCTCATTGATGGCCGAGAGCATATATGACGTAGGATCCGTCCAATTCGCGCAGCCGGGGCCGACTGCAGATTCGATGTTCATAAACTGGTTGGAGAGGACATCCGGCAGGCTCAGTTGTATTGCTCCTTGAATCCAGTTGTAGGTCGCCTTGGAGGTGAATATGGATGTGGCTGCAAGAGCGAAACCGACAGTTGTCCACCCTGTGTACAAGAGGCCTCCATCTTCCTCGACTGTTAAATTGACGTCTGCTGCGGACGGCTGTAGGGATATTACCGTCAGATTATCAATTGCTTCTGTGAAGGTGAGGGTTTCGCCTTGCAGTTGGACGGGATACTCGAGTGTTGCAAGCTGCAATCGACACTGTTTTTGAACCATGATGGTCGAGGTACAAGTTTCCGGAGACATTTTGTTAATAAAATAAGCCAGGAACGAAATATCGGCTGTCCGCCGTGTCGAGTTGAAATCCACGTTCCAAGAGACGTTGAAAGGCGACATTGATGTGTGGCTCTGCTGGAGACCACTCACTGGCGGAATTAGCGACAAGACGTCAACTGCGATACTGTTAGTTGAGCAATTAGCCGTGAAGCCGCCTGCGTGCACAGCACCAGTACAAGTGCCAGCGCACCCGGTGAAGTTGTGAATGATGGCAGCCTTGGAGTTGTAAGCACCGAATGCCGCGAGCATGGGGACCGTCATGCTCGCGTCAGCCACGTTCAGGGCTCGACCAAACTGGCTTGCCGTGTAGCCGTAGGGAATCTCAGGAGCTATGGGAGCCGATACCGAGACGGGATTTTCCGGGTGCTGGGCCACGACGGACGAGGCTCTCTGGATGAGCGGCTGGTCGATGGCGATGAGAGTGACGGCGAGTTTTGCCAGCGAGACAATGTTGAATCCCCGGCCGAGCCGCAAGGCAGAGACGGTGCTGTCGCCACTGGCCCAGTACCTGTGCAGATGGGACACCGTCGTGCCACGAATGGCGGCCCTCCACCACACTATCTTGACGCCCTCGCTGAAGGCAACCTGCGCGAGCCTGTTGAGGGCCGTCGTGAGAAGCGCCAGGTAGACGGTTGGCGAAAGGGACCAGTCGTCAGTTGGCTGGCCGTCGGAAGCCTTTAGTATAGCGATGGTGGCGGCTATGCACGAAATGCACCCGAGGAGAGATAGTATGCCGGAGTAGGGAAATTGCCTGAGTGCCCCTGGTGACCATTCTGATCCCTGTCCTTGTCTAGAAGAGCTGGTAGTCTCATTCTTTTCTTGCGACTGTGCTTGTAGGGAGCCATCGTCAGTGACTTCAACCAGCAACGGGGCTGTCTGGCTCTTGTTGTTGTTATTGTCTTCAGAGTCAACTGGCTGATCAACAAGGCTGGAGCTCATTGTGCTCTCTTCAGAGTCAGCCGGCGGATCAACACGGCTAGGGTTCATTGCGTCGCACATTTATAAGATGAATTTGAGAGTACCATAGGTTTGGAAGCAATGCATATCTATTTTGAATGGCACATGAAAGCAGGAATGACGACGATGAAGACGCCTTTATTTTTTGGGCTCTCCTCCTTATATACCTACTCATCATTGGCGCGAAGGGATGCCAAAGTGGCAGGATGAGCGATTCGTTTGCTGGGCCCTTCCATTTATTTAGAAATATGGAGCCCATTTTTAGTTGAAAGGATTCAATGGCTGTGTCAAAAATACGAGGGGTAACCTTCCAATGCATAAGCTGTATGTAGGTTACCCCTCAGCGTTTTTCATATGGATCTCATCTCGATCTAACCAATGACCGCAGCAACAAAGAGCCTCATGTACCTATAATTAGGTCAGGCAGCCTTGAATAAACATGGGTATGCTACACCAGCCTTCATGTTGTGTTGCAATTGGTAACAGCTTCGTTCCTTCAGCCTTGCCAGATCATTATATTATGACATACTTACAGAGCTCGCTCGCTTACCACTTACCCAAGCACGCTGCTTTTAGGTATCCAGGAGAAGCCATGTTCATGTTGTTTAGGCGACCCGGGCGATTCTAGCTTAGCTATTAAAATTTTGCCGGTATATAGATATATTATACTAAAAAGAAGAATTCTTTCATCAACTTGAGATCGCACTACCTGTCCTGTCGCTACACAAAGCAAGTACCTCCTCTCGCTAAGATATGGGCAGCTAAATAGCGCAGTGCGCAGTTGTGACAATTGAGCTATGGGGTAAAAGAGAACATTGAAGCTTCTCCACTCAATTATAGAAATAGCACGGTTTATATGTTTCGTCACAGCAGAGATGGCTGGTTGTCAAGACCAAGCCGAGAGACTAAGGGGTCTCACAAGGCAGTCAGTTACTTGGAGGGCAAGAGAGGCTGGGTACCTGGTCAAGGGCCCTAACCATCCCATGGCTCCGTTTTAATTGTGGGTAGTGAAATAAACGGCTATGGCTATCTTAAGCCCGGGGTTGGTTAACCGCCCAAAACGGAATCCTTCGAATGCAAAAAATGGAAGACATTGCACTCAAGAGAAGTGCTTGACGGGATCCCGTATATTCTAATGGATATGGTCGTATGTGCTTGATCTCAGTGGTAGTTGGCCTCAAGTTGTTACGGAAGGAAGGCATCTACAGCAAAAAGGCAAAAACATACAACAGCCGGTGTTCGCTAATGGTCACCCACTTAACTACTAATCTGCCGGTTAGTGGCTTGTCTATGGGGGAGCAGACGAGACCCCGAATTTTCCGCTACCTGTGGTCGTATGTGATGGAAGCCGGATGTTATTCAGTTTATATATTGAGATCTCTTGATCATAGGCAGTAATTACGTTGAAATGACCAGGAACCGATGGATTGCTTTCCACGATTACTCGGTCACCCTGGGTTCCGCGCTACTCTTAGCCTATTTTCAGCTGTAGAGGGGTCACTTGCTCTTGGCGGGGTATGAGGTACCTACCTATGTGCAGGTGGATTTTTTTTAGCTGGAGTTACGAGGACAACTGCCCAGATTTGTCTTATGCGTGCTATTAGCAATAGCTAGAAGGCCTGGAGCTTCTTGCCACGGCTCTTTTGGGTTTCTCCTTTTATATACTATTAAACATTCTTGCGTATCATCGCTGTGTTTTTGTAAGTGGCGGAATGCCATGAGGCTAGTGTCACCGCATTAGAGTTCAACAGGAGTTGCAACGTAAAATACATTCTTTATCATTCGAAACAAGAAGCATACGGACCATTCTAGTGACAAAAAAGTACACCAGCATTCCCAGTTGTCTTCTGTCATGTACTAAACAGACCGTTGCAAAATCTGAAGACTTTAATGGTGACAGTGGGGCGACCCATGCGTTCGAGCCGAGCCGCCACTAATTGACATGCTGGAGGCCTTGTTGCTTTAGGGAAATCCTAGTCGCATCTATACAACTGCGAGATAAGTAAAGGGACAGCAGGTGCGGTAACATCTGCCAAATTAAGACGTTCATACCTTAGGTAGTAAGAGATGGCCTATAAACGTCTGTGAAATAAGAGGCCCCAAGGCAGACTTGGCTTCAGAAGGGTTGTCTTTTCACTTGACTACTGTCGCGTTGGCTGACTGTTCTGGGCTCTATGATGCGCTCTCTTACGTCTGGGGAGATCCTCTTGAAAAGATCAACATCACTATTGATGGGAAGATCCTCCCGGTCACAGTCAATCTCTTCCAGGCATTGAATGGGCTGCTTTCCAAGGGCGGGCCGCGTCGGCTCTGGATCGACGCCATCTGTGTGAATCAAGAAGATTTAAACGAACGCAGTAGGCAAGTTCGTCTAATGGGAAAGATTTACAAACAATCAGGCAATGTCCCCATCTGGCTGGGTCAAAGCAAGACAGATATTTCTCTCCCATGCGTCAATCTACTCAAGGACACTGCGGCGGCATCAAGAAAGATTTGGGAAACTTACGGGCATGAGAAGAATATTCCCAATCCAATGGTAGATAACCCCATCTGCTCTGATCCAAAACAATGGGACATGGTTCGAGAAATGACGAATCTCCCGTGGTTTTCTCGAGTATGGGTTTTGCAGGAGGCTGGGCTGGCACTGCAAGCAACAATGGTATGGGGCGACACGACCATTAATATCAGCGACATCGTTGAAGTGTCTAACCTTTGTCTCATGGCTGGGCATCTATTTCCGGTATCCGACATTGGATTATTCAAGATAACCGACACATTTGCCGACTTGTGGAATTCCATGGCCACCTCTATGTCATGGAAAAGGGAGTTATCCAAGAGGCCCGTCCAATCGCTCGAGGCCCAACGCCCCAAGGTATCTTTCACCGAGGTCCTTCATATTGGTCGTCGCTTCGAAGCTACGGACCATAGAGACTACGTGTTTGCATTCCTTGGACACCCTAGCGCACTGAATCCCCAGACGGGCGAGATACTACTGAATCCAGACTACAACAAAAGCTTACTTGATGTATACTACGAAACCGCCTGCGCGCTTCTTAAAACCGCCGAACTGTCCTTCATCTTATCTTGCGTAGACCGCAATCAGGAGACTCTGGACAGTGATTTCCCGTCATGGGTGCCGCACTAGAATCTGGCCAAGAACGTTTGTGCTCTCGCATATCCCACCCTCTGGTACTACACAGGCGGACGCGATACAACAGCAGTTTTCTCTCTGAATGACGATCGCTCATTGCAAATCGAAGGATTCATTCTCGACACAATCACGTGGGCCGGATTGGCCACGATAGAAAGTGACTTTAGCACCCATCCAGTTGGTGAAAATCGCCCGGTGGTTGAGCAGATTTGGCAAGATCTCGTGGCAAACGAAGATGCCGCGACGCAATACCCCCCAGAAGACAAAGTCGAAGCCTTTTCTCTGACTCTGGTCGCAAATGCCGCGCAGGCTGACCAAAAACCCAGCGAGCTTGCCGACGAGCATCGGGAAGGCTTTCGCGGCTACTGCGCAAAGTTTGGTTGCGCAATCCAGAATGTCGGCCTCGAGGGTGTAAAGTCGGAGTCATGGCGCTTTGAGAGAGGAGCCGCCTGGGCAGCCCACAACCGGCGTGTCTTCCGTACCAAGACGGGCTATTACGGCCTGGCTCACAGGTTGATTCGAGAGGGCGATGTGTGCTGTGTGTTTCCGGGCCTTAGGGTCCCGTTCGTGTTACGGCCCGTGGGGAGAAACGGAGGCGGCCCGGCGTACAAGCTTGTCGGCGATGCGTACGTGCATGGTGTTATGAGCGGAGAGGCGATGATGATGCTAAAGGACAGGAAAGCTGTGCTGCAAAACATTACGATTATCTGATTACACGTATTGTAGTCAATAAAAGAAGCTTGCCAACAAGTCCAACAGTGAGTTGACGCTACCTCTGTCCATCATAGAAGTAGCAGCAGCGACACATATGGCAGCATTCATCAAAAAATTTATATTGAACGATACAGGTGGCTTACTATTCCCTCAACCGCATTGCATGGCCAAGAAAAGATTCCATGTTCCGCCAAGCAACAGCCAGCAGAAATAATGGGTGTACAAAATGCCACGCGATAAAGCAGAACTGTCTTGGCAGAAATGTTGTGTCTCTCAAGTGCACAATAGAGATTGTTACGCACTTCGGTCTCTGCTGGATAGCCATAGAGCAGAATATGGACTTTTTGCATTTCGTTCTTTAATTAAATCTTAATTGTTGGAGTTGTAATAGAGCCTCGACCCAACCAATCCTATGACCTCTCTGTTCGGTACAAGATCGGCTTTAACTTCTCTCATAGTCTTGGCTCCATTATAGCAGCTTTCTGTTCTCTTCTTCTTCTACACAGTGGCTTGCAACCCACAAACTATGTATGAAGGAGTGGGTGATTGAAGCCAGGAGAGGTTTAGTTGTGGGACCCCTAGGTATGCCCCACGATTCTGTAGATCAATTTCCACAGTCGTCTTGCAAAGATTCTCCATTGGATCTCTAGAGTTGCCTCTAGACGGAGACTAAAGAATAGAAGACCAGTCATACTTTTGTCATAATTTCTCTCCAAACAGATACTTAACATAATGATAGGCAAGTCTATTTATACAAATTGAGTTATTTAATTATATATTATAAAATATTATGAAATAAATATGAGTTATAGACACAAACAGCTTATGTTTCAAATCTTTTGTTACAGTTAATTGCAAAGTTGCTATTCTGAGAAACGCCTTCCGCCAATGCATTAAGAAGTAGCTTTTTCCTTAGGAACTTTTCTGGTGATAGGTAAAGGAGACTTTTGTCTATATTCTTTTCTTTCCTTTCTCCCATATTCCCCTTATTCCCTTTTCCGTAGCTGCGAACTCCATGTGACTTACTAAACTCGCGGGACAGGCCCCCCTCTTTGCCGGTAAACATTCCTGCGATACGCCCCACGGAGCTACTAGTAGTACACAATGAAGCAGACGAATCTCTCTAGACTCTACGCCCCTGACGATTACAGCTCGCATGTTAATATCCAGAAGCTCCCCGCTTGATCGGATTTCCACTCGTCTGAGTTCTTAGATCCGATTTCCCCGGACAATGTTCAGAGACTTGCGGGGAAACGCGGGGTAAGATGTCATTGTTGAGGTGGCGGATATGCCGATACGCCCCCTAGCGTATATTGTATAGGACGGAACATACCTCCGTATACGTAGCTCTCTAGGTAAAGTGTGTAATGAAAGGTATAGACATCTAGCCTACTTATAGCTCTCCCTTTGGCACCAACATATACAACGAGGCCATAACAGTGAGATTTCAGGGCCATTGCGCTTCACATTCACTTCCTTCCGTCTTATCAAATAACACAATCATGACAATGGAAGAGGGTTATCAGGTAGCTCTCGCTTCCATAGCATCGGGTGCAACCTTCAGGCTATACGTGTTCTTAGCGGTGGCTGTATTGGGGTGTCCTTTATTTCTGAAGGTCAGTACGAAGTCTACCATTAAGAAAGGAACGATCATATATCTATAGCTGGTATAGTGTTGAATAACGCGTATCCTTACACATTCCTCTGTCAGGTTGTCCAAAGACTTCTAGTGAGCCCTCTTCGAGATGTACCAGGGCCCAAAAACGCTGCCTTATTTCCATGGACCATCACTATTGCTACTTTCAAGTGGCAGCGAGCACAGGCAAGCTGCATACAGCAATACTAAGTTGAATAACCTCAGAATAAGACTAATCTTTCAAGATAATTACAGAAATTGCTACAGTTACATAAAGACTATGGGCCTTTAGTGCGTATCGGCCCAAACGAGGTATCAATCAGTGATTGGAGATATTACCGAGCCATATACTCCAGCAACAAAGCTTCGTCTAAAGAACCGACATTTTATCTTCCAATTGTATTCGTTGACCAACATAACATATTCGCCATGACGTGAGTTACAGACTAAATCAAGCACGATTCTGTATTTAAAACTCATCTCGCTTTGAATAGAAACAAGGAAGAACATGCGGCCCGTCGGAAAATTTCAGCTTCACCCTATTCGCTCCAGTCCATGACTCGGCTAGAACCAATGATTAGATCAAAGGCGGATAATCTCGCAAGACGTCTTCTCGAAATTTCATCTTCAGCAACTACAGGCACCGTGAATGCGTTTCTCATGTGTGGCCTATTCAGCCTCGAAGTGGTCTGCAAGGCAGGATTCGGAAAGGACTTCCCGTTCGAGGACACTACAGATCTCACTGAACTGCTTGAGGCTATGGACGGCAGTGCCTTCACATTCATTCTTGATGGACTTTTACCTTGGCTGCGGCCCACAGGCTTTGCCCATAAGATTCCTTTCGTCGGCGAGTCGTATCAACGCCGACGCCAGTGGGAGCAAAAAAGTCGGGCGCTCCTACGTGAGTTTCTACAGCTCCCAGACAAAGACGAAGGCTATTTAATTTCTCCATATCTCTCATCTGTGGACGGCTTTCTTGGTAGAAAACTAAACCATGAAGAATTTGTTGAGGAGGCAATGGGAATCATGTTTGCCGGCAGTGGTACAACGTCCACCACGCTAACCTATCTCCTGTACGCCTTATCACGCCCCGGCTATGAAACCATCCAGACGCATCTTCGTGCTGAGCTGGAAGATGGTGGAGAGAGTGTATCAGAATTACGGAAATTGCCGTACCTCAACGCAGTCATAAAGGAGACATTTAGGTTATATCCCACCATCATCTCCTCGCTGCCTCGAGTTCTTAAGGAACCGATGAAAGTCCATGATATCGACCTCCCCGTTGGAACGGTTGTCAACATGCAGAATTTCGTTCACCATCGCGATCCAGCAGTTTTCCCGGACCCAGAGTTGTTCAATCCCGAGCGTTGGCTTAACCCTCATGCGGATATGGAATCGGCATTAACCCCATTCAGTTTGGGTAGGAGGGCTTGCATTGGATTGAACTTGGCATGGGATGAGCTTTACATAGCTGTTTCCTCTGTATTCCGAAACCTGGAGCTGCGGCTTGGAGAGGAAATGACTGAGGCAGACATGGAACTGGAGGATCGTTTTAATATTGCACCTGTTGGCCATAAGCTTATGCTTAAGGTTTCTAAGGCTGAGAAACTATCATGAATGCAAATAAAACTTTCCCGGTCAATCTAAATGTGTAAACTGGCAGTTAAATTTTACCTGTCAATGCAATCAGCCGCAATGACACTCGATGTAGAAGACGAAGCTGTTCCAAACATGGAGAATTACAGTCGCTAGTTGAGTCACTTGGTAAAAATGTGTACAAAACAAAGGATTCCCAAAAAGTGAGAAAAAGGAAAAAATTCGATTGACTGCGCTAAGGTGACGCCGCTCCCTATTTACGGAGGGTACTATGCTATGTCTATGTAGAGGACTCATTTCAAGTGCTGAAGCATCCTCAGCACTCTAGGGAGCCTCAAGTCGCTTTGTTTTCTAGTTCAAAACAAGTCCAAATTATTAAAAAGAGTGAATGTGCTTGAATACATATATTTATGCCATGGGAAGAAAATATTTTCCGACACTGATGCTACAAACTGCGGCATCAAGTCTCCTATGAAAACCCAATCTCACCCGTCAATTACAGCTTCTCGGTAGGCTGCACAGCAGTGCAAACGATGCTATCGAGTGCAAACGAGTTGGTGTTCTTGGTGGGCGTCGTGGCCTGGAACTCAATCACATCCTTTCCGGTACCAGTGAATGTGAAGGCAGATCCATGCAGCCACTTGTTAGCATTGAAGATGGTAACGGCGGATGCAGACACGGGGCTAGCATTGGTCTTGGGGTTGACATAGACAGCCACAGCAGGGTAGACGCCGTTGGAGGTGTCGGCGGTGCTGAAGAAGTAGTCATACTGGCAAGAGTAGGTCACTCCAGCGCAGGTGGTGAGAGTCTGCTGAACACCACAGTTGTTGTTCTTGTTGAACGATGTGCACTGGAAGGAGTACTTGGACTTGGGCTTCTCAAGGGTGGATCCGCCGGACACAACAGCGCCGACCGAGCTGCCCAGGGGAGTCCAGGGAGAAATTGCGCCGGTGTCAAAACGACCGTTCGCAACCGGCTTTGCGGTGCAGGTAGCTGTCTGCAAAACGGTGGTTGTGACAGTGGTGGGTGTGTTGTGAGTGGTGAAGGTTGTGACAGTAGTCTTGGGCACAACAGTGGTGATGACATCAACGGTAGTCTTGTGCGCCTCAACATCCAATGTTGATGTAACGGTGGTGGCAACGGTGGTGGTAGCCTCGAGCCAGGCAGTCTTAGTAATGTCGACATCCTTGGTGGTTGTGACTGTGGTAGGGACCGTCTTGAAAGATTCCTTCAACACAGTGGCGGTAGCAATAACATCATCGGTAGCAGTTGCGATGGTAGGGACAGTCGTGTAAGACTCCTCGTAATCAACCGAGACAACAGCGACTCTGTCGATGGTTGTGGCAGTAACTGGCACAGTGGTGTAGAACTCCTTGAGCTCAGTAACTGTGCTGACAACACCATCTGTGACAGTGGCAACGTAGGTGACAACAGCGGTAGCGACAAGGTCAACCTCCGTGGTCTTGACAACTTCAGTAGACACAACATCAATGTCTGTAACGCTCTTAGTGACAGTTGCATCATAGGTAGCAGTGGCGGTAACATCGACTTCAGTTGTAGCAACAACACCGGCGATAATAGTGGCCGTCTTATCAAGCACGGCGGTCTTAGTCAAGACCCGGAAGTTGGTGGCATCTACGTCCACGGTGTTGGTGGCAACAATGGACTCCACGATAGTCCTGTCGGCACCAACAGTAGTGAGAGAGGTGGCGGTAGAAGTAGCGCTGACAACAACGGTGGTGGTGAAAGTGACAGGGATGGCCTT